TTGAACATTGCCAGAACATTTAAGATAAATACTTAGTTAGGGCGCTAAGGACTCCAGTTTTTATCCAGAAACACAAGCTTGCTGATGTTTTTACTAAAATTTTTTTAGAGTATTAGAGTTTCAATGTATTCTAAATAGGCTTTTACTAGAGATAACCATATTGTGATGGCCTTGTTTAGGTAAAAAAGAGATAGTGAGAGTATAAAAACTGAATAATTTTCTAAACAGGCTTTTAGAGATAATTATATATCATCATGTCTTTGCATAGGTTTTACAGAGTATAAGAATTTAATAATATTTTAAATTGGCTTTTTAAGTAGAGAGATTCATATCATTATGTATATTAGGATTGTATTAGGTTTCGCACCGACCTTTTTTTACTTCTAATTATAAGTATAGCTTCTCAAGTGGTGTAGGTTACGTTATGCGCCCTATACTACTCATAATGTGGACAGCATTCCAAAGTTTTATACTGCGAGATAATAATAATTTTTTTTTAATAAAAAATTTTTTATTGACAACAATGCTAACTATTAAAATCATATTTACAATTAATTCGCTTAAAAAAAGAAAAAACTATTCATTCAGAAACACTGAGTGACTATTTACAATTCCTGTCGATTTAAAAAGCACTTAATTTAGCTTTAAAAAAAAGTTAATTTAACTAAGAAAAATTTATTCGAATTAAAAACATTTGATTTCAATAAAAAAAACTGTCAACCTCTAAAATTCAAAAGTTTCTTTCAACTGCTAAAAACAAAATAATAATAATAATAATAATGAAATAAAAAGATATATATGAAGTAAGGAAACACATCAATAATCCAATTTAATGGCTCCTTCAACAACTTCGACGTCGATATCAACATTCTTAATGTCACATGGCACTCTTCTTAATAATAATAATAATTGCAGAGAGCATGCTTACTGGGCACAGCCAGAATCCTTTATAAGGTCTTACACACCTAAGGTCACGACAGTGACTTGATGTTTGAAGAATTCGACTCCAGCAAGCCATCCAGAAGCTGTGTTTAATAGAGTGTAAGCCATTAAATCAACACACTTGCTATACACTTGCCATACCAGTTTTAGCTTACAGCTTTCACATCGTTGACTGGAAAATGGAAGAGATCAGACAACTAGATAGAAAAACTGGAAATTACTTACCTTACAAAGGATGAACCACCCAAAAGCTGACATGGATAGAATGTACCTTCTCAGAAATGAGGGTGGTGGGGGCCTGATCCAACTGGAAACAGCCTATAAAACAGTTACAATAGGCTTCGATACTTACCTTGACACCAAAAATGATCCTCTTCTCTTGATTGCTAAAGAGCCTGAAAAAAAAAAACAAAGAAAAATGTATCCATATCTAGCCAGGCTACAATTTTTAATTTTCAATCTCCTTGAAACACTGGAACCTGAGAATGAAGCTCTGACTGTCTATGCCAGAAAAGTTAGACAGAAAGCAAGGTGCCATGCCCAAGATCAATTGAAACAAAAATGGGAAGATAAACCAATGCATGGGCAATACCAAAAAGAGTAAAGGAAAAAGATGTTGACCATCAAATGACCAACCAATGACTGAAGACAGCTGTGCACAAGTCCGAAACAGGCCATGGCTTTATTATTACTGCCTAAGATCGGGCCATCAAGACCAACTACTGTCGTAGCATGATCCTAAAAGATGGCACAGACCCAATGTACAGGATTTGTGGTCAATTTCAGGAAACTATTCACCATATTGTGGCAGGGTGCACTGTGATCATGAGCTGGCCAATACTGAATACATACACACACACAACAAAGCTGCCATGCTCATACCTCCACTGGAACATCTGCAAAGAGATGAATATAGACACAAATGAGAAATGGTATGAGCATGAGCCCCAAACAGTAACAAGACAACATCACAATCTTGTGGCAAATGCCAATACAAACAGATATTAAGAGAAAAGCCAAAGACCAGACATTGTAATCAAGAACAAACACGAAACAAGCGGCGTGTTCATTGATATATCCATTTCCACTGAAAAGAACACTCCACTGAAAGTAACTGAAAGACTCTCAAAATACAAAGACCTTGAAATCAAAGTTGAAAGAATGTAGGGGGTAAAAGCTACAACAATTCTGGTAGTGATTAAGGGGTCCTGCTACTATTCAAGAAACGGTTAGAAAAATATGTACAACAGATCCTGGGTAACATCAAAATGCATGAACTACAGAAGATCACAGAACTACAGAAGATCTTAGGATCTCACATCCTAAGAAACGCACTCTCCATCAAATAGACTTCTACCTCATTCTAACCCTAGGCTCAAGAAATGGGCTCGGCTATTCTGTTGTACTATGGTATTCCATTAAAAAAGATAATAATAATAATAACAATAATAAAAATGACAATGATAATAATAATAATATTAATATTACTACTACTAATAATAATATTAATAATAATAATAATAACAGCAGTAGTAGTAGTAGTATTAATAAGATTCTGTAAGATTCTGTTGGTAGTAGTTTTAATTCACAATCACCTGCCTGCAAAGGGAAAACGGTGGTGAATTTTCAAAACGTTAATAGGCTGGACAAACTGATTCAAAAGCTATGGGAATGTCGTCTTAGCCCTAAAACGCCTACCGTAAGACCAGTCTATATCATCATTTGTCTTACATTTTTCAGTCGTCCCTTCGCACACTTTTGTTATGAGTGTCCTTGCAGATCTTCCAATGCAGTTACGTTACCGGATCCTGCGGCAGTGACATTGCCTGGTTAGCGGAAAACAATTTTTTCTTTTTATCACAGAGTCATATTAGTGCCTACAAATCTAAGGCCACCTTCGCGTACGTTCTTGATTATTCACATCATACTGAAAGCAGGAGTTAATCCTAAGATGCACACTCTTCTTGCTTAACCCATTCTCCCCTAGGAATTAAGCCTAAAATCGGGTTTTGAAGCCCTTCCAGCCATCTTCTGGTTTAAAAACATGTAAAAAGAGAATAGTTTACCGCAAAACCCATCGAAAGAAGGCCGCGATGACGGCCACGATCGTTTTGTTCAGCATGCGAATTTCAGGCATCCGCAGAAAGCAAAATTTCGCGATAGTTTTTGGGTTTAAGAGTCACACAGCAGTCTTGACTTTTCCTTTTCGCTTTCTCTCGACCCCTCTTCCTTCGCTTTTCTTTTCATTTTTTTCTTTTCCTGGACTTTGTTTCGGAGGAAAAAGTTTTTAAAATAACTTTCCTGAGTCGGAATTAGAAGAGCACAATTTTTTTCTTCTTACTTTTATAAAATTCTTGACTCAAAATAAGGACATTTGGAAAAGAATGCATTCACGTAAGAAAAAAAAGGGGAAAAAAGGACGTGTGCGAAGAAACAAGCGAAATTTATGATTAGACATTTGTCATTACTCAGGATCAACTTCTCCACACTTTGAGACCCACTGGACGCTTTTTCCCAGATTCAACTTCGCGAGTTAGTCTACTTATAGTACGTTCCTTTTCTTTAATGCAGTGGATAAACAGACCATGAAGTTGCAAACTGCTCTTCGTCTGAAGTTGGAGAATTTTCGTTATTGGTCATGGACCTTGGGGACATTTAACAGCCTGATTTTAAGAGTGGATTGGAAATAGCTTGAATTAACCTTGCCTGCGAAAGAAACACGACCTGATGGAATTACTAATCGTCAATAGGCCGGGCAAACAATGTTTGTTTGGTTCATCTTGTCAAGTGACTTTTGGTTCAAGTTGGAAACTGATGGAGATCTCCTGGAAATGTCCCTGTGTTTTTTTTTATGTCTCAAGTAAGAGGATGTAAGTATATTTCATTGTGGAAAAAAAGTCTTTCAGGTGCCTTAGGACACGCAGGATATCACCTTGTTTTGATCTTTCAGGCTGATTTCACGATTCTATGACAAGTTTTCGGTCGCATCGGTAGCATTTTAGTATGATTTACAGTGCTACTTGCAGATTTGCTATTGCAGATAAGGGTACCAGATTCAGACTAGGGTACTGTAGTTGCCTAGTTAGAGAAGAACGCTTTTTCTTGTTTTTGAAGGGTCACATTGCTGGCTCCAAATCTATTAAAATTGACATAATCTTCGCGTTTTTCATTTATAAGATCAATTTTGCTTGTTACAGGAACACTTGTAAATGGCGTGAGATTAACATGCACATTCTCCATACTCATTCCTTTACCGTTCATCTGGCGCTAACGAGGAGAATTTGACTAGAAATCACAATGTTTTTCGCTGCTGAGCAGTTTCCTCTTTTTTCAGCAGTTTATGATTGATACTGTTCAGTGGTAGGATATATAGCGAGAATGTAAATTGATGTTGATCACTGTTCACCGTACAAAAAGTGTTTCTTGTGATCACCGACTGAAAGCAAACGCACCGACGAACATTTCAAGTATTTCAATATTACACAAAACTTCAGCTAAAATCAAAATTGCCCGTCGGAAAAAACGTGAAAGCGCTAAGTGCTTTTTTAAATGTAAAAGCGGTCAGAAAGATACAAGAATCGTGATTAAAAGGAAGCTTTTGCAAAGCCGAGAAGGTTACAGTTTCCATTATGTTTGGTTAACTTTGGTTTGTTTTGGTTCTTGGACCTGTGGGACCTCAGGGACCTCTGGGCCGAAGGTTCATGATGTCATTATTTTCAACAGCCAATCAGGGGCAAGAATTTGATTTGCATATGAATAACATACAAAAAAACCATTGAATTTGTAACCGAGCCGGGATAGCGCAATTAGCATAAGCATTGAATCGGTAATGAATTGGCAAACAAAGAGGTGACGGGTTCGAATCCCGCCTGATTAGCATGAAAAAGGAAAAAAAAGAAAAAAATCGCGGCTTGGATCTGGGAGGGCTTGGGGCGAGGAGAGGGAAGCAAAAAGGCCTTGGGAAGGGTACGGGAAGCGGGAGTTGGTACACCGGCCCGGGGGCGGGCCGGGGAGAGGGCAGGGAGAGGGGGGCAGGCGGGAGGGTGGTAAGTAGATAGCTAGAGGGGTAGGTAGGTAGATAGATAGATAGATAGATAGATAAATAGATAGATAGATAGATAGATAAATAGATAGATAGGTAGAGGGGGGTAGGTAGATAGGTAGATAGGTAGAGGGCGGAGGGATGGGAGGGGGAAGGGAAGGGAAGGGAGGGGGAAAGGGAGGGGCGGTCTAGCCTGCGAGCAAGGTCTCTTGCTGCCGGGATTGGGGGGAGGGTTGGGTGGGGTGGGGCAGTGAGAGACCTTGCTCGCAGGCTAGACCCGGGGAGGGTTTTGCTGCTCAGCACAGTTTTTTTTCTTCTTACTTTTATAAAATTCTTGACTCAAAATAAGGACATTTGGAAAAGAATGCATTCACGTAAAAAAAAAGGGGAAAAAAGGACGTGTGCGAAGAAACAAGCGAAATTTATGATTAGACATTTGTCATTATTCAGGATCAACTTCTCCACACTTTGAGACCCACTGGACGCTTTTTCCCAGATTCAACTTCGCGAGTTAGTCTACTTATAGTACGTTCCTTTTCTTTAATGCAGTGGATAAACAGACCATGAAGTTGCAAACTGCTCTTCGTCTGAAGTTGGAGAATTTTCGTTATTGGTCATGGACCTTGGGGACATTTAACAGCCTGATTTTAAGAGTGGATTGGAAATAGCTTGAATTAACCTTGCCTGCGAAAGAAACACGACCTGATGGAATTACTAATCGTCAATAGGCCGGGCAAACAATGTTTGTTTGGTTCATCTTGTCAAGTGACTTTTGGTTCAAGTTGGAAACTGATGGAGATCTCCTGGAAATGTCCCTGTGTTTTTTTTTATGTCTCAAGTAAGAGGATGTAAGTATATTTCATTGTGGAAAAAAAGTCTTTCAGCTGCCTTAGGACACGCAGGATATCACCTTGTTTTGATCTTTCAGGCTGATTTCACGATTCTATGACAAGTTTTCGGTCGCATCGGTAGCATTTTAGTATGATTTACAGTGCTACTTGCAGATTTGCTATTGCAGATAAGGGTACCAGATTCAGACTAGGGTACTGTAGTTGCCTAGTTAGAGAAGAACGCTTTTTCTTGTTTTTGAAGGGTCACATTGCTGGCTCCAAATCTATTAAAATTGACATAATCTTCGCGTTTTTCATTTATAAGATCAATTTTGCTTGTTACAGGAACACTTGTAAATGGCGTGAGATTAACATGCACATTCTCCATACTCATTCCTTTACCGTTCATCTGGCGCTAACGAGGAGAATTTGACTAGAAATCACAATGTTTTTCGCTGCTGAGCAGTTTCCTCTTTTTTCAGCAGTTTATGATTGATACTGTTTAGTGGTAGGATATATAGCGAGAATGTAAATTGATGTTGATCACTGTTCACCGTAAAAAAAGTGTTTCTTGTGATCACCGACTGAAAGCAAACGCACCGACGGACATTTCAAGTATTTCAATATTATACAAAACTACAGCTAAAATCAAAATTGCCCGACGGAAAAAACGTGAAAGCGCTAAGTGCTTTTTTAAATGTAAAAGCGGTCAGAAAGATACAAGAATCGTGATTAAAAGGAAGCTTTTGCAAAGCCGAGAAGGTTACAGTTTCCATTATGTTTGGTTAACTTTGGTTTGTTTTGGTTCTCGGACCTGTGGGACCTCAGGGACCTCTGGGCCGAAGGTTCATGATGTCATTATTTTCAACAGCCAATCAGGGGCAAGAATTTGATTTGCATATGAATAACATACAAAAAAACCATTGAATTTGTAACCGAGCCGGGATAGCGCAATTAGCATAAGCATTGAATCGGTAATGAATTGGCAAACAAAGAGGTGACGGGTTCGAATCCCGCCTGATTAGCATGAAAAAAAAAAAAAAAAAAAAAAAATCGCGGCTTGGATCTGGGAGGGCTTGGGGCGAGGAGAGGGAAGAAAAAAGGCCTTGGGAAGGGTACGGGAAGCGGGAGTTGGTACACCGGGCCGGGGGGGGGGGGGGAGGGGGGGGAGGGGGGGGGGGAGGGGAGGGGGGTAAGTAGATAGCTAGGGGGGTAGGTAGATAGATAGATAGATAGATAGATAGATAGATAGATAGATAGATAGATAGATAGATAGATAGAGGTAGGGGGATAGGTAGATAGGTAGATAGGAGGGCGGAGGGATGGGAGGGGGGAAGGGAAGGGGAGGGAGGGGGGGGGGAGGGGCGGTCTAGCCTGCGAGCAAGGTCTCTTGCTGCCGGGATTGGGGGAGGGTTGGGTGGGGTGGGGCAGTGAGAGACCTTGCTCGCAGGCTAGACCCGGGGGAGGGTTTTGCTGCTCAGCACAGTTTTTTTTTTTTCTTCTTACTTTTATAAAATTCTTGACTCAAAATAAGGACATTTGGAAAGAATGCATTCACGTAAAAAAAAAGGGGAAAAAAGGACGTGTGCGAAGAAACAAGCGAAATTTATGATTAGACATTTGTCATTATTCAGGATCAACTTCTCCACACTTTGAGACCCACTGGACGCTTTTTTCCCAGATTCAACTTCGCGAGTTAGTCTACTTATAGTACGTTCCTTTTCTTTAATGCAGTGGATAAACAGACCATGAAGTTGCAAACTGCTCTTCGTCTGAAGTTGGAGAATTTTCGTTATTGGTCATGGACCTTGGGGACATTTAACAGCCTGATTTTAAGAGTGGATTGGAAATAGCTTGAATTAACCTTGCCTGCGAAAGAAACACGACCTGATGGAATTACTAATCGTCAATAGGCCGGGCAAACAATGTTTGTTTGGTTCATCTTGTCAAGTGACTTTTGGTTCAAGTTGGAAACTGATGGAGATCTCCTGGAAATGTCCCTGTGTTTTTTTTTATGTCTCAAGTAAGAGGATGTAAGTATATTTCATTGTGGAAAAAAAGTCTTTCAGCTGCCTTAGGACACGCAGGATATCACCTTGTTTTGATCTTTCAGGCTGATTTCACGATTCTATGACAAGTTTTCGGTCGCATCGGTAGCATTTTAGTATGATTTACAGTGCTACTTGCAGATTTGCTATTGCAGATAAGGGTACCAGATTCAGACTAGGGTACTGTAGTTGCCTAGTTAGAGAAGAACGCTTTTTCTTGTTTTTGAAGGGTCACATTGCTGGCTCCAAATCTATTGAAATTGACATAATCTTCGCGTTTTTCATTTATAAGATCAATTTTGCTTGTTACAGGAACACTTGTAAATGGCGTGAGATTAACATGCACATTCTCCATACTCATTCCTTTACCGTTCATCTGGCGCTAACGAGGAGAATTTGACTAGAAATCACAATGTTTTTCGCTGCTGAGCAGTTTCCTCTTTTTTCAGCAGTTTATGATTGATACTGTTTAGTGGTAGGATATATAGCGAGAATGTAAATTGATGTTGATCACTGTTCACCGTAAAAAAAGTGTTTCTTGTGATCACCGACTGAAAGCAAACGCACCGACGGACATTTCAAGTATTTCAATATTATACAAAACTTCAGCTAAAATCAAAATTGCCCGACGGAAAAAACGTGAAAGCGCTAAGTGCTTTTTTAAATGTAAAAGCGGTCAGAAAGATACAAGAATCGTGATTAAAAGGAAGCTTTTGCAAAGCCGAGAAGGTTACAGTTTCCATTATGTTTGGTTAACTTTGGTTTGTTTTGGTTCTTGGACCTGTGGGACCTCAGGGACCTCTGGGCCGAAGGTTCATGATGTCATTATTTTCAACAGCCAATCAGGGGCAAGAATTTGATTTGCATATGAATAACATACAAAAAAACCATTGAATTTGTAACCGAGCCGGGATAGCGCAATTAGCATAAGCATTGAATCGGTAATGAATTGGCAAACAAAGAGGTGACGGGTTCGAATCCCGCCTGATTAGCATGAAAAAGGAAAAAAAAGAAAAAAATCGCGGCTTGGATCTGGGAGGGCTTGGGGCGAGGAGAGGGAAGAAAAAAGGCCTTGGGAAGGAAGGGTACGGGAAGGGAGTTGGTACACACCGGCCCGGGGGCGGGCGGGGGGGGAGAGGGGGGAGAGGGGGGCAGGCAGGGGGGGGTAAGTAGATAGCTAGATAGGTAGGTAGATAGATAGATAGATAGATAGATAGATAGATAGATAGATAGATAGATAGATAGATAGATAGAGGGGGGTAGGTAGATAGGTAGATAGGTAGAGGGCGGAGGGATGGGAGGGGGGGGGAAGGGAAGGGGAAGGGGGGGGAAAGGGAGGGGCGGTCTAGCCTGCGAGCAAGGTCTCTTGCTGCCGGGATTGGGGGAGGGTTGGGTGGGGTGGGGCAGTGAGAGACCTTGCTCGCAGGCTAGACCCGGGGAGGGTTTTGCTGCTCAGCACAGTTTTTTTTTTTCTTCTTACTTTTATAAAATTCTTGACTCAAAATAAGGACATTTGGAAAAAATGCATTCACGTAAAAAAAAAAAAAAGGGGAAAAAAAGGACGTGTGCGAAGAAACAAGCGAAATTTATGATTAGACATTTGTCATTATTCAGGATCAACTTCTCCACACTTTGAGACCCACTGGACGCTTTTTTCCCAGATTCAACTTCGCGAGTTAGTCTACTTATAGTACGTTCCTTTTCTTTAATGCAGTGGATAAACAGACCATGAAGTTGCAAACTGCTCTTCGTCTGAAGTTGGAGAATTTTCGTTATTGGTCATGGACCTTGGGGACATTTAACAGCCTGATTTTAAGAGTGGATTGGAAATAGCTTTGAATTAACCTTGCCTGCGAAAGAAACACGACCTGATGGAATTACTAATCGTCAATAGGCCGGGCAAACAATGTTTGTTTGGTTCATCTTGTCAAGTGACTTTTGGTTCAAGTTGGAAACTGATGGAGATCTCCTGGAAATGTCCCTGTGTTTTTTTATGTCTCAAGTAAGAGGATGTAAGTATATTTCATTGTGGAAAAAAAGTCTTTCAGGTGCCTTAGGACACGCAGGATATCACCTTGTTTTGATCTTTCAGGCTGATTTCACGATTCTATGACAAGTTTTCGGTCGCATCGGTAGCATTTTAGTATGATTTACAGTGCTACTTGCAGATTTGCTATTGCAGATAAGGGTACCAGATTCAGACTAGGGTACTGTAGTTGCCTAGTTAGAGAAGAACGCTTTTTCTTGTTTTTGAAGGGTCACATTGCTGGCTCCAAATCTATTGAAATTGACATAATCTTCGCGTTTTTCATTTATAAGATCAATTTTGCTTGTTACAGGAACACTTGTAAATGGCGTGAGATTAACATGCACATTCTCCATACTCATTCCTTTACCGTTCATCTGGCGCTAACGAGGAGAATTTGACTAGAAATCACAATGTTTTTCGCTGCTGAGCAGTTTCCTCTTTTTTCAGCAGTTTATGATTGATACTGTTTAGTGGTAGGATATATAGCGAGAATGTAAATTGATGTTGATCACTGTTCACCGTAAAAAAAGTGTTTCTTGTGATCACCGACTGAAAGCAAACGCACCGACGGACATTTCAAGTATTTCAATATTATACAAAACTTCAGCTAAAATCAAAATTGCCCGACGGAAAAAACGTGAAAGCGCTAAGTGCTTTTTTAAATGTAAAAGCGGTCAGAAAGATACAAGAATCGTGATTAAAAGGAAGCTTTTGCAAAGCCGAGAAGGTTACAGTTTCCATTATGTTTGGTTAACTTTGGTTTGTTTTGGTTCTTGGACCTGTGGGACCTCAGGGACCTCTGGGCCGAAGGTTCATGATGTCATTATTTTCAACAGCCAATCAGGGGCAAGAATTTGATTTGCATATGAATAACATACAAAAAAACCATTGAATTTGTAACCGAGCCGGGATAGCGCAATTAGCATAAGCATTGAATCGGTAATGAATTGGCAAACAAAGAGGTGACGGGTTGGAATCCCGCCTGATTAGCATGAAAAAGGAAAAAAAAGAAAAAAAACGGGGCTTGGATCTGGGAGGGCTTGGGGCGAGGAGAGGGAAGAAAAAAGGCCTTGGGAAGGGTACGGGAAGCGGGAGTTGGTACACCGGCCCGGGGGCGGGCCGGGGAGAGGGCAGGGAGAGGGGGGCAGGCAGGAGGGTGGTAAGTAGATAGCTAGAGGGGTAGGTAGGTAGATAGATAGATAGATAGATAAATAGATAGATAGGTAGAGGGGGGTAGGTAGATAGGTAGATAGGTAGAGGGCGGAGGGATGGGAGGGGGAAGGGAAGGGAAGGGAAGGGAAGGGAGGGGGAAAGGGAGGGGCGGTCTAGCCTGCGAGCAAGGTCTCTTGCTGCCGGGATTGGGGGGAGGGTTGGGTGGGGTGGGGCAGTGAGAGACCTTGCTCGCAGGCTAGACCCGGGGAGGGTTTTGCTGCTCAGCACAGTTTTTTTTCTTCTTACTTTTATAAAATTCTTGACTCAAAATAAGGACATTTGGAAAAAAATGCATTCACGTAAAAAAAAAGGGGGAAAAAGGACGTGTGCGAAGAAACAAGCGAAATTTATGATTAGACATTTGTCATTACTCAGGATCAACTTCTCCACACTTTGAGACCCACTGGACGCTTTTTCCCAGATTCAACTTCGCGAGTTAGTCTACTTATAGTACGTTCCTTTTCTTTAATGCAGTGGATAAACAGACCATGAAGTTGCAAACTGCTCTTCGTCTGAAGTTGGAGAATTTTCGTTATTGGTCATGGACCTTGGGGACATTTAACAGCCTGATTTTAAGAGTGGATTGGAAATAGCTTGAATTAACCTTGCCTGCGAAAGAAACACGACCTGATGGAATTACTAATCGTCAATAGGCCGGGCAAACAATGTTTGTTTGGTTCATCTTGTCAAGTGACTTTTGGTTCAAGTTGGAAACTGATGGAGATCTCCTGGAAATGTCCCTGTGTTTTTTTTTATGTCTCAAGTAAGAGGATGTAAGTATATTTCATTGTGGAAAAAAAGTCTTTTAGGTGCCTTAGGACACGCAGGATATCACCTTGTTTTGACTTTTCAGGCTGATTTCACGATTCTATGACAAGTTTTCGGTCGCATCGGTAGCATTTTAGTATGATTTACAGTGCTACTTGCAGATTTGCTATTGCAGATAAGGGTACCAGATTCAGACTAGGGTACTGTAGTTGCCTAGTTAGAGAAGAACGCTTTTTCTTGTTTTTGAAGGGTCACATTGCTGGCTGCAAATCTATTAAAATTGACATAATCTTCGCGTTTTTCATTTATAAGATCAATTTTGCTTGTTACAGGAACACTTGTAAATGGCGTGAGATTAACATGCACATTCTCCATACTCATTCCTTTACCGTTCATCTGGCGCTAACGAGGAGAATTTGACTAGAAATCACAATGTTTTTCGCTGCTGCTGAGCAGTTTCCTTTTTTCAGCAGTTTATGATTGATACTGTTCAGTGGTAGGATATATAGCGAGAATGTAAATTGATGTTGATCACTGTTCACCGTAAAAAAGTGTTTCTTGTGATCACCGACTGAAAGCAAACGCACCGACGGACATTTCAAGTATTTCAATATTATACAAAACTTCAGCTAAAATCAAAATTGCCCGTCGGAAAAAAAACGTGAAAGCGCTAAGTGCTTTTTTTAAATGTAAAAGCGGTCAGAAAGATACAAGAATCGTGATTAAAAGGAAGCTTTTGCAAAGCCGAGAAGGTTACAGTTTCCATTATGTTTGGTTAACTTTGGTTTGTTTTGGTTCTTGGACCTGTGGGACCTCAGGGACCTCTGGGCCGAAGGTTCATGATGTCATTATTTTCAACAGCCAATCAGGGGCAAGAATTTGATTTGCATATGAATAACATACAAAAAAACCATTGAATTTGTAACCGAGCCGGGATAGCGCAATTAGCATAAGCATTGAATCGGTAATGAATTGGCAAACAAAGAGGTGACGGGTTCGAATCCCGCCTGATTAGCATGAAAAAGAAAAAAAAAGAAAAAAATCGCGGCTTGGATCTGGGAGGGCTTGGGGCGAGGAGAGGGAAGAAAAAAGGCCTTGGGAAGGGTACGGGAAGCGGGAGTTGGTACACCGGCCCGGGGGCGGGCCGGGGAGAGGGCAGGGAGAGGGGGGCAGGCAGGAGGGGGGTAAGTAGATAGCTAGAGGGGTAGGTAGGTAGATAGATAGATAGATAGATAGATAGATAGATAGATAGATAAATAGATAGATAGGTAGAGGGGGGTAGGTAGATAGGTAGATAGGTAGAGGGCGAAGGGATGGGAGGGGGAAGGGAAGGGAAGGGAGGGGGAAAGGGAGGGGCGGTCTAGCCTGCGAGCAAGGTCTCTTGCTGCCGGGATTGGGGGGAGGGTTGGGTGGGGTGGGGCAGTGAGAGACCTTGCTCGCAGGCTAGATCCGGGGAGGGTTTTGCTGCTCAGCACAGTTTTTTTTCTTCTTACTTTTATAAAATTCTTGACTCAAAATAAGGACATTTGGAAAAAAATGCATTCACGTAAAAAAAAAGGGGGAAAAAGGACGTGTGCGAAGAAACAAGCGAAATTTATGATTAGACATTTGTCATTACTCAGGATCAACTTCTCCACACTTTGAGACCCACTGGACGCTTTTTCCCAGATTCAACTTCGCGAGTTAGTCTACTTATAGTACGTTCCTTTTCTTTAATGCAGTGGATAAACAGACCATGAAGTTGCAAACTGCTCTTCGTCTGAAGTTGGAGAATTTTCGTTATTGGTCATGGACCTTGGGGACATTTAACAGCCTGATTTTAAGAGTGGATTGGAAATAGCTTGAATTAACCTTGCCTGCGAAAGAAACACGACCTGATGGAATTACTAATCGTCAATAGGCCGGGCAAACAATGTTTGTTTGGTTCATCTTGTCAAGTGACTTTTGGTTCAAGTTGGAAACTGATGGAGATCTCCTGGAAATGTCCCTGTGTTTTTTTTTATGTCTCAAGTAAGAGGATGTAAGTATATTTCATTGTGGAAAAAAAGTCTTTTAGGTGCCTTAGGACACGCAGGATATCACCTTGTTTTGACTTTTCAGGCTGATTTCACGATTCTATGACAAGTTTTCGGTCGCATCGGTGGCATTTTAGTATGATTTACAGTGCTACTTGCAGATTTGCTATTGCAGATAAGGGTACCAGATTCAGACTAGGGTACTGTAGTTGCCTAGTTAGAGAAGAACTTTTTTTCTTGTTTTTGAAGGGTCACATTGCTGGCTCCAAATCTATTAAAATTGACATAATCTTCGCGTTTTTCATTTATAAGATCAATTTTGCTTGTTACAGGAACACTTGTAAATGGCGTGAGATTAACATGCACATTCTCCATACTCATTCCTTTACCGTTCATCTGGCGCTAACGAGGAGAATTTGACTAGAAATCACAATGTTTTTTTCGCTGCTGAGCAGTTTTCCTTTTTCAGCAGTTTATGATTGATACTGTTCAGTGGTAGGATATATAGCGAGAATGTAAATTGATGTTGATCACTGTTCACCGTAAAAAAGTGTTTCTTGTGATCACCGACTGAAAGCAAACGCACCGACGGACATTTCAAGTATTTCAATATTATACAAAACTTCAGCTAAAATCAAAATTGCCCGTCGGAAAAAACGTGAAAGCGCTAAGTGCTTTTTAAATGTAAAAGCGGTCAGAAAGATACAAGAATCGTGATTAAAAGGAAGCTTTTGCAAAGCCGAGAAGGTTACAGTTTCCATTATGTTTGGTTAACTTTGGTTTGTTTTGGTTCTTGGACCTGTGGGACCTCAGGGACCTCTGGGCCGAAGGTTCATGATGTCATTATTTTCAACAGCCAATCAGGGGCAAGAATTTGATTTGCATATGAATAACAAAAAAAACCATTGAATTTGTAACCGAGCCGGGATAGCGCAATTAGCATAAGCATTGAATCGGTAATGAATTGGCAAACAAAGAGGTGACGGGTTCGAATCCCGCCTGATTAGCATGAAAAAAAAAAAAAAAAAAAAAATCGCGGCTTGGATCTGGGAGGGCTGGGGGGGCGAGGAGAGGAAAAAAAAGGCCTTGGGAAGGGTACGGGAAGCGGGAGTTGGTACACCGGCCGGGGGCGGGCCGGGGGAGAGGGCAGGGGAGGGGGGGGCAGGCAGGAGGGGGGGTAAGTAGATAGCTAGAGGGGTAGGGATAGATAGATAGATAGATAGATAGATAGATAGATAGATAGATAGATAGATATAGGGGGGGTAGGGTAGATAGGTAGATAGGTAGAGGGCGGAGGGATGGGGGATGGGGGAAGGGAAGGGAAGGGAAGGGGGGGGAAAGGGGGGGGCGGTCTAGCCTGCGAGCAAGGTCTCTTGCTGCCGGGATTGGGGGGGGGTTGGGTGGGGTGGGGTGGGGCAGTGAGAGACCTTGCTCGCAGGCTAGACCCGGGGGGAGGGTTTTGCTGCTCAGCACAGTTTTTTTTTTTTCTTCTTACTTTTATAAAATTCTTGACTCAAAATAAGGACATTTGGAAAAAATGCATTCACGTAAAAAAAAGGGGAAAAAGGACGTGTGCGAAGAAACAAGCGAAATTTATGATTAGACATTTGTCATTATTCAGGATCAACTTCTCCACACTTTGAGACCCACTGGACGCTTTTTCCCAGATTCAACTTCGCGAGTTAGTCTACTTATAGTACGTTCCTTTTCTTTAATGCAGTGGATAAACAGACCATGAAGTTGCAAACTGCTCTTCGTCTGAAGTTGGAGAATTTTCGTTATTGGTCATGGACCTTGGGGACATTTAACAGCCTGATTTTAAGAGTGGATTGGAAATAGCTTGAATTAACCTTGCCTGCGAAAGAAACACGACCTGATGGAATTACTAATCGTCAATAGGCCGGGCAAACAATGTTTGTTTGGTTCATCTTGTCAAGTGACTTTTGGTTCAAGTTGGAAACTGATGGAGATCTCCTGGAAATGTCCCTGTGTTTTTTTTTATGTCTCAAGTAAGAGGATGTAAGTATATTTCATTGTGGAAAAAAAGTCTTTTAGGTGCCTTAGGACACGCAGGATATCACCTTGTTTTGACTTTTCAGGCTGATTTCACGATTCTATGACAAGTTTTCGGTCGCATCGGTGGCATTTTAGTATGATTTACAGTGCTACTTGCAGATTTGCTATTGCAGATAAGGGTACCAGATTCAGACTAGGGTACTGTAGTTGCCTAGTTAGAGAAGAACGCTTTTTCTTGTTTTTGAAGGGTCACATTGCTGGCTCCAAATCTATTGAAATTGACATAATCTTCGCGTTTTTCATTTATAAGATCAATTTTGCTTGTTACAGGAACACTTGTAAATGGCGTGAGATTAACATGCACATTCTCCATACTCATTCCTTTACCGTTCATCTGGCGCTAACGAGGAGAATTTGACTAGAAATCACAATGTTTTTCGCTGCTGAGCAGTTTCCTCTTTTTTCAGCAGTTTATGATTGATACTGTTCAGTGGTAGGATATATAGCGAGAATGTAAATTGATGTTGATCACTGTTCACCGTACAAAAAGTGTTTCTTGTGATCACCGACTGAAAGCAAACGCACCGACGGACATTTCAAGTATTTCAATATTATACAAAACTTCAGCTAAAATCAAAATTGCCCGTCGGAAAAAACGTCAAAGCGCTAAGTGCTTTTTTAAATGTAAAAGCGGTCAGAAAGATACAAGAATCGTGATTAAAAGGAAGCTTTTGCAAAGCCGAGAAGGTTAAAGTTTCCATTATGTTTGGTTAACTTTGGTTTGTTTTGGTTCTTGGACCTGTGGGACCTAAGGGACCTCTGGGCCGAAGGTTCATGATGTCATTATTTTCAACAGCCAATCAGGGGCAAGAATTTGATTTGCATATGAATAACATACAAAAAAAACCATTGAATTTGTAACCGAGCCGGGATAGCACAATTAGCATAAGCATTGAATCGGTAATGAATTGGCGAACAAAGAGGTGACGGGTTCGAATCCCGCCTGATTAGCATGAAAAAGGAAAAAAAAAAAAAAAAAATCGCGGCTTGGATCTGGGAGGGCTTGGGGCGAGGAGAGGGAAGAAAAAGGCCTTGGGAAGGGTACGGGAAGCGGGAGTTGGTACACCGGGCCGGGGGCGGGGGGGAGGAGGGCAGGGGGGGGGCAGGGGGCAGGGGGGGGGGTAGATAGCTAGATAGGGGGTAGGTAGATAGATAGATAGATAGATAGATAGATAGATAGATAGATAGATAAATAGATAGATAGGTAGAGGGGGGTAGGTAGATAGGTAGATAGGTAGAGGGCGGAGGGATGGGGGGGGAAGGGAGGGAGGGGGAAGGGAAGGGGGGGGAAAGGGAGGGGCGGTCTAGCCTGCGAGCAAGGTCTCTTGCTGCCGGGATTGGGGGGAGGGTTGGGTGGGGTGGGGCAGTGAGAGACCTTGCTCGCAGGCTAGACCCGGGGAGGGTTTTGCTGCTCAGCACAGTTTTTTTTCTTCTTACTTTTATAAAATTCTTGACTCAAAATAAGGACATTTGGAAAAGAATGCATTCACGTAAGAAAAAAAAGGGGAAAAAGGACGTGTGCGAAGAAACAAGCGAAATTTATGATTAGACATTTGTCATTATTCAGGATCAACTTCTCCACACTTTGAGACCCACTGGACGCTTTTTTCCCAGATTCAACTTCGCGAGTTAGTCTACTTATAGTACGTTCCTTTTCTTTAATGCAGTGGATAAACAGACCATGAAGTTGCAAACTGCTCTTCGTCTGAAGTTGGAGAATTTTCGTTATTGGTCATGGACCTTGGGGACATTTAACAGCCTGATTTTAAGAGTGGATTGGAAATAGCTTGAATTAACCTTGCCTGCGAAAGAAACACGACCTGATGGAATTACTAATCGTCAATAGGCCGGGCAAACAATGTTTGTTTGGTTCATCTTGTCAAGTGACTTTTGGTTCAAGTTGGAAACTGATGGAGATCTCCTGGAAATGTCCCTGTGTTTTTTTTTATGTCTCAAGTAAGAGGATGTAAGTATATTTCATTGTGGAAAAAAAGTCTTTCAGGTGCCTTAGGACACGCAGGATATCACCTTGTTTTGATCTTTCAGGCTGATTTCACGATTCTATGACAAGGTTTCGGTCGCATCGGTAGCATTTTAGTATGATTTACAGTGCTACTTGCAGATTTGCTATTGCAGATAAGGGTACCAGATTCAGACTAGGGTACTGTAGTTGCCTAGTTAGAGAAGAACGCTTTTTCTTGTTTTTGAAGGGTCACATTGCTGGCTCCAAATCTATTAAAATTGACATAATCTTCGCGTTTTTCATTTATAAGATCAATTTTGCTTGTTACAGGAACACTTGTAAATGGCGTGAGATTAACATGCACATTCTCCATACTCATTCCTTTACCGTTCATCTGGCGCTAACGAGGAGAATTTGACTAGAAAATCAAATTTTTTTCGCTGCTGAGCAGTTTCCTCTTTTTTTTCAGCAGTTTATGATTGATACTGTTCAGTGGTAGGATATATAGCGAGAATGTAAATTGATGTTGATCACTGTTCACCGTACAAAAAGTGTTTCTTGTGATCACCGACTGAAAGCAAACGCACCGACGGACATTTCAAGTATTTCAATATTATACAAAACTTCAGCTAAAATCAAAATTGCCCGTCGGAAAAAACGTGAAAGCGCTAAGTGCTTTTTAAATGTAAAAGCGGTCAGAAAGATACAAGAATCGTGATTAAAAGGAAGCTTTTGCAAAGCCGAGAAGGTTACAGTTTCCATTATGTTTGGTTAACTTTGGTTTGTTTTGGTTCTTGGACCTGTGGGACCTCAGGGACCTCTGGGCCGAAGGTTCATGATGTCATTTTTTCAACAGCCAATCAGGGGCAAGAATTTGATTTGCATATGAATAACATAAAAAAACCATTGAATTTGTAACCGAGCCGGGATAGCGCAATTAGCATAAGCATTGAATCGGTAATGAATTGGCAAACAAAGAGGTGACGGGTTCGAATCCCGCCTGATTAGCATGAAAAAAAAAAAAAAAAAAAAAAAATCGCGGCTTGGATCTGGGAGGGCTTGGGGCGAGGAGAGGGAAGAAAAAAAGGCCTTGGGAAGGGTACGGGAAGCGGGAGTTGGTACACCGGCCCGGGGGGGGGGAGAGGGGGGGGAGGGGGCAGGGGGGGGGGCAGGCAGATAGGGGGGGGTAGATAGATAGATAGATAGATAGATAGATAGATAGATAGATAGATAGATAGATAGATAGATAGATAGATAGATAAATAGATAGAGGTAGAGGGGGTAGGTAGATAGGTAGATAGGTAGAGGGCGGTGGGATGGGAGGGGGGAAGGGAAGGGAAGGGAAGGGAGGGGGAAAGGGAGGGGCGGTCTAGCCTGCGAGCAAGGTCTCTTGCTGCCGGGATTGGGGGGAGGGTTGGGTGGGGTGGGGCAGTGAGAGACCTTGCTCGCAGGCTAGACCCGGGGAGGGTTTTGCTGCTCAGCACAGTTTTTTTTCTTCTTACTTTTATAAAATTCTTGACTCAAAATAAGGACATTTGGAAAAGAATGCATTCACGTAAAAAAAAAAAGGGGAAAAAAGGACGTGTGCGAAGAAACAAGCGAAATTTATGATTAGACATTTGTCATTACTCAGGATCAACTTCTCCACACTTTGAGACCCACTGGACGCTTTTTCCCAGATTCAACTTCGCGAGTTAGTCTACTTATAGTACGTTCCTTTTCTTTAATGCAGTGGATAAACAGACCATGAAGTTGCAAACTGCTCTTCGTCTGAAGTTGGAGAATTTTCGTTATTGGTCATGGACCTTGGGGACATTTAACAGCCTGATTTTAAGAGTGGATTGGAAATAGCTTGAATTAACCTTGCCTGCGAAAGAAACACGACCTGATGGAATTACTAATCGTCAATAGGCCGGGCAAACAATGTTTGTTTGGTTCATCTTGTCAAGTGACTTTTGGTTCAAGTTGGAAACTGATGGAGATCTCCTGGAAATGTCCCTGTGTTTTTTTTTTATGTCTCAAGTAAGAGGATGTAAGTATATTTCATTGTGGAAAAAAAGTCTTTCAGGTGCCTTAGGACACGCAGGATATCACCTTGTTTTGATCTTTCAGGCTGATTTCACGATTCTATGACAAGTTTTCGGTCGCATCGGTAGCATTTTAGTATGATTTACAGTGCTACTTGCAGATTTGCTATTGCAGATAAGGGTACCAGATTCAGACTAGGGTACTGTAGTTGCCTAGTTAGAGAAGAACGCTTTTTCTTGTTTTTGAAGGGTCACATTGCTGGCTCCAAATCTATTAAAATTGACATAATCTTCGCGTTTTTCATTTATAAGATCAATTTTGCTTGTTACAGGAACACTTGTAAATGGCGTGAGATTAACATGCACATTCTCCATACTCATTCCTTTACCGTTCATCTGGCGCTAACGAGGAGAATTTGACTAGAAATCACAATGTTTTTCGCTGCTGAGCAGTTTCCTCTTTTTTCAGCAGTTTATGATTGATACTGTTCAGTGGTAGGATATATAGCGAGAATGTAAATTGATGTTGATCACTGTTCACCGTACAAAAAGTGTTTCTTGTGATCACCGACTGAAAGCAAACGCACCGACGAACATTTCAAGTATTTCAATATTACACAAAACTTCAGCTAAAATCAAAATTGCCCGTCGGAAAAAACGTGAAAGCGCTAAGTGCTTTTTTAAATGTAAAAGCGGTCAGAAAGATACAATAATCGTGATTAAAAGGAAGCTTTTGCAAAGCCGAGAAGGTTACAGTTTCCATTATGTTTGGTTAACTTTGGTTTGTTTTGGTTCTCGGACCTGTGGGACCTCAGGGGACCTCTGGGGCCGAAGGTTCATGATGTCATTATTTTCAACAGCCAATCAGGGGCAAGAATTTGATTTGCATATGAATAACATACAAAAAAAAACCATTGAATTTGTAACCGAGCCGGGATAGCGCAATTAGCATAAGCATTGAATCGGTAATGAATTGGCAAACAAAGAGGTGACGGGTTCGAATCCCGCCTGATTAGCATGAAAAAGGAAAAAAAAAAAAAAAAATCGCGGCTTGGATCTGGGAGGGCTTGGGGGAGGAGGAGAGGGAAAAAAAAGGCCTTGGGAAGGGTACGGGAAGCGGGAGTTGGTACACCGGCCCGGGGGGGGGGGGGGGAGAGGGCAGGGAGGGGGGGGGCAGGGAGGGGGGGGTAGATAGCTAGATAGGGTAGGTAGATAGATAGATAGATAGATAGATAGATAGATAGATAGATAGATAGATAGATAAATAGATAGATAGGTAGAGGGGGGTAGGTAGATAGGTAGATAGGTAGAGGGCGGAGGGATGGGAGGGGGAAGGGAAGGGAAGGGAGGGGGAAAGGGAGGGGCGGTCTAGCCTTCGAGCAAGGTCTCTTGCTGCCGGGATTGGGGGGAGGGTTGGGTGGGGTGGGGCAGTGAGAGACCTTGCTCGCAGGTGGGTTTTGCTGGTCAGCACAGTTTTTTTTCTTCCTACTTTTATAAAATTCTTGACTCAAAATAAGGACATTTGGAAAAGAATGCATTCACGTAAAAAAAAAGGGGAAAAAAGGACGTGTGCGAAGAAACAAGCGAAATTTATGATTAGACATTTGTCATTATTCAGGATCAACTTCTCCACACTTTGAGACCCACTGGACGCTTTTTCCCAGATTCAACTTCGCGAGTTAGTCTACTTATAGTACGTTCCTTTTCTTTAATGCAGTGGATAAACAGACCATGAAGTTGCAAACTGCTCTTCGTCTGAAGTTGGAGAATTTTCGTTATTGGTCATGGACCTTGGGGACATTTAACAGCCTGATTTTAAGAGTGGATTGGAAATAGCTTGAATTAACCTTGCCTGCGAAAGAAACACGACCTGATGGAATTACTAATCGTCAATAGGCCGGGCAAACAATGTTTGTTTGGTTCATCTTGTCAAGTGACTTTTGGTTCAAGTTGGAAACTGATGGAGATCTCCTGGAAATGTCCCTGTGTTTTTTTTTATGTCTCAAGTAAGAGGATGTAAGTATATTTCATTGTGGAAAAAAAGTCTTTCAGCTGCCTTAGGACACGCAGGATATCACCTTGTTTTGATCTTTCAGGCTGATTTCACGATTCTATGACAAGTTTTCGGTCGCATCGGTAGCATTTTAGTATGATTTACAGTGCTACTTGCAGATTTGCTATTGCAGATAAGGGTACCAGATTCAGACTAGGGTACTGTAGTTGCCTAGTTAGAGAAGAACGCTTCTTCTTGTTTTTGAAGGGTCACATTGCTGGCTCCAAATCTATTAAAATTGACATAATCTTCGCGTTTTTCATTTATAAGGTCAATTTTGCTTGTTACACGAACACTTGTAAATGGCGTGAGATTAACATGCACATTCTCCATACTCATTCCTTTACCGTTCATCTGGCGCTAACGAGGAGAATTTGACTAGAAATCACAATGTTTTTCGCTGCTGAGCAGTTTCCTCTTTTTTCAGCAGTTTATGATTGATACTGTTCAGTGGTAGGATATATAGCGAGAATGTAAATTGATGTTGATCACTGTTCACCGTACGAAAAGTGTTTCTTGTGATCACCGACTGAAAGCAAACGCACCGACGAACATTTCAAGTATTTCAATATTACACAAAACTTCAGCTAAAATCAAAATTGCCCGTCGGAAAAAACGTGAAAGCGCTAAGTGCTTTTTTAAATGTAAAAGCGGTCAGAAAGATACAAGAATCGTGATTAAAAGGAAGCTTTTGCAAAGCCGAGAAGGTTACAGTTTCCATTATGTTTGGTTAACTTTGGTTTGTTTTGGTTCTCGGACCTGTGGGACCTCAGGGACCTCTGGGCCGAAGGTTCATGATGTCATTATTTTCAACAGCCAATCAGGGGCAAGAATTTGATTTGCATATGAATAACATACAAAAAAAACCATTGAATTTGTAACCGAGCCGGGATAGCGCAATTAGCATAAGCATTGAATCGGTAATGAATTGGCAAACAAAGAGGTGACGGGTTCGAATCCCGCCTGATTAGCATGAAAAAAAAAAAAAAAAAAAAAAATCGCGGCTTGGATCTGGGAGGGCTTGGGGCGAGGAGAGGGAAGAAAAAAAAGGCCTTGGGAAGGGTACGGGAAGGGGAGTTGGTACACCGGCCGGGGGGGCGGGCCAGGGGGGAGAGGGCAGGGGGGGGGCAGGCAGGGGGGGGGGTAAGTAGATAGCTAGAGGGGTAGGTAGATAGATAGATAGATAGATAGATAGATAGATAGATAGATAGATAGATAGATAGATAGATAGGGGATAGGTAGATAGGTAGAGGATAGGTAGGGGGGATGGGATGGGATGGGGAGGGAAGGGAAGGGAAGGGAGGGGGAAAGGGAGGGGCGGTCTTGCCTGCGAGCAAGGTCTCTTGCTGCCGGGATTGGGGGGAGGGTTGGGTGGGGTGGGGCAGTGAGAGACCTTGCTCGCAGGCTAGACCCGGGGAGGGTTTTGCTGCTCAGCACAGTTTTTTTTCTTCCTACTTTTATAAAATTCTTGACTCAAAATAAGGACATTTGGAAAAGAATGCATTCACGTAAAAAAAAAAGGGGTAAAAAGGACGTGTGCGAAGAAACAAGCGAAATTTATGATTAGACATTTGTCATTATTCAGGATCAACTTCTCCACACTTTGAGACCCACTGGACGCTTTTTCCCAGATTCAACTTCGCGAGTTAGTCTACTTATAGTACGTTCCTTTTCTTTAATGCAGTGGATAAACAGACCATGAAGTTGCAAACTGCTCTTCGTCTGAAGTTGGAGAATTTTCGTTATTGGTCATGGACCTTGGGGACATTTAACAGCCTGATTTTAAGAGTGGATTGGAAATAGCTTGAATTAACCTTGCCTGCGAAAGAAACACGACCTGATGGAATTACGAATCGTCAATAGGCCGGGCAAACAATGTTTGTTTGGTTCATCTTGTCAAGTGACTTTTGGTTCAAGTTGGAAACTGATGGAGATCTCCTGGAAATGTCCCTGTGTTTTTTTTTATGTCTCAAGTAAGAGGATGTAAGTATATTTCATTGTGGAAAAAAAGTCTTTCAGCTGCCTTAGGACACGCAGGATATCACCTTGTTTTGATCTTTCAGGCTGATTTCACGATTCTATGACAAGTTTTCGGTCGCATCGGTAGCATTTTAGTATGATTTACAGTGCTACTTGCAGATTTGCTATTGCAGATAAGGGTACCAGATTCAGACTAGGGTACTGTAGTTGCCTAGTTAGAGAAGAACGCTTCTTCTTGTTTTTGAAGGGTCACATTGCTGGTTCCAAATCTATTAAAATTGACATAATCTTCGCGTTTTTCATTTATAAGATCAATTTTGCTTGTTACAGGAACACTTGTAAATGGCGTGAGATTAACATGCACATTCTCCATACTCATTCCTTTACCGTTCATCTGGCGCTAACGAGGAGAATTTGACTAGAAATCACAATGTTTTTCGCTGCTGAGCAGTTTCCTCTTTTTTCAGCAGTTTATGATTGATACTGTTCAGTGGTAGGATATATAGCGAGAATGTAAATTGATGTTGATCACTGTTCACCGTACAAAAAGTGTTTCTTGTGATCACCGACTGAAAGCAAACGCACCGACGAACATTTCAAGTATTTCAATATTACACAAAACTTCAGCTAAAATCAAAATTGCCCGTCGGAAAAAACGTGAAAGCGCTAAGTGCTTTTTTAAATGTAAAAGCGGTCAGAAAGATACAAGAATCGTGATTAAAAGGAAGCTTTTGCAAAGCCGAGAAGGTTACAGTTTCCATTATGTTTGGTTAACTTTGGTTTGTTTTGGTTCTCGGACCTGTGGGACCTCAGGGACCTCTGGGCCGAAGGTTCATGATGTCATTATTTTCAACAGCCAATCAGGGGCAAGAATTTGATTTGCATATGAATAACATACAAAAAAACCATTGAATTTGTAACCGAGCCGGGATAGCGCAATTAGCATAAGCATTGAATCGGTAATGAATTGGCAAACAAAGAGGTGACGGGTTCGAATCCCGCCTGATTAGCATGAAAAAGGAAAAAAAAAGAAAAAAAAAATCGCGGCTTGGATCTGGGAGGGCTTGGGGCGAGGAGAGGGAAGGAAAAAAAAGGCCTTGGGAAGGGTACGGGAAGCGGGGTTGTTGGTACACCGGCCCGGGGGCGGGCCGGGGAGAGGGCAGGGAGGGGGGGGGGCAGGAGGGGGGGGGTAGATAGATAGCTAGAGGGGTAGGTAGATAGATAGATAGGTAGATAGATAGATAGATAGATAGATAGATAAATAGATAGATAGGTAGAGGGGGGTAGGTAGATAGGTAGATAGGTAGAGGGCGGTGGGATGGGAGGGGGAAGGGAAGGGAAGGGAAGGGAGGGGGAAAGGGAGGGGCGGTCTAGCCTGCGAGCAAGGTCTCTTGCTGCCGGGATTGGGGGGAGGGTTGGGTGGGGTGGGGCAGTGAGAGACCTTGCTCGCAGGCTAGACCCGGGGAGGGTTTTGCTGCTCAGCACAGTTTTTTTTTTCTTCTTACTTTTATAAAATTCTTGACTCAAAATAAGGACATTTGGAAAAGAATGCATTCACGTAAAAAAAAAAGGGGGGAAAAAGGACGTGTGCGAAGAAACAAGCGAAATTTATGATTAGACATTTGTCATTATTCAGGATCAACTTCTCTACACTTTGAGACCCACTGGACGCTTTTTCCCAGATTCAACTTCGCGAGTTAGTCTACTTATAGTACGTTCCGTTTCTTTAATGCAGTGGATAAACAGACCATGAAGTTGCAAACTGCTCTTCGTCTGAAGTTGGAGAATTTTCGTTATTGGTCATGGACCGTGGGGACATTTAACAGCCTGATTTTAAGAGTGGATCTGAAATAGCTTGAATTAACCTTGCCTGCGAAAGAAACACGACCTGATGGAATTACTAATCGTCAATAGGCCGGGCAAACAATGTTTGTTTGGTTCATCTTGTCAAGTGACTTTTGGTTCAAGTTGGAAACTGATGGAGATCTCCTGGAAGTGTCCCTGTGTTTTTTTTTTTTATGTCTCAAGTAAGAGGATGTAAGTATATTTCATTTGAAAAAAAGTCTTTCAGGTGCCTTAGGACACGCAGGATATCACCTTGTTTTGATCTTTCAGGCTGATTTCACGATTCTATGACAAGTTTTCGGTCGCATCGGTAGCATTTTAGTATGATTTACAGTGCTACTTGCAGATTTGCTATTGCAGATAAGGGTACCAGATTCAGACTAGGGTACTGTAGTTGCCTAGTTAGAGAAGAACGCTTTTTCTTGTTTTTGAAGGGTCACATTGCTGGCTCCAAATCTATTAAAATTGACATAATCTTCGCGTTTTTCATTTATAAGATCAATTTTGCTTGTTACAGGAACACTTGTAAATGGCGTGAGATTAACATGCACATTCTCCATACTCATTCCTTTACCGTTCATCTGGCGCTAACGAGGAGAATTTGACTAGAAATCACAATGTTTTTCGCTGCTGAGCAGTTTCCTCTTTTTTCAGCAGTTTATGATTGATACTGTTCAGTGGTAGGATATATAGCGAGAATGTAAATTGATGTTGATCACTGTTTACCGTACAAAAAGTGTTTCTTGTGATCACCGACTGAAAGCAAACGCACCGACGGACATTTCAAGTATTTCAATATTATACAAAACTTCAGCTAAAATCAAAATTGCCCGTCGGAAAAAACGTGAAAGCGCTAAGTGCTTTTTTAAATGTAAAAGCGGTCAGAAAGATACAAGAATCGTGATTAAAAGGAAGCTTTTGCAAAGCCGAGAAGGTTACAGTTTCCATTATGTTTGGTTAACTTTGGTTTGTTTTGGTTCTTGGACCTGTGGGACCTCAGGGACCTCTGGGCCGAAGGTTCATGATGTCATTATTTTCAACAGCCAATCAGGGGCAAGAATTTGATTTGCATATGAATAACATACAAAAAAAACCATTGAATTTGTAACCGAGCCGGGATAGCGCAATTAGCATAAGCATTGAATCGGTAATGAATTGGCAAACAAAGAGGTGACGGGTTCGAATCCCGCCTGATTAGCATGAAAAAGGAAAAAAAAAAAAAAAAAAAATCGCGGCTTGGATCTGGGAGGGCTTGGGGCGAGGAGGGAAGAAAAAAAGGCCTTGGGAAGGGTACGGGAAGCGGGGTTGGTACACACGGCCTGGGGGCGGGGCGGGGGGAGAGGGGGGGAGGGGGGCAGGCAGGGGGGGGGGTAAGTAGATAGCTAGAGGGAGGGGTAGGTAGATAGATAGATAGATCGATAGATAGATAGATAGATAGATAGATAGATAGACAGATAAATAGATAGATAGGTAGAGGGGGTAGGTAGATAGGTAGATAGGTAGAGGGCGGAGGGACGGGAGGGGGAAGGGAAATGAAGGGAAGGAAAGGGAGGCGTGGTCTAGCCTGCGAGCAAGGTCTCTTGCTGCCGGGATTGGGGGGAAGGTTGGATGGGGTGGGGCAGTGAGAGACCTTGCTCGCAGGCTAGACCCGGGGAGGGTTTTGCTGCTCAGCACAGTTTTTTTCTTCTTACTTTTATAAAATTCTTGACTCAAAATAAGGACATTTGGAAAAGAATGCATTCACGTAAAAAAAAAGGGGAAAAAAGGACGTGTGCGAAGAAACAAGCGAAATTTATGATTAGACATTTGTCATTACTCAGGATCAACTTCTCCACACTTTGAGACCCACTGGACGCTTTTTCCCAGATTCAACTTCGCGAGTTAGTCTACTTATAGTACGTTCCTTTTCTTTAATGCAGTGGATAAACAGACCATGAAGTTGCAAACTGCTCTTCGTCTGAAGTTGGAGAATTTTCGTTATTGGTCATGGACCTCGGGGACATTTAACAGCCTGATTTTAAGAGTGGATTGGAAATAGCTTGAATTAACCTTGCCTGCGAAAGAAACACGACCTGATGGAATTACTAATCGTCAATAGGCCGGGCAAACAATGTTTGTTTGGTTCATCTTGTCAAGTGACTTTTGGTTCAAGTTGGAAACTGATGGAGATCTCCTGGAAATGTCCCTGTGTTTTTTTTTATGTCTCAAGTAAGAGGATGTAAGTATATTTCATTGTGGAAAAAAAGTCTTTCAGCTGCCTTAGGACACGCAGGATATCACCTTGTTTTGATCTTTCAGGCTGATTTCACGATTCTATGACAAGTTTTCGGTCGCGTCGGTTGCATTTTAGTATGATTTACAGTGCTACTTGCAGATTTGCTATTGCAGATAAGGGTACCAGATTCAGACTAGGGTACTGTAGTTGCCTAGTTAGAGAAGAACGCTTTTTCTTGTTTTTGAAGGGTCACATTGCTGGCTCCAAATCTATTACAATTGACATAATCTTCGCGTTTTTCATTTATAAGATCAATTTTGCTTGTTACAGGAACACTTGTAAATGGCGTGAGATTAACATGCACATTCTCCATACTCATTCCTTTACCGTTCATCTGGCGCTAACGAGGAGAATTTTACTAGAAATCACAATGTTTTTCACTGCTGAGCAGTTTCCTCTTTTTTCAGCAGTTTATGATTGATACTGTTCAGTGGTAGGATATATAGCGAGAATGTAAATTGATGTTGATCACTGTTTACCGTACAAAAAGTGTTTCTTGTGATCACCGACTGAAAGCAAACGCACCGACGGACATTTCAAGTATTTCAATATTATACAAAACTTCAGCTAAAATCAAAATTGCCCGTCGGAAAAAACGTGAAAGCGCTAAGTGCTTTTTTAAATGTAAAAGCGGTCAGAAAGATACAAGAATCGTGATTAAAAGGAAGCTTTTGCAAAGCCGAGAAGGTTACAGTTTCCATTATGTTTGGTTAACTTTGGTTTGTTTTGGTTCTTGGACCTGTGGGACCTCAGGGACCTCTGGGCCGAAGGTTCATGATGTCATTATTTTCAACAGCCAATCAGGGGCAAGAATTTGATTTGCATATGAATAACATACAAAAAAACCATTGAATTTGTAACCGAGCCGGGATAGCGCAATTAGCACAAGCATTGAATCGGTAATGAATTGGCAAACAAAGAGGTGACGGGTTCGAATCCCGCCTGATTAGCATGAAAAGGAAAAAAAAAAAAAAAAATCGCGGCTTGGATCTGGGAGGGCTTGGGGCGAGGAGAGGGAAGAAAAAAAAGGCCTTGGGAAGGGTACGGGAAGCGGGAGTTGGTACACACGGCCGGGGGGCGGCCGGGGAGAGGCAGGGAGAGGGGGGGGCAGGCAGGGAGGGGGTAAGTAGATAGCTAGAGGGGTAGGTAGGTAGATAGATAGATAGATAGATAGATAGATAGATAGATAGATAGATAGATAGATAAATAGATAGATAGGTAGGTAGGGATAGGGGATGGGGGGGAGGGGATGGGGGGAAGGGGGGAAGGGGGGAGGGAGGGGGGGGGGGAGGGGCGGTCTAGCCTGCGAGCAAGGTCTCTTGCTGCCGGGATTGGGGGGGGTTGGGGGGGGGTGGGGCAGTGAGAGACCTTGCTCGCAGGCTAGACCCGGGGAGGGTTTTGCTGCTCAGCACAGTTTTTTTTCTTCTTACTTTTATAAAATTCTTGACTCAAAATAAGGACATTTGGAAAAGAATGCATTCACGTAAAAAAAAAAAAAAAAGGGGAAAAAAAAGGACGTGTGCGAAGAAACAAGCGAAATTTATGATTAGACATTTGTCATTATTCAGGATCAACTTCTCCACACTTTGAGACCCACTGGACGCTTTTTTCCCAGATTCAACTTCGCGAGTTTAGTCTACTTATAGTACGTTCCTTTTCTTTAATGCAGTGGATAAACAGACCATGAAGTTGCAAACTGCTCTTCGTCTGAAGTTGGAGAATTTTCGTTATTGGTCATGGACCTTGGGGACATTTAACAGCCTGATTTTAAGAGTGGATTGGAAATAGCTTGAATTAACCTTGCCTGCGAAAGAAACACGACCTGATGGAATTACTAATCGTCAATAGGCCGGGCAAACAATGTTTGTTTGGTTCATCTTGTCAAGTGACTTTTGGTTCAAGTTGGAAACTGATGGAGATCTCCTGGAAATGTCCCTGTGTTTTTTTTTATGTCTCAAGTAAGAGGATGTAAGTATATTTCATTGTGGAAAAAAAGTCTTTCAGCTGCCTTAGGACACGCAGGATATCACCTTGTTTTGATCTTTCAGGCTGATTTCACGATTCTATGACAAGTTTTCGATCGCGTCGGTTGCATTTTAGTATGATTTACAGTGCTACTTGCAGATTTGCTATTGCAGATAAGGGTACCAGATTCAGACTAGGGTACTGTAGTTGCCTAGTTAGAGAAGAACGCTTTTTCTTGTTTTTGAAGGGTCACATTGCTGGCTCCAAATCTATTACAATTGACATAATCTTCGCGTTTTTCATTTATAAGATCAATTTTGCTTGTTACAGGAACACTTGTAAATGGCGTGAGATTAACATGCACATTCTCCATACTCATTCCTTTACCGTTCATCTGGCGCAAACGAGAAGAATTTGACTAGAAATCACAATGTTTTTCGCTGCTGAGCAGTTTCCTCTTTTTTCAGCAGTTTATGATTGATACTGTTCAGTGGTAGGATATATAGCGAGAATGTAAATTGATGTTGATCACTGTTCACCGTACAAAAAGTGTTTCTTGTGATCACCGACTGAAAGCAAACGCACCGACGAACATTTCAAGTATTTCAATATTACACAAAACTTCAGCTAAAATCAAAATTGCCCGTCGGAAAAAACGTGAAAGCGCTAAGTGCTTTTTTAAATGTAAAAGCGGTCAGAAAGATACAAGAATCGTGATTAAAAGGAAGCTTTTGCAAAGCCGAGAAGGTTACAGTTTCCATTATGTTTGGTTAACTTTGGTTTGTTTTGGTTCTTGGACCTGTGGGACCTCAGGGACCTCTGGGCCGAAGGTTCATGATGTCATTATTTTCAACAGCCAATCAGGGGCAAGAATTTGATTTGCATATGAATAACATACAAAAAAACCATTGAATTTGTAACCGAGCCGGGATAGCGCAATTAGCATAAGCATTGAATCGGTAATGAATTGGCAAACAAAGAGGTGACGGGTTCGAATCCCGCCTGATTAGCATGAAAAAGGAAAAAAAAGAAAAAAAACGGGGCTTGGATCTGGGAGGGCTTGGGGCGAGGAGAGGGAAGAAAAAAAAGGCCTTGGGAAGGGTACGGGAAGCGGGAGTTGGTACACCGGCCCGGGGGGGCGGGGGGGAGAGGGCAGGAGAGGGGGGCAGGCAGGAGGGGGGGTAGATAGCTAGAGGGGGGGTAGGTAGATAGATAGATAGATAGATAGATAGATAGATAGATAGATAGATAGGGGGTAGGTAGATAGGTAGATAGGTAGATAGGTAGATAGGTAGAGGGCGGAAGGGATGGGAGGGAAGGGAAGGGAAGGGAAGGGAGGGGAGGGGGGGGAGGGGCGGTCTAGCCTGCGAGCAAGGTCTCTTGCTGCCGGGATTGGGGGGAGGGTTGGGTGGGGTGGGGCAGTGAGAGACCTTGCTCGCAGGCTAGACCCGGGGAGGGTTTTGCTGCTCAGCACAGTTTTTTTTCTTCCTACTTTTATAAAATTCTTGACTCAAAATAAGGACATTTGGAAAAGAATGCATTCACGTAAAAAAAAAAGGGGAAAAAAGGACGTGTAAGAAGAAACAAGCGAAATTTATGATTAGACATTTGTCATTATTCAGGATCAACTTCTCCACACTTTGAGACCCACTGGACGCTTTTTCCCAGATTCAACTTCGCGAGTTAGTCTACTTATAGTACGTTCCTTTTCTTTAATGCAGTGGATAAACAGACCATGAAGTTGCAAACTGCTCTTCGTCTGAAGTTGGAGAATTTTCGTTATTGGTCATGGACCTTGGGGACATTTAACAGCCTGATTTTAAGAGTGGATTGGAAATAGCTTGAATTAACCTTGCCTGCGAAAGAAACACGACCTGATGGAATTACTAATCGTCAATAGGCCGGGCAAACAATGTTTGTTTGGTTCATCTTGTCAAGTGACTTTTGGTTCAAGTTGGAAACTGATGGAGATCTCCTGGAAATGTCCCTGTGTTTTTTTTTAATGTCTCAAGTAAGAGGATGGAAGTATATTTCATTGTGGAAAAAAAGTCTTTCAGCTGCCTTAGGACACGCAGGATATCACCTTGTTTTGATCTTTCAGGCTGATTTCACGATTCTATGACAAGTTTTCGGTCGCATCGGTAGCATTTTAGTATGATTTACAGTGCTACTTGCAGATTTGCTATTGCAGATAAGGGTACCAGATTCAGACTAGGGTACTGTAGTTGCCTAGTTAGAGAAGAACGCTTTTTCTTGTTTTTGAAGGGTCACATTGCTGGCTCCAAATCTATTACAATTGACATAATCTTCGCGTTTTTCATTTATAAGATCAATTTTGCTTGTTACAGGAACACTTGTAAATGGCGTGAGATTAACATGCACATTCTCCATACTCATTCCTTTACCGTTCATCTGGCGCTAACGAGGAGAATTTGACTAGAAATCACAATGTTTTTCACTGCTGAGCAGTTTCCTCTTTTTTCAGCAGTTTATGATTGATACTGTTCAGTGGTAGGATATATAGCGAGAATGTAAATTGATGTTGATCACTGTTCACCGTACAAAAAGTGTTTCTTGTGATCACCGACTGAAAGCAAACGCACCGACGAACATTTCAAGTATTTCAATATTACACAAAACTTCAGCTAAAATCAAAATTGCCCGTCGGAAAAAACGTGAAAGCGCTAAGTGCTTTTTTAAATGTAAAAGCGGTCAGAAAGATACAAGAATCGTGATTAAAAGGAAGCTTTTGCAAAGCCGAGAAGGTTACAGTTTCCATTATGTTTGGTTAACTTTGGTTTGTTTTGGTTCTTGGACCTGTGGGACCTCAGGGACCTCTGGGCCGAAGGTTCATGATGTCATTATTTTCAACAGCCAATCAGGGGCAAGAATTTGATTTGCATATGAATAACATACAAAAAAACCATTGAATTTGTAACCGAGCCGGGATAGCGCAATTAGCATAAGCATTGAATCGGTAATGAATTGGCAAACAAAGAGGTGACGGGTTCGAATCCCGCCTGATTAGCATGAAAAAAAAAAAAAAAAAAAAAAAAATCGGGGCTTGGATCTGGGAGGGCTTGGGGCGAGGAGAGGGAAGAAAAAAGGCCTTGGGAAGGGTACGGGAAGCGGGAGTTGGTACACCGGCTGGGGGGGCGGGCCGGGGGAGGGCAGGGGAGGGGGGCAGGCGGGAGGGGGGTAAGTAGATAGCTAGAGGGGGGGGGTAGATAGATAGATAGATAGATAGATAGATAGATAGATAGATAGATAGGGATAGGTAGGGGTAGATAGGTAGGGGGGGAGGGATGGGAGGGGAGGGAAGGGGAGGGATGGGAGGGGAGGGAGGGAAGGGAAGGGAAGGGGGGGGGGGAGGGGGAGGGGGGGGTCTAGCCTGCGAGCAAGGTCTCTTGCTGCCGGGATGGGGGAGGTTGGGGTGGGGTGGGGCAGTGAGAGACCTTGCTCGCAGGCTAGACCCAGGGAGGGTTTTGCTGCTCACAGTTTTTTTTTTCTTCTTACTTTTATAAAATTCTTGACTCAAAATAAGGACATTTGGAAAAAAATGCATTCACGTAAAAAAAAAGGGGGAAAAAGGACGTGTGCGAAGAAACAAGCGAAATTTATGATTAGACATTTGTCATTACTCAGGATCAACTTCTCCACACTTTGAGACCCACTGGACGCTTTTTCCCAGATTCAACTTCGCGAGTTAGTCTACTTATAGTACGTTCCTTTTCTTTAATGCAGTGGATAAACAGACCATGAAGTTGCAAACTGCTCTTCGTCTGAAGTTGGAGAATTTTCGTTATTGGTCATGGACCTTGGGGACATTTAACAGCCTGATTTTAAGAGTGGATTGGAAATAGCTTGAATTAACCTTGCCTGCGAAAGAAACACGACCTGATGGAATTACTAATCGTCAATAGGCCGGGCAAACAATGTTTGTTTGGTTCATCTTGTCAAGTGACTTTTGGTTCAAGTTGGAAACTGATGGAGATCTCCTGGAAGTGTCCCTGTGTTTTTTTTTTATGTCTCAAGTAAGAGGATGTAAGTATATTTCATTGTGGAAAAAAAGTCTTTCAGCTGCCTTAGGACACGCAGGATATCACCTTGTTTTGATCTTTCAGGCTGATTTCACGATTCTATGACAAGTTTTCGGTCGCATCGGTAGCATTTTAGTATGATTTACAGTGCTACTTGCAGATTTGCTATTGCAGTTATAAGGGTACCAGATTCAGACTAGGGTACTGTAGTTGCCTAGTTAGAGAAGAACGCTTTTTCTTGTTTTTGAAGGGTCACATTGCTGGCTCCAAATCTATTAAAATTGACATAATCTTCGCGTTTTTCATTTATAAGATCAATTTTGCTTGTTACAGGAACACTTGTAAATGGCGTGAGATTAACATGCACATTCTCCATACTCATTCCTTTACCGTTCATCTGGCGCTAACGAGGAGAATTTGACTAGAAATCACAATGTTTTTCGCTGCTGAGCAGTTTCCTCTTTTTTCAGCAGTTTATGATTGATACTGTTCAGTGGTAGGATATATAGCGAGAATGTAAATTGATGTTGATCACTGTTCACCATACAAAAAGTGTTTCTTGTGATATCCGACTGAAAGCAAACGCACCGACGGACATTTCAAGTATTTCAATATTATACAAAACTTCAGCTAAAATCAAAATTGCCCGTCGGAAAAAACGTGAAAGCGCTAAGTGCTTTTTTAAATGTAAAAGCGGTCAGAAAGATACAAGAATCGTGATTAAAAGGAAGCTTTTGCAAAGCCGAGAAGGTTACAGTTTCCATTATGTTTGGTTAACTTTGGTTTGTTTTGGTTCTTGGACCTGTGGGACCTCAGGGACCTCTGGGCCGAAGGTTCATGATGTCATTATTTTCAACAGCCAATCAGGGGCAAGAATTTGATTTGCATATGAATAACATACAAAAAAACCATTGAATTTGTAACCGAGCCGGGATAGCGCAATTAGCATAAGCATTGAATCGGTAATGAATTGGCAAACAAAGAGGTGACGGGTTCGAATCCCGCCTGATTAGCATGAAAAAGGAAAAAAAAGAAAAAAATCGCGGCTTGGATCTGCGAGGGCATGGGGCGAGGAGAGGGAAGAAAAAAGGCCTTGGGAAGGGTACGGGAAGCGGGAGTTGGTACACCGGCCCGGGGGCGGGCCGGGGAGAGGGCAGGGAGGGGGGCAGGGGGGGGGGGGGTAAGTAGATAGCTAGAGGGGTAGGTAGATAGATAGATAGATAGATAGATAGATAGATAGATAGATAGATAGAGGGGGTAGATAGATAGATAGATAGGTAGAGGGCGGAGGGATGGGTAGATAGGTAGGGAGGGAGGGGAGGGAAGGGAAGGGAAGGGAAGGGAAGGGAAGGGAAGGGAGGGGAAGGGAGGGGGGGTCTAGCCTGCGAGCAAGGTCTCTTGCTGCCGGGATTGGGGGAGGGTTGGGTGGGGTGGGGCAGTGAGAGACCTTGCTCGCAGGCTAGACCCGGGGAGGGTTTTGCTGCTCAGCACAGTTTTTTTTTCTTCTTACTTTTATAAAATTCTTGACTCAAAATAAGGACATTTGGAAAAAGAATGCATTCACGTAAAAAAAAAAAGGGGAAAAAAAAGGACGTGTGCGAAGAAACAAGCGAAATTTATGATTAGACATTTGTCATTACTCAGGATCAACTTCTCCACACTTTGAGACCCACTGGACGCTTTTTTCCCACATTCAACTTCGCGAGTTAGTCTACTTATAGTACGTTCCTTTTCTTTAATGCAGTGGATAAACAGACCATGAAGTTGCAAACTGCTCTTCGTCTGAAGTTGGAGAATTTTCTTTATTGGTCATAGACCTTGGGGACATTTAACAGCCTGATTTTAAGACTGGATTGGAAATAGCTTGAATTAACCTTGCCTGCGAAAGAAACACGACCTGATGGAATTACTAATCGTCAATAGGCCGGGCAAACAATGTTTGTTTGGTTCATCTTGTCAAGTGACTTTTGGGTCAAGTTGGACACTGATGGGGATCTCCTGGAAGTGTCCCTGTGTTTTTTTTTTTTATGTCTCAAGTAAGAGGATGTAAGTATATTTCATTGTGGAAAAAAAGTCTTTCAGCTGCCTTAGGACACGCAGGATATCACCTTGTTTTGATCTTTCAGGCTGATTTCACGATTCTATGACAAGTTTTCGGTCGCATCGGTAGCATTTTAGTATGATTTACAGTGCTACTTGCAGATTTGCTATTGCAGTTATAAGGGTACCAGATTCAGACTAGGGTACTGTAGTTGCCTAGTTAGAGAAGAACGCTTTTTCTTGTTTTTGAAGGGTCACATTGCTGGCTCCAAATCTATTAAAATTGACATAATCTTCGCGTTTTTCATTTATAAGATCAATTTTGCTTGTTACAGGAACACTTGTAAATGGCGTGAGATTAACATGCACATTCTCCATACTCATTCCTTTACCGTTCATCTGGCGCTAACGAGGAGAATTTGACTAGAAATCACAATGTTTTTCGCTGCTGAGCAGTTTCCTCTATTTTCAGCAGTTTATGATTGATACTGTTCAGTGGTAGGATATATAGCGAGAATGTAAATTGATGTTGATCACTGTTAACCGTACAAAAACTGTTTCTTGTGATCACCGACGGAAAGCAAACGCACCGACGGACATTTCAAGTATTTCAAAATTACCTAAAAAACTTACAGCTAAAATCAAAATTGCCCGTCGGAAAAAACGTGAAAGCGCTAAGTGCTTTTTAAATGTAAAAGCCGTCAGAAAGATACAAGAATCGTGATTAAAAGGAGGCTTTTTGCAAAGCCGAGAAGGCTACAGTTTCCATTATGTTTGGTTGACTTTGGTTTGTTTTGGTTCTTGGACCTGTGGGACCTCAGGGACCTCTGGGCCGAAGGTTCATGATGTCATTATTTTCAACAGCCAATCAGGGGCAAGAATTTGATTTGCATATGAATAACATACAAAAAAACCATTGAATTTGTAACCGAGCCGGGATAGCGCAATTGGCATAAGCATTGAATTGGTAATGAATTGGCAAACAAAGAGGTGACGGGTTCGAATCCCGCCTGATTAGCATAAAAAAGGGAAAAAAAGAAAAAAATCGCGGCTTGGATCTGGGAGGGCTTGGGGCGAGGAGAGGGAAGAAAAAGGCCTTGGGAAGGGTATGGGAAGCGGGAGTTGGTACACCGGCCCGGGGGCGGGGCAGGGGGGAGGGCAGGGAGAGGGGGGGGCAGGAGGGGGGGGGGTAGGTAGATAGGTAGAGGGGGGGTAGGTAGATAGATAGATAGATAGATAGATAGATAGATAGATAGATAGATAGGTAGATAGGTAGAGGGGTAGGGCGGAGGGATAGGTAGGGCTAGGGAAGGGAAGGGAGGGGGGGGAGGGATGGGAGGGGAAGGGAGGGGGAAAGGGAGGGGGAAAGGGAGGGGGTTCTAGCCTGCGAGCAAGGTCTCTTGCGGCCGGGATTGGGGGGAGGTTGGGTTGGGTGGGGTGGGGCAGGCCTTTTTAAATGTACGAGCATTGAAAAAAATTCAAGAATCGTTTGAAAACAGTCTTTAGGTAATTGAAATAGGTCAGGAATAAAACCCAATGTAAAAATTAAGTAAGGGCAATACTTTTAATGACTAAAATGTTGTAAGGCAGGTTTACACGCTAGAAGCGGTTAATTTACGCACTACGACTAATTGAGTTTCTATTCTTAAGTTTGTTTGCGCCCAGATTTTTTAATCCCTTTCTCCACTTTTCAAGAGAATTTTCAGTATGCCATGTCTGTCGAAAGGCTCTGTTTTGGAATAACTCGTATATTCGCCTTAAGGACAAGCTTTACTAATAATGAAATAAAATATACATCACGTCAAGCACAGCTGATATGAGTCGGTAGTGTGCGTGGTGGACGTTTTATTAGAAGTCCAGGGGATCAGTCAACCCCAGGTTATTTTTAGCATGCATTGGTTATCCATGGACATGATTTACTGCACGTTTCACATTATAACTTGCATGACAATATCATTTGTTTAATTTTTCTCTGGTGCATGTATGGTAACTCGAAATCTCTACTAGCGGAACTTCGTGATCTGCAATTCCATATACATGGTTAGAAATGAAAGCTGGATGCTATATAACAATATGTTGTCTTCTCATTTGACCATGCAGGCATATATAACAGACTAAAAAAGTTCAAGCTAGTTAAACAACAGTTGACTTCTTTCTTGGGGTGGAAACCGAAAGATGATGAGCCATCATTGGACAAAAAATTAGAAGAGCTGTGCTGACAATAGCTAACACATATCCCCAAGCAATTTTACAAGTTCCAGAGTTAAAAAATCCACTTGAAGAGCCACAGTGTTTCTTGGCAAAGCTGGAGTTGAGACCAAAACAGTAAATGATCAGGCTGATGAATAGGAGAAGAGCTGCAAAGAATAAAATAATGATGATATTTGTTAAAAATAACTATCCATATGAACAAGTAAGAGAGACCACTGATAACAAGTTTGTAGTATACTTTCACAGAATAATATATATATCACTTTTCTAGGATTTTTTTAACAGATACAATAGTTTTTTTTTAAATTTCCAATATTTCCAAAAATAAGTATGGTACTGAGTATGATTATAGGTAATTCATTTTGGAAGTTTTGTTCAGTAGAGAAACCAATGCTCAAAGGGCAGCCATTTCTGAGAATGAAAAGGCTCAAACACAATTTTCTCTCTTGTGGCCAGGTTTCAAGCACACAAAAGAAGAGGGAAAAAATTTTGCTCAATATTGACAAAAACGATAACTGGTCTTGTATTCCCTGTTGTTACCATGCAGGGGCGTAGCTAGGGGGGGTCCTGGGTTACCCATGACCCCCCCTTGGTAGGCCTTCTTTTGAGCAAACAACCGACAATATTCAGGTGGTGAAAACGCCATGACAATATCTTGGCCGTAAAAGCCATTGTTGAAAAGCCAACTTTCTTAAAATTTGTGTTTTTGTAAAGTATTTTCGTCAACGGCTCTTATCTTTAGTTAATATGGGCCTTCATGCCATGATAATACGACTGAGCCTGCTGATACACGAGGGAGAGCAGCGGTGAGTAGCCTCTGTGACCCCCCCCCTGGCTATGCCCCTGCCATTGTAACACTAGGAAGAGGACATTGGGGTTTGCTGCACATGTGCAGGAATGTGGGTTTTCTTCTTTTCCACTGTTGGGTAACAATAATGACAATTTTTTGGTAACTCATTCCTGACTCAGCCGTCTCCCCTCATCCCTCTCCACAAGGGATGTTTTGTATGAAAGACTTTTGGGCCTCAGCGACAGAAATTCTATTCAGATGACCTAAAATCCGTCTAGAATCTGGTCAGGAGCACTGATTGGTTGTCGTAGAGTGTAGTAGTCATTTTGTTTCAGCTATTGTTTACAAATGACTGAGAAAAGACAAATATATGGGCCACAAAGATCAAATGCAAAAATGTTAAATTTACTACAAAACAGTCAGTATTGTGAAATATACTATTCTTTAGAGGAAGCATTTGAGTGTTGCTGGAGCTCATTTGCAGGAGAAAACAAAACTCAACTATAATTGACCAGAAAAAACATAAAATCAAACAAATCTATATTTGGAACCCCACGACTACTGGATTAATTTTGTAAACATTGATTTATGTCATCATTATAGTATTACTGGCTCTGAGAACAGGTGCAGAAGTCTTTCCTGCAAAACGTCCTTAGCACCGAGGATTGAGGAGAGGCAGCTACGTAATATCCACAGGCTACACTATTTCAATGTTAAAATTCAGTCTATTGGTATATGCTAGCTCTCTAATTAAGCAAATTATATTACTTCTTATTTTTATGGAACTGCAGCTCAGGGTATCCCCTACCCCTCCAGAATGCTCCCTGCATCAATGAAAGTTGACTGGACTGTTATGTGATGAAAAGTAATGATCCTTACCGGCAATGCCCTGAATTATTCCAGCAATACTAAAGACTGATTTTCCACAAATAACCTTTCGGCAGCAGGAAATATGGGCTAACAATAAGCATGCCAGCAGCAATACCAAAGCAAGTGCATACATGATCGTGGCTACTTTCCAGAACACAGAAGGAATTCCGGGAAAAATCCCCTTGTAGAATGAACAATACTTTGATGCTCTCCACTCATTAATGTCACCTAATGTAACAAATTGTTCTTTCAAACAAAATCTTAGCAGTCCAAAAGCTATGAAAGTTTCACTGTTGTTTGCTGATGTAGGATCAGGGATGTGTTCATGCCAAAATGGAGAAAAGAAAGCCAAGGAGCACGTGAAGAGCAAAATAAGACACAATATTGTCCACAACACAGAAATGGCAGACATCTGTAAAAAAACAAACAAACAAACAAACAAAATATTATTTTAGAGAATATGCTCAAGAAGACAGGCAACTAGGGATGTTTCCAGGACTGAGTAGGTGATTATCTGCCAGTCCTCAACCAAAACAGTCTGTTTTTTAAAACCACTTTTCAGATTTCATGGGTAATCATCTGGCAGGGGGACTCAACAAAGTTTTATAAGGGGAGACTCTGCCCCGAGGTCCAACGCCTTACCCTTTTATGTACCATTTTTGACATTAGGTACCACTTTTGTACACCTTTCATTGACAAATAGTACCCCTTTTACATACCTAGTTTAGGGAAGAATACTGCATCTTTTTCGACTGCTCTAAAAGCAGAATGTTTTCTCCACTTTTTCACGGTCATAAAATGCATCTGTTAGCCCTTTTAGACCCAGACCCTGAGAAAAGGGGGAGGTCCAGTCTCAAAAAAAATTTTTTTGGTCCCTTCGGGCCTCAGCTTGGTCTAAAAATAAGGGCCCTTCCCCTGGATCCACCACTGATCCCCACCCTTTCAAAGATCTGAAACATGAAAAAGGCAGATCATTTTATGTTTCTGTGAAACTGCCCACCCACCGCTCCCCTAAGCCAACATTTTGCCTTAAGTAAGAACTAAGTGTTAATTATGGCTTAGGGGAGGGGTAGGTGGGCAGTTTTCCACAAACGTAAAATGAATATGGTGCCGCTTTTGGAAGGAGCCTCCCATATTGGCCATCGCCGGGTTAAATCATTGATATGAGCATAGTAGATATAAGTTTTTTTAAAAGACTGGACAAGTAAATTGACACCAGTAATATAATGTCAAACTGTCATAATAGGCTAAGTGAAAACACAGAAGATTCAATATGCAATCAGCACCCTCTGCTAACATTGGTCTTTTGTGAAAGGTAAACAATGCTCGAGATCAACAACAAATTATTAAATCAATATGGGGTGTTTTTACAGGAAATTCCACTTGCTTTACTCCGCCTTGGAATTTTATCTTCTGTTATGACAAATTTTCCGGATTTTGATCATTTGTAAATTTTACTATCCATGAAAGAAAAAGCGAATACAGTAAACAGAAATTTTCTTCTGACTTTGACAGAGTATCATTTTTAATTACGAAAGGGTGTCTAAAGGGACAAGCGTTTAACATTTAACTCGTAAAAGATAATGGAAATTATTTTAATGTTTCGCCTGGGGCAAATACCTTCGTGACGCGCGCCATGAAAAGAAAAGTACAAAATATAAACATAGCGAAATGGATTATTCATCAGCTTTCCGTGATTTTCTATAAAGGCTTTTAATGAAGCAACAGATGTGATCTGAAATTCTGATTTGTAGCTCGGTCAAGTTCGGAAATAAAAAAAGTGAGCCACGCTGATTGTCGGAAACCGCGCTATCAAGAGTTTTGAGTACTTAATTAAAAGGAACCCGACCGTGAGAACGAAACCATTTAGCGGCAAACCTATGAAATAAACAACGTGTAAATTTCTTTATCCTAGTCAACTACTTCAAAGCATTTCGCGAAAAGCAAAATTAAACGCTGAATTGGAGGAAACGTTTGGCGTGCCTTGTATTAATCCTTTTTCTGAGGTTTGCATAACAAAATAAATTCTGATTTATAAAAAAAACATCGTTTCCTGCGTGGTAAAGCGTTCAAAAGCTTTCGCAATTAAAGAAGATCAGATAAGATGAGATCAAAAAGTATTTTCTTGGATTATATTTCCGAGTTTTGCACATAAACCACACGAATCTAAATAAGAAGACAAATAGAACATTTGACAAGTGTGAGAACGCACAAAGCCACGCGACGACACAAGTCTTTCGAACAATGCTAACCCAATCGGAACATAAACGAAACATTTCCTCGCAAATAGCGCTAAGAAGTGTCTGTTTGTTTAGCGAATATTGGCTCCTAAAAGCTCGAACAACGCGAAAACGATGTGATCATATGATTCTTCTTCAAAATTCAATTTTAATGAATCATAAACTTGACCGACGCTACCTGAACATCGTCAATAAAACTGAAAAAAAAAAACAGGTTTTATACGCGGTCTTAAGATAAACTACGATTTCATTGAAATTTAATAAGGACTCTTAATTTTAAATAACCTGAAATTTTCGTTAGCAACTTTGAAACATCTGGTTCGCAAAGTCGTATTAAAAAGCAAGGCAAGAAGACAATGGACTATTTAACGTTTGATAAAGTGAGCTCGAGTGACTTTTACAGAAATGCAATAACTGCATGCCTACCTTTAAATGAATCTTTCGTTCACATCTAATGATCAGGACGACGACATGAAAACAGCAGTTACTATTGTCATCAAACGATTCATGAATTGTTCTCCAGGTTTCAGCTGAACAACAGGCCCAATAATTATACCACGCACAGCGCAAATACAAACTGAGTTGTGTTTTCAAGACAAACTGGAAAGCCTGATCTTGAAATTTGCAGACTTTCTACAGTCCGGTTTTACAAATGTTGACAGATCAGAAGACTTCCCGCCACCGACAATCCTTTGTTTTACTTCGCTGGAAACCTGTCACGTTTCATTTTCTTTCCTTTGTTTTTCACTCTTTTTCTGCCGACAAAGCTTTCGAACCCAGTTTTCACTCATGTTCGATTACCAAGTAATTGGAGTCTGGGTACAACATTAGAAAACAAACATGGCGAACCGATTCATTCTTCAACAAAATGCAGAAAATTTCCTTGGAAACGGGATGAAATTCATCTCTTTTGACGCTGCTTTGACAGTGAGTTCTCGGACACGTCACGAGTGAATCTTTGTTAATGTCGTTTCAGCTCTGGAATGACTTTAAAAAGCCCACAGTACTTACACTAGCAAGCTGTCTGCAGATGCAGATTTAATCGGCGATTTCCTTTCGTCAAGGAAATATTCAGTGTTCTAGAGCAAAGCTCGACTAGGATGTATATACAACATCAACGATGAATTCTACTACGAGCTCTAGTTATAAAATTCAAATTCTGAACCACTTACGTGGAGAAACGATTTGCTATCCATTGGTGTTGCTAGAAGGAATAATTATTGATACAGAACACAGCTCCTCTGTTGGCCAGAGAAGATTACTACGGACGTCGAGTGACCCTGAATCTGACAGAGCGGATAAGCTCCAGATACTGGACTCATCTCCTCAGTATACCCCTGAAAGTTTTCAAGAGGACACAAAGTTATTGGTAAAATGTAATTGCCATCAAGTGGTGTGGCCAGTAGTCAAAGGAGGATTTAAGGCTGTTGTTCCACTTAAAACTGGAGAAAACTTGATTGTTTTGAAATTAATGCATAATGAAGATATTGATATTGAATTCAAATTGATTTACAGACCACTGCAAATATCAAGGTAAGTTTATGTGCACTGAACAACTAATGATAAAAGTATGAACACTAAGGTTAGGCTGAAATTGATCAGGCGCGAGAGAGGTCTGAAAGTCACAGTGCAGATGCTGATGTTAGGACCAGTAATAAGTGACTATCTTAGAGAGGTGTGTTTCTCTAAGAGAATCAGTAGCATAGCTGCCCTTAAAGAAGCCATTAAGCCCAAAATTTGGGTTAAACTGAGTTCAAGTAATCGCTGTTGTGTATTATAAATGGCATAGGCGTACGGGCCGGGGGGGCGAGGGGGGCTGCAGCCCCCCCAAATTTTGGGCAACTCAGATTTTTTGGGCAGCGAGAGAAAATTTGGGCAAAGCCAGTTTTTAAAGACGTTTCCGTGATTTTAAATCATTATTTTGAAGAGATAAATATTTTCTATTTTAACCTGAAGTTGGCGTAATAATCCAGTAATGTTACATTCACACGAGACTGGTTGCCTAGCACGTAATGAGTTTCTGGTTATAAGGGAAAGGTATCATGTGCTGATTTTTTTTTATTGTTGGGCACTGTACTGCAATGGGCTATTTCCAGTGGTGAATTGATTAGAATAAACTTCCGCCTAACTTTCTAGAGTCATCTCCGCTCGTAGGACAGTGTATGGCAGATAGCATCAGCAATGGGTCTGAAAGTGAAGAAGTGGCTGACTAATTCTCAGTTTGAATTGCGTGAAGAATCTTAATTTTTTTTTAAAAAAATCTATCGAGTGGTTTAAAAATTATTCACTAATTTGTTAAAGTAGACCGAAATGTTTACAAAACTGCTAACAAGAGAGCCATGATACATACTACTCAAATCCTTTTTTGTAGCAATTGGCCAGAGCTATCTCCATGATCTCTCACCCACGTTTTTCAAAAGATTGAAACTACTATGAGGTGAAATTGCATGTCAAAAGCGCTTCATTTTTTACAGATAACGGCCAAACATCAAGATTTTCCTTTTTTTGCCGTATTTCTAACGATGAAAACTTTATCCCAAAATATCTCCGCAACGCTGTTACAGATTCCGTTTTAACTTCACGAACATCGAGTCAACTATTGGAGGAAAATGCTCCCGTGAACGATTTTGGTGCAGTTCCCAGTGAGAAATGTTGCTGCAATTATAATAGGTAATGGCGTCATTTTGTTGCTATGACGACTCCGATGTTATTGCAACCTGGATCATAACAAATTTTCATCTTTATCTAATACAACTGTGGTGGTAATTTTTCCAAATGTTTGTTTATTGTGGCGTAGTCTATGCTCAAAAAAACTTCACAGGTATTGACCCTGAAAAACTGTATCGAGCCACCTTCATATGCTAGTACGGCCTATGTTGTTGCATCGTATGGCCCTCGTTTCTGTTCCACTGTTTTGTAAAAATTTGGGCAACTTACAAGAATTTTTTGGGCAAATGGTTTACTGCCCCCCCTGGCAAAAAATTGCCCGTACGCCTATGATAAATGGGAATGCAAAATTGGCTGGTTATTCAGTAGGAACTGAATCTGTTGCTGAATGCCATCTTGGTGTTTCAAGTCGATACATAAGCCTCTCTATGGTTACCTGAGGAATTTGTTTTGATCATGCATCCTCTATCAAGTTGTTGGTTTTTCAACAAAACAGTTGCATAGCAAGAATTGTTTTGAAAGTGAAGAATGATCATCGCAGTAAATTTTCCCAATTTAAGCAATTGGAAAGAAGAAGCCTGAAAAAAAAAATCAGGGCTTCAACGGGATTCGAACCCGTGACCTCCGCGTTGCCGGTGCGTTGCTCTGCCAACTGGGCTATGAAGCCACACATTGGGAGCGAGGTCAATTTATTGAGTTCATATCTCCTTTGAGGAGTGAAATGATGTGAAGTATATGAAATAATTCATTTTTGAATGAAAGTGAAGAATGATCATTGCAGTAAATTTTCCAATTTAAGCAATTGGAAAGAAGAAGCCTGTAAAAAAAAAAATCAGGGCTTCAACGGGATTCGAACCCGTAAACTCCGCGTTGCCGGTGCGTTGCTCTACCAACTGAGCTATGAAGCCACACACTGGGAGGGAGGTCAATTTATTGAGTTCATATCTCCCGTGAGGAGTGAAATGATGTGAAGTATATGAAATAATTCATTTTTTAATTCATTATAAATTGACCTCGCTCCCAATGCGTGGCCTCATAGCTCAGTTGGTAGAGCAACGCACCGGCAACGCGGAGGTCACGGGTTCGAATCCCGTTGAAGCCCCGATTTTTTTTTTCTTTCCAGTTGCTTAAATTGGAAAATTTACTGCGATGATCATTCTTCACTTTCATCTACAACCGCAGTTCAAAAATGAATTATTTCATATACTTCACATCAAGAATTGTTTTGCTTGGTAACACGCCTAGTTAGCTTGAGTAACCACCATGACAATGGAAACAGGAAAATACATCACAGGTTTGGTAAGCAAATAAATTGAGCTTGCAGCACACTTTCCCTACAAATTTTTTTGCCATCATTGCACAACCAACGTTGTCAAACTTGATCAGGAGAAAGTCGACTAGGTCTGAGACTACTCTAGGAATGATGTTTGACTTGTAACATAGTCACCTTAATTGGTGGTCAGTGGATAATCATTGCAGTTTATTTTTCATCCAAAGTAAATATTTTAGAAGCCATATTACCAATATTTTGGAGCAAGAGGAGAACCTACAGAGAAAATAATTCAATAATATTATTGAAAAAATAATATCATACCTCTTTGTTTTCTCATAATTATATCGTATTAATTTTGTCCTTTGGTACTACTGCAAGGAAAACCAAAATGCAGCAACAGTCACTGTGACTATGTAAATTCTCACCTGGCAGCAACGCACGCTGAGCTCTTGAACAAGTTAGGTTACACCATTTTTGCGAAGCGCAGACAGCAAGAGATTATAAAAGTGATAATGCTAGAGAAAGTGTCCAATTTATTGGAGTTAGGTCTATTCAATAGCACTTATAACTCTGAGGTTACCTCATAACATTTAACTTCTCTTTAGCTCGCCATATCGGTGTCCACTGCAACTTCAGAGATATGATTTTGCACTACAAGACTGGTGTAAGCTTACATTTTATCTACAATACTGAGTGAAATGCTGATCCTTACAATGTAGCTTTAGTGCTCACAAACCAGTCATGCAGAAATATACTCATCTTAGGAGATAGATGTAACAGGTGAAAATTAAATTCAGGTTAAAAATTTGTAACCTACCTGAGTAGGTTGATTCTCTGTTTCCTTGGTCTCCTTGTCCTGATTATTCAGTAATTTGGGCTAGGAGACAATGGAAATTGAGAATCAACCTAGGTTAAAAAATTTTAACCGGAATTATTTTAACTTGTAACATGTACAGAAAGACTTTTATAAGGAATTCAAAAAGACTCATCATGGTCAGATATTCCTCATTCCTTCCAGATTCAGACTATAATAGTATTCTCTTTAACTGAAAGAGTCTGTCCCTTGATAACTTACCGCTAATTTCTCATTAAATGCAACATTTTAAGCAAGCCATAAAGGCTGTGCTGCAGTTATTCACAAGTCAGTGTTAACTTGGCTTGCCATTATGTCCTTCCTGCTCCTTCAGGACTTTCAGCAACTAGGGCTTAAAATTTAGAAATGGCTGGCTAACCCCCTGAGAATGATGTTGACCAGCTCAAAGTGGCCTTCTTATCAACAAGGTGTCTGGAAACCAGTGCAGTAGAGAGGATAACAAGAAACCAAGCAAAACTTAGCCCCCCACACTGGCAGTTTTAGGAGAGCTCATTTTTTATCTCTCCCCACAAATGCCTACTCAACCGAAGACAACATTCCTTTCCCACGCTTAGCCAATCACATTGTACTTTCTAAGTTCTGGAAAGTTGACTTTGGCCGCAAGGTAATCTGATAATTACTTGATCTGCATGAAACACTGGGAAAGCTTTCTGACCTCTAATAAATGTTAGATTCAGAGTGGCAAAAATAAGGTTTAGTCAAATTTTAGAATACTCCATACCTTGTATAACCTTAGGAAAGAAAAGAAGGAAAAGAGTAACTCTAGGGTCACGTTTTAGTTGTGTTTAGCCTGTCAACACTTTATTTCACAACTGTTGATTGGTCCCTTACCATGCAAATAAAACAATGGGAAAGGAATGTTGTTTTCGGTAGAGCGGGCGTTTGTAGGGAGGGATGAAAAACGAGCTCCCCTAAAAATGCCTGCTGGGAGGCTATGCAAAACTAAGCAAAATATATCTTTGTATAATAATTAACCATTCTGTTTTATGTTCATGTAAGAGATAATTTATTAGTCATCCAGATGCATTGTAGAATGATGTGCTATTGCTTTTACTGACAGGTTTGTCCGTGTTGTTTATGTGAAGTGTGCTGATAGTGATGGATCATTTGACGCTCCTGCCGATGTCCCCTGTGATGTTAATTGTGCGGTAAAAAAGCTCTCTTTTAATGCCCAACTTCTTCAGACTTTTACAGCAGAAAGCTTATATCAACATGGTTTAGGGCACAAAACATTCCGGATAGAGGAAGATGAATCTGGTTCTCCTAAGGTTCGTATATTTACTAGCAAGTTGACTTCAGCAGAGGCTTTAAGCATGACTGGAGATCAACTGTACAACACTTTCTTTAAAGGTAAGCATATTGTTTTGTTTTTTTGTGTCTCTCTTCTCTTCTTTTCCTCTTAATTATTACCTAATCAAGTGACTTTATAGGGGTAACACAATTATTATTACTGATAAACCAGTAGTTTCCATTGTGGCCGAAAGGTTAAGAATCTCAAATGGCCGGAGGCAAACCAGTTGGCTATTTACAGAGGGTGGTAAAGGGGGGTATTGATCGTGTTTCATGGAAAATAAAATGGCCATTTCAAATTCCATGGGCAATAAATTTGGCATTTCACGTTTTAAAAGGTTTTTATACGATCAATTTTTCTTACTTCGGTTAAGAACTACATCCAAAGGACTGCGTTGTTCGATGTCCTCACCATTCTCCCACTTCTTGTTCTTGGTGCTGTGAAAAGGAAACTGAGGTCTTTGTTTAGAAGTTGACGCACGGCACCATCTTCTTCTAAAACAGACTCATTGTCATCAGAGGATTTCTCATCGTATTCAGAGAGCTGGTCTGCTTCAATCAAACAGTTGAAGTTATAATTTCTCTCAAAAAATTAAAAATAGCATGAAAGAAAATCACAGTTCACGGTGAATTAAACACCTGATTCTTGTTTGTGTAGGTAATAGCATGATTTGTAGTGATATTTGGCATATATACCACGAATGATTTTTCAAAATTGTTATACGAAATTTCACGAGCCGTTAGGCGAGAGAAATTTGAGACAATTTTGAAATATCACGAGTGCTATTTATGGCAAAATATATCACGTACAAATCATGCTATTATTTGTTTATACTACTACCCACAAAAGGTTTGTAATTTTCACACGTAGGTATTTCAAATTAAGCTGAAGTACCACTGCTATAAGCCAATCAAATCGCAGAAATTTCTCATGTAGTAGTATAACACAGATAATTATTATCAAAAATCATTGCTCACAGCGATTACCTAAATCACGTTTCACAAGGAACAGATCAAAAGCTGATTTCACAATTCACGGGGAATAAAACAAGCAATTCACAGTTCACGAAAATACCCTTTACCACCTTCTTTACAAGCGTGGCTGAGGGGTTGAACTCAGGACTACCAAGAACAAATAGCAGTTAGTGCAAGAATTGAACCTGGGGTCTCAAGATTACAATTCCGACTTTCTCTAACCACTCAGCCATCCAGCCTCCAATGGATTAACTGTATGATATAGTCGGTGACAACAAAGGTATAGAAAAATGAAATAATTCACCTTTAATCACCACTCCCCCTCAAAATTTCCAGTGACCTTTCATAATTCTTTATAGCATCATTTGTTTCTTTGAGTCATCCCTTAAATACACTGGAAAATGCATTGCTCAGAAGTATAGTGCTATTAAGGCTTGGAATCCAGCCTTTTGAGAGTACTGTTGTATACTCTTAGGAGACTGCACTGTAACATCTGGAAGTTTCTGTACTAATTTTAACCACAAGTTGTTTTCTGGATTTAAACCCTTATTTTTTAGAGGATGGGGTCTATAACTGTGACAAGCCCTACAAACTAAAATATATACTTTCAGCAAAAACACCACTTGAGAGAGTTTATACACATCAAAATATCCAGTCCATCCAATGATATGTCTAGACCGTTTTCAGCTCCATGTTGATCTCAGGCAAATCTCAACTTACATTGAAAAAGACGCAATGCAAACCCCTGTAAGTCAATTAAGAAACTAAATAAATTAATATTTTGAATAATTTGGCCCCTTTTTCCTATTTCCTTCCCTTGAGTAATTATCATGGGGGCATCTATTAGACAGGTGGTGCTCATTAGAAAGGGGCATCATAATACAAACTTAACATCATAGAGTGTAGGATAGGGGTTTATTAGACAAGAGCCATTATTTTATTTAAGAGGCACTGTCAATTAGATCATTTACAGCATTATGATTATGGAATTTCTGTCTTTGTTTTCAGAACTCAAGTGCTCAAATCTTTATGATCCAATGTGTAAGTTCTGGACTTTTATGTCCTGCACCCATTATGACCCACCTCCTTCAGATCAGTTTGACGAGAAGCTCATTACAAAATATGTCAAGGCCCACACTGCCCTCGGAGGAGGGTATCTTGCATTGTTTGGAACAGGAGGGTTGCACACGTGGGCTTCAAGTGTTGAAGAGTTGGTGCCTTGTTTTACTGATGCAAGACGCATTAACAAACTGGAACTCTTTGATGACAGTGGAGGAAGGTAGATTAAACAAAGACGAAGTAAACCTTTATTTGTTCGGTTGAAACTCTGAGTAATTTAATATTAAAAAATAAATGTGGACTAGGAGTCTAAATTATTTGAGTAACCCTTCAGAATTATTGCATTTAATTTAAGAAGGGCTAGCATGGTGAAAAAAATTCCTTTATGGTTGTCTACCTATGTGGCATAATCCTCTTTAGGTCTTAAAAAAACTTGTCACTGATTTAGTTTGAAAGTGAGTTGCTTGGACTCTTGTCCATTGGATAAGTAAGCTTTCAAAGTTACTCGTACAGCTTGAAAATATCACGCTAGACTGGACTACCTGACAGGACTTTTTCATGCCCTACCTTTTTTCCTACCTTGTGATCAGAGATTATATATTTATTGTCCAAGTACTTGCTCTCCATCTATATGATGATTCTTTCTCTCTTGCTTGGCTTTTATCATTTTTGATGTCATTCGCATCGCTTGTCAGTCACGTAGTTTGTTTGTTTTACACACCCCAGAGCATATAAAAAAACCAACTACGCAACTGACCAGCAATGCGAACGACTTCCTAAACAATTACAGCCATTCAAGAGAGAAGCCTCTGCTCACAGGGCGTTAAGTTCCAAGATTTACCTTAATTTTTACTAAATGGAATTTCTAGCTTTTGACTCGATGTTGTCATGGACAAAATCTTTAGTTTGATCATTGAAAATTTCATAATATTATTGTAACCTCATAACTACATTATTTATAATCTGCACAGTGGTTTTAACTTTGGATTCTGTGGATGAAATCCCAATGTTGTTATTATTGTAGTATCTATGAAACCTCTTCAGCCCAGTGACTGTGTAGTTCTAACTATTGAGTTAGTTGATGGACTTGTTTGGTGTCATCAAATAAAAGAAACAAAGCCCCACGGCCCTCACAAACAAGGGATATAATATAGAGAGGTCCTGGAAAATAATGTGGTCCTTTACTATGTAATTTGACCGTTTGTTTATATTACAGGTCAAAACATATTCAGGTTGAGTATTTTTTTACCTATAGGTTGATTTTCAATTTCCTTTTTCTGCTAGCCCTAATTCATAAATCATTAGAGCAACAAAAGAAATAGAAAATTAATTTTGTTTTGACATGTAACATATACATGTATAGAAATCCTTTCAATGGTACTTTTACTTGTTGCCACTATTTTTCCATCATTTGGAAGTGTGGTTTTCTTCCCTCTTGGGAGCAAAAGATTTTTCTTATAAAAAGCTTTTTCGTTTTCTTTCAGGGGCACTTACTGGGCAAACTACGCCACTGGTCTTGGAGCTTCAATGCATGAACTTGGTCACTGCTTTGATTTGGCACACACTCCTAAAGGCATTATGGGTAGGGGATTTGATGACATGAACAGGGTATGGACCATGTGGAGAAAACCCAGCTCATTAGAAAAGGATCTAATAGCTGAATCTGTGAAGCCAGGTTAGGTGCTAGAGAATGATTGATAGTAGAAACAGTTGAACTTTTACAAAGCAGACAACTATGGGACCGTGGCTAGGGTGTGCTTGATGGACTGTAAAACATTTTTAAATGTAGGTTCATTTCAAAGAAAAATGGGGGGACAATTTTGGACTCACTGAAGGTCATGTCCTCTCAAAAGTGGTTGTCTGCCTAGCATAGAGACAGCAGGTGTTATCGTACCAGGAAGTACAGTGACTGATGATTTAGTAATGCAAGTGTCGATAGCTGAATTCAAGACTTGTGGGCATATTAAGGTAGAATATTCCACACAATAGAATTAAAATTCATTTCAAATATGTAGTAAATTTTAGGGAAGAGGGGCAGTATTTCATACTGTGAAATACAATTCCAAGGAGAACTCATTATACAGATACATACGTTGTATGCCAGAAATCAGGGCACTCACACTTTCTTGCGCAACCATTTAGTCAGTTCTGTGATCATTTTATAAGAAAAAAAGTGACCTAGCCCCCTAAACTTAGTAACTGTTTGTGCGTTCAATTATAGAGGAACATGCCTGTCATCTTGCACTTTTCTTCCTGACTTCAAGTGAAAAACATATTTCTCATATGGCATATGAGCCATTGTACCATACCCTCCAAATATGGTAACTGTTCATGTCTGCTCAAAATTAAAAACAAGCTGAAAATCGGTTGTTTTTACAAATAAAGTCAGGAAGAATTCTCGATATTTTGTGGGTGTTTTTAATAAGACAATAATTCGCACTTGTTGGATACGAGTTGATTAAAGGCAACTGGACACAACACGCCTCACCATCTCATATCCAACGCCCACTGGTGGAATAATTGTTAAATTTTCTTTTCTCCTTTGTCACAGTAGACCCCAAAAAAGCTATCCACAGAGCTGTAGCAACTTCAGCTCGTGTGTCAACCACAGGCTACCCAGCTGCTGAAGCTCTTGTATCCCTATCAGAAGATAGGAGTGTGTCCACTGAAAACACCAACCTTGCCACACCTAGTGATTGGACCCATGGAGCCCACTGGTATAGATCCTCTGCTGTTCTGCTTTCTTATCATAAGTGAGTTTCTTCTGTTAGCACAACCTCTATACTCAGTGTAGACATAAGTTAGTTTTAGTTTACTACAATCAAACCTCTATTAATATTAAGTGGTCACCCTTGGGAATTAGCCACCAGATGACGGCTGAATGAAAATTTTCTAAATTAACCCCATTATGTTGTAGAAATTGACATAGAGGGCAAAATTGAACACTCTATTCACAGTCTTTATTTTGTTCACAACAACAGTAACACGAAATATGATAAAAGTACAGTTCAACCTCTCTACAATGGCCACTGTGGGGACAGAAGAAAGTGGCCGTTGTAAAGAGGTGGCTGTTTTAGAGAGGTTTCAAACAAGAGTCGATGTATGGATTTTTTGTCCTCTGGGACGAAAAAAAGTGGCTGTCGTGAAGAGGTGGCCTTAGCGAAGGTTCAAGTGTATTTGGATATTTTAAAGAGTTCATGCCTAAACAAATTTTTACATTAATGTTCATCAGGCAAGTGTCTTTACAATCAAGCACATCATCAACAATTTTAAAACCTCATTCAACATGAAGAGAGAGATGTGTATTTAACAGCCCAGATTATAATGTTATGTTGCATGTGATGAGCTATGAAAGAAACTGGACGTGCTTTGCTTATCTTTGTGTCAAAAAATGTGCCATTTATTGATTGTTGTGTAGCAAGGTGACTGTTTAGCAGAGGTAAATCACAATAAAATTAGCCATTTGGGAGATCCAAATGGTGACCACATCCGCTTTATACAAGTGACCATTGAATAGAGGTTAAATTAATTTAAAGGAATTATGGGAAGCAAATTTCAAGAAATTGATAGGTGACCGCTTAATAGAGGTTTGACTTTACAATCTTACACCTAACTACTATCAGCTGCCTTTACCAGCCCTTAATCACTACTTCTGTTCTCTTCATGGGCACCTCTATGTAAAGAAGGACACCTCCTAAAATGGTCTCTTTGAGTTTCACTAGCCAGGAAGGTTTCAGAAACTTCTATTTTGGCCTTGGAAACAAAGTTGCTATGTTTTTTTTAGCAGTATTGTTTGCGTCTTTTATGATCATCTGTTAGCCAAGGGGAACAAGGGTGGCCAAGTGGTGAGAGCACTTGTCTCCCATTAGTATGGGGCCTGGGTTCAAGTCGTGGTGTCTACACCACATGTGGGTTGAGTTTGTTGTTGGTGCTCTCCTTTGCTCCGAGGGTTTTTTTTCCAGGTCCTCCAGTTTTCTCTTCTCCTCAAAAACCAACATTTCCAAATTCCGATTTGACCAGGAATGGTAGATAAAGAACCACTTTGTATTGTGGATGCACAGTGTACTGCCTCTAAATCATTATTTATTTATTTACTTATTTTATTTATATAATTAAACAGCTTTTCCTGAAAAGGTTATGGTATAATTTTGTTATTAAATCCCTTTCGTTGGACATCTCATTATGACAAACACTAATTTACCAGTCCTTATAGGTGAAGTCTCTCTCAAAGACAGTTGACTACTCGTATGTGACTAAAGTTTCTTTGATTCATAGATGGTTATCCAATTCCAGTCCTGAAGGAGATGATGAAAGTGTCTTTAACAATCCCTTAGTGCACTGGTGTCACAATGTTTGTGGTCCTGTTGGTAATAGCGGTGGCTGCCATCAGAAAAACCAGCAGTCATTCAACAGTGTCAAGTGGCTAGAGTCCCAGGGGGCAGCCCCAGGGGGCTTTATTATCCACACTGGGGAATATGTTAACTGCATACAGATCATAGGAAATCAAGAACAATCTGGTATACCTTTCAATACTTATTGAATAATTTTGTGAAGCATGAACATCCGCATAAGAATAGGACTGTTGTCATTGACGGTGACTGACGTTTCGACAACCTGTGCGGTAGTCATCTTCAGAGTCAAAGTGAGTTGTATCACGTCAGTTGATGGTATTATACTCTGGTTATTGACCTTATTGGTCAATTAAGTCGTGACGTTATCGTCTGTCAGTTAAGCCGACTCTAAATGTCATTGGTGCGTTTTGATCTGTCTTTTGTCCCAGTTTAACAGCAGTTTCTTGTTAGTCAAATTGTCGGTTGTCTAGTCATTCTGTTGTTGTAGATTTTGTTGAGTCCGTCAATAAATTATTAGTCGTCTTTAATTAGTGTTCAGCAATGTGATTGTTAACCTCCCCATTTTGTCGCTCGTTTGTGTTCAGTCAGTAGCGTGCTAAGGTTTTTGCTGGTCTCACCAATGTAAGTGGCCTGGTCCTGTATAATACTCCCTGTCTGTCCTGCATCATTGGACATTTAGAGTCTTCATAGCCAGTAACATCACAGCTTAACTGACAGACGACCAATAATATCGAGACTTAATTGACCAATCAATAACCAGTGTGTTATACCATCAACTGACGTGATACAACTCACTGACTCTGAAGATGACTACCGCACAGTTTTTCGAAACACAAGTCATAGTCAGCAACAGTCCTATTTCAAGACTATGCTCACCCGGACGATATTGTAAAAATCTTAGCAACAACGCTATTATTGGCATTTTATTATAGCAACAACGCTACGGATTTTCATTATAGTATTACAATTCACAAACTCGTCCGTAGTCCTGGCTATTCTACCAATTACCAGCCCTTCTTTTTAGCAGGGTTTTGAGGGGGAGGTGAAAGTGGGTGAAAAACTTTCTTGACTTATGGACACATGTTAACTATCAATCCTAAGTGTTTTGGAACAATAACCTAACACATTGCAGGAACTCTCCCAGTCATGCGATTTAAATTTTACACAGCAGACGATATTAAGGAGGACTATGATCAACTGCCTGGTTCCTCAGAACTTAACTTTAAAGCAGATTTCCTTTGAATTCTCCCTAAAGTTTCGTTCCATCTAAAAATGCATCCGTTAGGGTGGAGTCCTTGGGACTGCTTTTTGGATGATTTTTTAATGGTGAAGAAAAATGAAGAAGGGATTATGTTTGAAATAGTGAAAAAGGGAAAATTAAAGATTTAAAAAAGGTGACTGGAAAATGTTGAAGTGAATTAACACCGCAAAGGCCAGATAGTCCATCACACATCGAGCCCTTTAGGAGACTAACTTGTTTCTTGTATACCAATTCAACCTTTTTTCACTAATAATTCGCACCCTTTTCGAGCAAAAATTCAATTATCATTACTGTTGAATTTCATCTTTTCTTGTTACTCAGGAAAATGCCAAGAGGTTTTATCGGATCCCCATGGCACAGATGGCGTAGGAAAGGGGTATATCTTCACCATCAGTTCCCCGGATGAATACATCACGGCTATTGACGTCAGAGCTGGAGGATGGATTGATGCCATTAGACTCCACACTAATCAAAAGTCTAGCATATGGATGGGAGGGGTGGGTGGTGATGAATACCACCTAAAGGCTCCCCCGGGGAGAAGTATTCTAGGCATCATTGGTACAAGTGGAGAATTTGTTGGATCGCTTGGAGCACTTCTTAGCAGGTACTTTTCTCAGGGATGTTAAGAACCAACATAGAATATTTGAGTGCGCAAGAAAATCACGGATGGTTTTTTTCACGCGCGTTCACGTTTTTCGATTATTCCGTTATGTGGCAATACCCTTTAGACCCTAAGATTCAAGTCTTACCGTTCATTAGTCATTTTCTTTGAATCTCAAACACGGACACTTAAAAAGAAGGGGTGCCAAAGGCTTTTCATGCGTTGACATGACAGATTTCACGTAAAGATGAAAGTAACGGGGAAAAATTAAGGCAAGATTTCAGCTGGTTTGTTGGGCTAGGAATATTGTTAAGAATAGCTTTGCGTGGCTTTTAGGAAACATTTCGAGAGATTTAAGTTTTGAAGACGTGCATCGTGTTGATTATTTGGTTAATTTTCCTGAGGAAATTCCTTCGTTTTCAGTGATTCTGACGTTGTAGCGACCAAAGAAGACGTCGATGACAAACTTGTTGTTGACGCGCCAAACGGAATAAGACTGATTGAGCTATGGAACAAGTCACACAGTGAAGTCTATAAACACTGGGAATTCCTCCAGCCCAACCCACCAATCACGTTTACTCTCTCCAGGAGAGAGCTTATGGACAATGCCTCTACGCTGTTAGTCGAAGACGACAAGGGAAACATTGGTCGTACAGGATTCGTGTATGATTATAGCGATATCCTTTGATGTTGAGGCGAGTTATTAGAGAGTTTTAGCACCGACGACGCCCACGAATACGAGGTTTGGAAACAAGTGTTACTGAGCATGCGTGCATTTTAAAATTTTTTAGGCCAATAACTATAACATGCTTGTAGTATGATGTTTAGGGAGTTCAGCAACTGCCACAGCAAAGGGAGTAAATGCTTGTAGTATGATGTTTAGGGAGTTCAGCGAATTACTAAAACCAAGGCAGTAATTGTTTGTAGTGTGATGTTTAGGGAGTTCATCAACTATGACAACAAAGGTTGTAAATGCTTGTAGTATGAAAATTGATGTTTAGGGAGTTCGACCAACTACGAAAACAAAGATAACGATTAAAGTCGGAAAAGGTGAGGTGAGCAAAATAAGGAAGGTTTTCCAGTCGGTTAAAATTTCCGACAATTTCGAAACGTCTGTAAGAAGTCGCAAAGACTGGATCACGTGGTTTTCGCGACTGATAGCATAACCTACACTCGGACGAGAACCTGAGAAGTCGCAGCGGTATTTCCTTCGAGAAACGCATGTTAGGTAAAATTCACCAGACATTGCGATTTGTTAGAGGTAAAAAAATGTAGCGGTTATTTTTTATTTTTTTGAGGAAAAAAAATATCAGTAAGAGAATTTCTGTTTTACTGAAACTCTAGGGGAGTCGTATTTGTTATTATTATTTATTTACTGTCAAAATTTGTCATTTATCAGGTTGATAAGTTACATTTTATATCCAGGTGCCGACAAAAACATTTTACATTAAAATAATTTCGAAGTGTTACTGGGTTTGTATCTGGGCGAATTTAGAAGCAATCTTTAACTGCCTCTTTGACCACTGACTTTCACGCTGTCATTCTTCCAGGCTTCTTGCGTAATTTGAAACCGTCGTGTAATTCGTACCAAACGATCATCTACAGCAGTTGAAATGATCTGTGTGGACACAGTGAATCTTTTGCACCAGAAGCCATAATCGGAGTCGGAGATCGCAAGCGCGGGTTCCACGCGGTTCCATCGAAATAGCCATCTGTGCTATTTTTAGAACAACCTGCGCCACCTCAACGTCACAAACCCGCGCGGGGACCCGCAAATTTGCGCGGCTCGTGTGGAATTTCAGGAGATGGGCGATCGTTTTGTGACTTTATTTGAGTGCTCTCATAACTTTTCAAGGCCTCAATAACTCGATATACAATGCATGCACCGTGGAAGAATGAGCCAATATCATTTACAGGCATTTCGAGAAAGGTTGTCGCAAAAGTGGACGCGACAATCCCGAAAAGTATTGTGGGTGGTTTTGAGTTCACTCTTCGTCAAAGAAATTTGAAAGAATGGCATGAGAGGCCATGGACTTATGTTTGCGAGTTCTAAAGGAAAGCAACGAAAGTAGGTTTGAAAGCAACAGTGTTAGGGAACACTGTATTGATCATATCCCATTCTACCAAAAAAAAAAAAAAATATCCCATTCTACCTTTCGGGATTGTCGCGTGCACATTTTTTTCTGACAACCTCTCTCGAGATAGCTGTTAACATTTCTAGCCTCCGTCCCAGTCACTCTAAACCTATGGTTTTTAAAGTAAATGATGTCCTTGAATAAACATCGTGGGCCGGCTGCAACGTAGGCTATAGAAATACGTTTTTCGCAAAAACCTCGCGAAGCTATAATGGGCCAGCAGTAAGAATATAGGAAACAAGCCAAACGGGAAAAATATGATTCAAAAAAACAAAAACAAAACGAGAAAAAAACTGTGCAACAAAGAAATAAACAGCTAAGCCGAGAGTCGAACCTGGACTATCTACACGGAAGGTCGGCCCCTTGACTACGGTGCCATGCTGCCAAGGATAACATTAAGTAGGAAAATTTTTTCCCGCAAGTTTTTTTTCTTTGCTTCTCGCCTCCGAACGGCATATTCATCACACGAAATCTCAGACATCTCTTTGTAAGTAAATTTTTCAAAAACACTGTCATCATAGTGATTAACATGATCAGAATTACATTCACAGTCTTTCATATTGTCAAAGAGGATATCCTCAAGGTCTTGCCTCAAAATCAGAGAAGGGAATGATGACAGAAATTGAATTTATTTTTCTTCTACGGAGGTAATTTCAGACGCCGTTTTCTTTGTTTATCCTTGCGCGGCGCCCTCGCAAAAATACAAGCGCGTGTCACACGAGATGGCACAATTTGTGCTAAAAATAGCACATTTGACTATTTAGATGGAACCAACCCCATTATTCGAGAAGGTATCGAGTTACAGTGTCCTTCCCCGATTACGGCTCCTGTTTTCACTTTTTTTTTTTTTGGAGGATCTAGGGTAGTATATTGAGATTCACGATGCTTGTTCAAGTTCAGGCGGATGATGCGTTTATAGTTTACAGCTATATTGTCCCGGTAGGGTAGGTTTCCCTCATTTGGCCTAAACGGATATGAGCCGCTCAAAAGGGTATGGTTTTCAGACCAAATTTAGCAGTGAAGCACACACTACCAACTCCGCAGCATGGCCAGTACATTACGCATGCGCCGTGGTTTTCAGCTTCTTCTTCTTCTTCTTCTTTCAAATTCAACACTGAAGCACACACTACCAACTCCGCGGCATGGCCAGTACATTACGCATGCGCCGTGGTTTTTAGCTTGAAGTTGATTTGAAGGCCCCGGCGGAACACCTTTTGCCAATTTTCCCTTGAGTGTGCCCCCCCCCCGGTATGTAGAACAATTCATAAAGGGGAGGAGGAGGAGGAGGAGGAGGAGGAGGAGAGTGATTATTGGGTGGTAGCTTGTGTGACCCCTCCCCAGTCCTTCTCTTTTTTTCTTCACTTTGCGTTTTTCTTTCCCTCTCCACTCCCTTTGTTTGGCACACAGGCTATAGGGCGGGGACGTATGTACCTCACTCAGTGCAAAGCGCGAGCCGAGAAAATATCACCACACGTTTGCACATGAAGGGTTGCAGGGGAGTTCACAATCTATGTGTTGGTGTTGGTTTGTCCTATCAAACATCCAGTTCCCCACAGCTTCAGCTACGCTAAATCCATTGACGAAAATCCCAGTCCACGTGTCATCGTACAAACTCTGTGAATGCTCTAAACACGAACTCACAAAAAGTCCCGCAGTCGGTGACTGCATTACGGCACGCAGTGCATATAGACTAACGTTTCTGTACTGCAATATCGCTGCCATTTCGTCGCGCGTGCATTCCGGCGGTCTGCAATAGATACCGTGGATGTGTTTGTAGTTCCAGCTCCGATCAGGGCTCGGCTTGTTCGGGATGGCACTCGTGTCTTTCGTGGATCTCCGAAACAAGCTTCGTTTCCACATGAAATTGTCGCCGTATTCCGGAACTTGACAGTTGATGCCGCGAATGTGAATAAGTTGCCACTCGTCGTAAGCCGACTGTAACACGAAGAGAGGCGTGCTGACAAACCTTAGCACATGCTGGGGGAAGAGACATTTCCAGCGAACTTCGGGAGTGAATCCCCGAGCGCAGTCTTCGTCGACGCCGCCCACCGAGTTATGAACGTCGAACATCTTTCTGAAATGTCTGTTAATAATGTTATCTCCGCTTAAGGCGGCCACATCTACGAAGTAACCCGAGTCGACTAATGCACGAACATCTATCGATTTGGGAATTCGGCTTCGGATGAAGTCAGCGTGCATCATTACTCCTAAGCTTCCAGCGGAGGTCCCGCTGAGGAGCAGGCGATTCGCCTTCTGAAAATCGCTCTGTAGTAGCTGATCGATAATAATCTCGAGAATTTTTCTTCCTCTCAAATAAATGTACTGTCCGTTAACATTTACAGGATCCGGTCGGTAGCCAGTGAACGACGCACCGTCGCAATAACACAAAAGCACCAAATTCCAATTATAAAAGTCTGGATTAATCTTCTCATTTTCCGAGAGAATTCCTTGCAATGTCGGAGGGTGAGGCGGAAAAAAATTACTAGATCCTAACCGTGTCTTACTCCGTTGAAGGCAAGACTCTTCGTCAAAGCACCAAGCCCCCCCGAAAAAATGAATGATCCATTTATCGCTGCCTTTACCATGACCTTGTCTGAAGTAGTATCCCGGGGGGGAACCATCCAAACACACCGCGCCTTGTTTAACAGCGAAGGGCAAGATTACTAATTCCACATTCTTGGCGTATGATCTTCGCTCTGGCAGATTCTTGTTGTTTTGATGTGCGTCAGTGTTTGGGATGTAGATGTTGACAAACGCTGTGTTTCGTAATAAAAACGAAATAACGGCGATTGTTATAAAACAACTCAGACCGCTCGAGATGAGTACAGTCTTCAAATATCCAGTACTCCTCTGCTGTTTTAATTCGTAGGTATCTTCGTCATTGATCGACATGGCCGCCAAAAACACCGGGAGAAACTTTCCGCTGCAATCTCTTTCCGTCCTTCATTGAACTGCTTACGAAGTGATGTGTGTTTGAACAATTACTTGAAGTCAAAGCAATTCCCCGTTCCGTAGTTATCATCAAAAGCTTCTATTTTTTAGCAGCTTTACTCTTGGAATGCGTTTCATTTTAAAACAATTAGTGTACTCACTTCCTTTGCACATTTCCCGCGTGGTGACTATTGAAGAAAAAGAATGAAATTTTCTTTTGCCTTAAAAAGTCGCTCGGTAAACAATGATAGCAGGTGGCACAATTACGGGTGCATTCACAGGTCCGCGCATCTTCATTATATCGTAGCCATGCGTGACCTTTAAGTTTTGTTACGGTATGGAAAAACGGGCAACAAAAACGTACAACTTGTTCTGCAACATTGATACAAAACGAGCTGAAAAGCGATGTCTCGCGTTTTACCACTCACGAATCAAACCTGTCTCGCAACAATTAGGTTGTTGCAGGTAGCGAAAAGTTGTTGTAGAAAGTGGAGAGAAGTTCTACTTTTTGCAACAAAATCTGTGCGGGTTGTGCGTTTTACTGGCCAAGACAAACTTGTCTGGCAGTAAGTGACTAAAACCCCATTTACACGCGCTAAAAAATCGGTACGGCACGCCAAATTTTTGGCACCGTGCTGACGATTTTAAAATTTTCGACGTGTAAACGTATCCGTCCCAAATGTAGTGTGGCACCAGTGCTCAAAATTCTAGGGGTGCCGAGACTACCTCCCGGAGGTAGTCTCGGCATGGGTGAACGAGACAGGGTGCCAAAAATTTGGCGTGCCCTGCCGATTTTTTAGCACGTGTAAATGGGGTTTAAGTCCCGTGTATGGCCTGACTCCTGCTTAATTTTGTCCAATCAGTAGTTAGTATTCACGTAACTTCCAACAACCTAATTTGTTGCAAGACAGGTTTGAACGTGGGTTTTATAACGCGCCACATCGCGTTCAATACCTTCTTTAGTAATGTTCCAAAACAAGTTGCTCATTTATGTTGCCCGAGTTACCGTAGCTTTAAAACACACAGCTGTGTCGGACACAGAGTACTCTGGCCTGTTTAGTCAGCAGGCAGACGCTGCTAGCTGATCAAAAAGCAAGAAAACTCTGTATAAGAGATTGACCGCACAACAACAGGCTTTCTTGCCGGGGCAAAATTTTCAGGTGTCGACCTATCAGGTCACCTTAACCCATTCATCTCTGTACGTTTCCTCCTTTTTCCTATCATTAGGACAGGAAAAGTTATCTTAATGCAAATCTGAGGATTTGCAGGTGGCTCATGATGGTTTTTGGCATTTTTGGAAGTTTTACTTATAAATCAGTGCTACCACAATGTTTTTGGTAATACTATAACAATTGCACCAAACAATTAACCGATGTTTGCGTAACAAGTTATGATCATTTTCTGTTACCATGGCAACAGTATAACCGGTCAAAAACCCCTTACCCTTACAATTCAAACACGAGTTCAGCGCCGACCATTTTCCATTGCTGAGTTGTGATATGCATATTTTGCTACGCATTCTTAGGCTATGTTCACACTCTACCGGAGAGCTTTTGCGCCGGCGCGGAAACCATACTGGATAGGGCTTCTGTTCACGCAACGCACCGATCTCTAAAATGGAAAGTCACATATCCGATAGGTGTTCACTCTATTCACGAAAAGCTGTTCGCCATATAGTCTGCTACACAGCCGACACTAAAAACGGCTGTGTAGCAGACTATTCGACCCATAGAACCATAGTGTGAACATAGCCTTATAAAGTTGCGTCCAGTGGCGGATCTAGGGGAGGGGGCAAGGGAGCAGCACCCCCCCCCCAATTTTAGACCAAACTAAGGCCCAAAGGGCCGAAAAAAATTGTTTTTGGACACTGCCCCCCCCAACTCTCTTTATCTGAAGGTCTGGATCCCCCACTCGTGTCAACAGGTCTTTTAAACATGGACAAAAATGCCTCGCGTTCATACGTTAAACGAAGTAAGGCCGGGAGTGGGTATAGAGCCACCTTAATTTTTCCATAATTGGAGGTGGCTCGGGACCCGCTCCAAATCAGTGTTTTTCCTTTTTAAAACTTTTAGAAAAGCTGACTCTTGATATAATGGGCCAAGTTGCTTAAAGTTCGATTAGCTTTAACCCTGGATTAGATACTAATCCGGGTTTCGTTTCAACAACATTTTTTCAGATAATTTTCTCTATTCTTTTTAGCGCATCCAGTCATCAAATTGTGGATAAAAAGAATTAAACGTAGATTTGCTTTCTAGGCTTTTTTATCCGAAGTCAAATTCTGCACCAACCCTGGGTCATCTTAACCCAGCTTTGAACAACCCGGCCCTGATTAAACTTCGTTAATAAAAAACGGAGGTGACCAAACTAGTTTTTGAATTACAAGCAGCCAAAGATAAATTTGAGTGTGTTTCAGCAGGTACTGTCACTATTAATGATAACCTGTTGGTGACTTAACAGGTATTTTGTTTGATACTGGTATTATGGCATCAAATTAAAATGAGAAGTAGTACAGTAAAAACCCGCGACTTAGACCCTGTTACGCTAAAATTTGCCAGTTAGGCCCCCTATGGGATGATTACCATTTACATGAGAACCTGTTTAGGCTAACTTGGGAAACCGCTGGTTCTTAGTCGCTGGCTTTTAATGTATAGTACTGATCTGATCTATCACAAAGTCAGCTGCAGCCTTACTGCGCTTTTCACAAACATGCGAATTCTGAAGTTCAAAAGCCAACTGACGATTACGTTTTTCGCTGCCGTCAACCATCTTAATGGACCTCTTAGGAAACAAAACTTTACTGTAACTAGGCTTTTGTACATTACGCTTTTGCTTCCCCACTAAAATGCTTCACCTTCATGCTCCATTTTTCCCACTAAAATGCTCGGTCTCCCCAAAGAAGTCACTAAAATGCTCGGATAATGCTCATTATACAAACGGTTTTTTTAAATTAATTTCAAAGTTTACACTTACAAAAACGTGCAAGTGTTGCAAGTAACAACAACAACGTGTACAAGTTCATAAATACAGTCAAAAAAACAGCTGTATTAGGTTTTTTGTGAATTTTGAAGTTTAGTCTGTCTTCATTTTCTTTAAAAACACAGGAGCTCGTGGGGCATGGGCTCCTGAAAAAAGTTAATTTCTATTTTATTTTCTCGGAAAAATTAATTTTCCGGGGAAAATGCCACTAAAATGCTAGAATAATGTTCAATGCTTTAGACTCACTAAAATGCTCGAAAAAATGCAAGCATAATGTACAAAAGCCTAACTGTAACAGGTTCAAAAGGTCATGGTTTCTGATTTGTGATTGGAGGATTTCGATCCGTTTTGTGTTTGTGTTTCAAGGTTCGTTACTTGTGATCGTAATCATGATTGACGGCAGCCAAAAGCGCAATTGCGAGGGCGGCTTTTGAACTTTAGAGTTCGCATGTTTGTGAAAAGCGCAGTAAAATTGCAATATAATTACCAAGTGTCAAACGTCAAAATCACAAACCGATTTCTTGACATATGAACTAGCTCTTTGAACTCAATATTTATTTGATTTCTCACAGAGATTACATCGTGAAGACTAATGAATAGTTCAACAGCTTTTAAAGCTCCCTCTACTGATACACCAAGTTTTTATATATACAAACGCCGTAAATTTTATCACTTTGAATTTAGAGGTGAATTTGAAAGGCCCGGCAGACATAACACCCACTTATGAATACTTGCTCCTATGTTGTAGCCATTCAAATGAAACCCTTTCAGCAGTACTTTGACGAAGCACTATTTATTTTTTTACTATTCGGGAAAACTGCGTTTTAGAAAAATTTTGGCCATATTTAGGAGCGCAATGGTTAAAACTCAATTCCGAAATGGAAAAAAATAAATACATGCAACGGAGACAAGCCGTTCGTAGGAAAAATATAAGGAAAATTTGATCGCTTGACACTCAAAAAGAATTTTATTTACAATTTTGGGAGAATTTATTGTGCATTGTGAACGTAGGAGTCCATAGATTCATGTGGTTTTTAATAGAGCGGTTTTCACTTGACTGTCGAAAGGGATTGGTTTTGATTTTGGTTTTGGTTTTGGTTTTACTACGCCCTTTGGTTGGCTAGTGTATTTACTTTGGTTTTGGTTTTACGACAGTCAAGTGAAAACCGCTCTAAGGAGCTTGTGAAACCCTGTTCAACAGGAGTTAAAAACGTTATGCACCTCTTTGTATCTATTAGGGAGTTTAACCAAAAACGACCGCGACGGCTTCGAAAACGTCAATTAAAAAGTGAAGTCGCCCTGCTTCAAACTTTTTCGCACTTATTCCATTTTGTTCAATTCGTCACATGTTGGCAATTTTTCAGGAGTTGAATTCTAAAAGACTTCATCGAAGGTTAGAAAAAGAAAAAGAAAGTCGTCTTGTCTTCACGTCCCCCACAAAACGTGAAAATGGACATTTTCACGTTGTTTTCGTGCAATGACGGCCAAGAGATGTACAAAAAAGCGTAATGCACCTGCAAAGTTGTTGTTTTGCCAATCTAAACTTACTGCTTTTTGTCGTTCTCGTCGCCGTGGCCGTTAACCTTACTTAAGATCTCTAACTATACGATACATCACCCGAACTATTCAGCAAAACCATTATCAACATGCCCCACCAACGCAGATGAATTGTTTAGTGCGTTTCTTTATCAAAGGAACTTAGAAAGGAGCTAATCTAGTTACCAAGAAAGATAAAGTTACCACGTGACACAAACGTTTAGCCTAATTACAGGTTATGTACCTATGTGCATTGTTACTATGGCGACGGGGTATGACAGGAATCAATGGACAGGAATGGTAGTTGACTGGAACGTAAGCTCCTAAGAGTCCATGAGAGTTTGTTACCGTTTCGGGTGCGCACTATAATCGCCAACAGCGCATTAGAAAAGTTCGAGCCACAGGGTTTGTAACAGACCTGCACTCATGAAAATTATTTCACTTTTCCTTAGTATATCATGGGGTAACCCACCCAACATCACGTGACAATACACAGGGTACGAGGTAGACGATTAAGTAGACCATTACACCACTTTCTTTTTTGTAGTCTTTTTTGGTTGCGTTGAAGACTGAGTGTCTCTTGTCTGAGATTCCGAATTCGTCCCTTGCAGTTTTCCCCGCGCACTGTTCACAGAAATTCCGTCGACTACAAATGTCGGAGGGTTTCTACGTGGATTAGGTGACATGTGAGCACTAGACCCGCTAGATGGATTGACCGTCTTAGGTGAACCTTGAAAACTAGTTTTACTGCTTCGAGAGGCATTAGATTGCACTGCTGCGGCGGAGACTGTATTCACACCTTCTACAGGATTTCTACGTGGATTAGCTGACATGTGAGCACTAGACCCGCTGGTTGGATTGACCGTCTTGGGCGAACCTTGAAAACTAGTTTTACTGCTTCGAGAGCCATTAGGTCGCACTTCTGCGGCGGAAACTATATTCACACCATCTCGCCACGGCTTACTCGATTTGGTGCCTGATTTATTGACTTGAGGAGGCAACTTTCTACTTGAATCCCTTATGTTGGGTTGCGTAGCCTCATCCACTCTTGGCTGAAAGGGTTTCTGGAAGAGAACAAAAAGCCAAACAAAAAGCTATGAAATTTAAAATGATGGATACCTAAAGCAACCTTCACCTAGAAAGTAACATTTTGAGTGATATCTTTGCCTAAGGCTCAAAGAACTTTCTTGCCTCACGCTTACCTTGAATGCCACGCGCAAAAAAGAGAGGGAAGGGGAGAAAAAAGCGAAGGGGAAAGCCCCTCTCCCTTGTCCCGTTTCTTCCTCACCGCTTTCCACGCCTAGCTCCACTGAGATTCAACTGAGGGACGAATCCCCTTTTCGTTGTAATTTTTCAGTAGTGGTTGCTGAATACTGTTTTGAATGCGAGGGAGAGTTTTGAAACGAAACTTATCTCATAGGTCATACTCAAACTCTCTAAGAAAAAAGTCTGGTTTATTTAGAATGTCAGTCAGTAGAGGAAGGTCTTCGAACAGAACTATTACACATCAGCAAGGTAACGACACAGAAAAGTATTCCACATTGTAGAAGTATTTGATTGAGTAATAGGCAAATAAGACTGGTTTGCCTTTTTTTTCTGTATAAGTTATTACGATTTTTACAGAGAGCTTACTTTGTTTAGCAAGAATTTTGGAAAGTTAACAATACAAATTTGTTAACGTCAAGGCATATTAATAGGGAAAAGTAATAATTTCGGCGAACGTGCGTCGCTCAAAAACGTCTTTGCTTAAGCTCAGTAACAGCGTGGGCTGAGAGAATTAACACTTAATACCGAACCCAAACAAAGACCTGCCTCAGTCCCCCTTTGCCTCAACACAACTCGAGCCAATTCTGAAAAGCGGTCGAGCGCTTTCCAGAAAACACCCAGATTGTAGAGTTAAACTACCCTTCGTTCATATACTTACAGTGCCGTTGGTGCTGTCACGTGTCCGTTGCACACGGGTAGGACGTGCTCCTTCATTTGCTGGGTTCCTTGCGGCCCGGGTGTTCATTTTTCTTTGTCCCATACTACTTTCTGTTGGCTTGACCACTGGGGCCTGGTGAGTATCACTAGTGAATCCGTTTCTTAACTCCAACGACCTCTTTCCGAATGGGTCCACAGCCACGCTTTTAGCAAGAGATGCTTCCTCCCTTGGCGGCCTGTAATGTAAGTCGCTATTTCCTATCGCCGTCTCCCCGACCACAACATTATCTCCACTTCTCTTTCTCTGCTGATGTTTTTTTGCCACTGGGACCTGGTGAGTATCACTAGTGAATCCGTTTCTTAACTCCGACGATCTCTTTCCGAGTGGGTCCACAGCCATGCTTTTGGCACGAGATGCTTCCTCCCTTGGCGGCCTGTAATGTAAGTCGCTATTTCCCATCGCTGTCTCCCCGACCACAGCATTATCTCCACTTGTCTTTCTCTGCTGATGTTTTCTTGCCACCCCATTGACACGAGATGTTTCCTTCCTTGAAAGCCTGTGAGGTAAGTCGCTATTTCCCACTGGCGTCTCCCCGACCACAGTATTACCTCCAGTTGCCTTTCTCTGTAGCTGTTTTCTTGTCCCCGTATTGTCTGTATTTCTTACTAGTGTCTCTCTTTCCAAAGCACGATTGCTGCTCACCCTTCTGGGGATTTCATTGTTCAGAGGAGCACTGGTCACTTCATCAAAGCCATAGTTGCCGTTCTCGCTGTGAAGGCCATTTTCATTACGTCTCACTTCTAGTGAATCAGGGCCGAAATCATCCAGCTCTCTAGGTATGAAATTTTCCATGGACTTTTGGATCTTCTTTCCTTCATAAACAGGTCTGCTAGGCCGACTTCTTGACCCTCTTCTTGCTTCTGGTCGAGAATTATTCAATGGTGGTTGTGCAGAGCCGTTAAAAAGAAGAGGCGGTGCAAGGCTTGGGGCACCAGCATCACAGATGGACTAGATAACCACAAACGAAACGAACAATAAATACTTTAAACCATATACGCTCGGGAGACCATGGCCATACCCCCATAACCGCAATCACCAGTCTTTTCACCAGAGTTTTTTTCTTTAATCCTCCTAAGAATTCAAGGAGCGTAGAATTCTCAAAAACCCTTCCGCACCACCTTGCGCTAAAGAAGCAAAAATCCTTCCGGTTTTTATTTTCGTACGCTCGCTTTACAATCTCTAACGACAATTGAGGGATTTCTCGCCCGCTTATTGGTCGACACTTGCGGTCAATAAGAGTACAGACAATGGAATGACGTGATGTTTTTCTCTTTCCCACAAGCGCGATTTTTCCAAGAAACTTCAACAGAAATGGACGTTAAACTGTCAATGCTATTGTACAAAACAACTCGACAACATTTTGACGTCATTTCTACGGTCGATAAGAGTACGGACCATGGAAAATTGTTGTCGATTTGTTAATTAGAAGGTCTGTGAACAGACTAAGCAATACCGAATGAGATCACAAAGGAGAGAGTTAAGCTCGTTGAAGAACTTTTTTACCCTTTAAACCCTAATATCAAAATTGAAATGCGTAGTTGTCACTCCTATACAATTCCCTTAAAGTAGGGGGAGGATGTTGAAGCATAAATAGAGAGCAGAAGTCGTTACGTCACGTTGCCATGGTAGCAAAATTTGCGGATCTCAACAAACCGTGGTCCTGCAATACGGCAGAAAAAAAAAAAGTTTACGTGTATCACTTCCTGTGCATGATTGCACTAAGGAAAAACGTGGTAGCCCATTTCTTTCTTCCATCGTTCAACAATGCACATGGCCGTCTCTGTCAAGAAAGATTGTAGAGATCCAGAAATTTGGCTACCATGGTAACGTGACGTCACACTTCTCCTCTCTATTACATACATCTTGAGTGATCATGATTCTAATTCTCAAGACCATTCTGTTTGATAAAGCATACTGTAATTTTGTAAGGATTTTTCAAGAACCACATTAGATTTTTAATGACCATCTACTAGAAATGTAGTTACACAAATTGTACAAAATGCACATTTGCAGTCCACATTTGCACGCTTGAACCGTTTCCTCCCCCAACTTCTCTACATTTTTCAGTTCACTTGTCTTAATTCTAGCATAAAACACTTTTTGTAAACTTAAATCTCTCTGAGCTATAATTCATATTCTGTCTTGGACATCCAAAAAGCATTAAAAAACACTTTCCAAGCCACTACATTCAAAGTTGAAGACAACTCAAGAACGTTTCAAGGAAAAATGGAATTTAAGGACTTTTAAAGGGCTTGCCTTAAAATTCAAGGACTTTTCAAGACTGGTGACTCCTGGGACCCACTAACTAAAAGATTAACTCTTTAAGTGACCAACATCAATTATCACCTAACAATATCAATACATAATCAAAAGAAAATGGTTATGAGAATTCGTGAAATGATCACCAAAGGGAAAATGCTTTGATCTTTTAACAAATTCTCACAACTAATTTTTAGGGAAATGTATGGAGATCAGTACAGAGAATTCTTTTGTTGATATTGGTTATAGGGTTAATTGCCATGTTGGATTGTGCATTGTGTTGCTGCAAACACAGTGAACTTCACAAGGAAAGAAATAATATAGATAGGAAGATAGTAATACTGTGCAGGTTTTAAAATCTTTGGAAAACTTTGGAAACAGTGTTAAAAACTTAATGTAGTTTACTATAGTTTAATTCAACAATTTACCTGGTGTTGAATAAGATTCTCACAAGGAAAAAGCTCCTGACAAAATTCACAAGGCAAAAATGTGGCATCCGGATCATCTATGAAGAATAAAATTATGAAAGAAAAGGGTGAGCGCTGTCATTAATGCGAATGCCGTTCACCTATGATCTATTCAACGTTCCTCTGCAACAAGAAACCGCTAACCGACAGCAACTTGCACTGTTCTCATGACTGGAGATATTTCGTAAGAGGATGGCACACCCTTCTCAGGGTCCACAGAGACAAAAAAATCACTTCAAACTAAGTCACAGGTGAACAAAAAACGTTACAACTTAAAACACAAACAGACTCGGTTCAATAATGGGTGTCATTACACACGTTAACAGTTGGTATATGGATCAAAGGTTTTCTTTCTTTCTCCTTATAAAACCTGAAGGGATGCCCCCCTAAAACGATCACCTAGAGTTTTCCCCTGCCATTCAACAGTCATTTTCTTTGTCCCTCAACAAGGCAGACTCCTCCCTAAAATAAAAACCTAGAGTTGGTCCCTGCCCTTATTTACTCATATTTTTGACTCTCTAAGGTGGAGACCTCCCTAGAACAGACACCTAGAGTTAATTGTTCTCTTTCGTTCTACAGTCATTTTCCTTGACTCTCTAAGGTGGAGACCTCCTAGAACAGACATCTAGAAATGGTCCCTTTCGTTCTACAGTCATTTTCTCTGACTCTCTATAAGGCAGTCACCTCCCCAAAACAGACACCTAGAGTTGGTCCCTTTCGTTCTACAGTCATTTTCTTTGACTCTCTATAAGGCCGTCACCTCCCCAAAACAGACACCTAGAAATGGTCCCTTTTGTTCTACAGTCATTTTCTTTGACTCTCTATAAGGCAGTCACCTCCCCAAAACAGACACCTAGAGTTGGTCCCTTTTGTTCTACAGTCATTTTCTTTGACTCTATATAAGGCGGTCATCTCCCCAAAACAGACACCTAGAGTTGGTCCCTTTTGTTCTACAGTCATTTTCTTTGACTCTCTATAAGGCGGTCACCTCCCCAAAACAGACACCTAGAGTTGGTCCCTTTTGTTCTACAGTCATCTTCTTTGACTCTATATAAGGCGGTCACCTCCCCAAAACAGACACCTAGAGTTGGTCCCTTTTGTTCTACAGTCATTTTCTTTGACTCTCTATAAGGCCGTCACCTCCCCAAAACAGACACCTAGAAATGGTCCCTTTTGTTCTACAGTCATTTTCTTTGACTCTCTATAAGGCAGTCACCTCCCCAAAACAGACACCTAGAGTTGGTCCCTTTTGTTCTACAGTCATTTTCTTTGACTCTATATAAGGCGGTCACCTCCCCAAAACAGACACCTAGAGTTGGTCCCTTTTGTTCTACAGTCATTTTCTTTGACTCTCTATAAGGCGGTCACCTCCCCAAAACAGACACCTAGAGTTGGTCCCTTTTGTTCTACAGTCATTTTCTTTGACTCTATATAAGGCGGTCACCTCCCCAAAACAGACACCTAGAGTTGGTCCCTTTTGTTCTACAGTCATTTTCTTTGACTCTCTATAAGGCGGTCACCTCCCCAAAATAGACACCTAGAAATGGTCCCTTTTGTTCTACAGTCATTTTCTTTGACTCTCTATAAGGCCGTCACCTAGTCCCTAGAGTTGGTCCCTGCCATTCTTCAGCCCTTTTCTTTGTCCCTCTAAAAGGTGAACACTTCCTTAAAATGAACACCTCTTTAAGTCTTAAACATAAAGGTGTCTGACGTAAAGCAAATAAATTATATGCGATAGAAGAGGCAGTGAATCAAAAAAACAATTATTGTTTAAATTAAATAAATCAACAAAGTAAACATAACTTTTGGAAACTTCACCTTCATCATCCTCACTTGTCAGTTCCCTGTGATTGCCAACAATATCTTCACGCTAAAAAATACACAAGTAAGAACAATGAGTCATGATACTTGATAAAGAAAACTTTGATAAAAACTTCTTCAACAACATGGTCTTCCCCAGGGGTTGGTGCAGCTTAGGGCGCTTAGATTTCAAGGCTGTGCTCTAAGAAAAATTGACAGGAACCCAGTTATTGGAATCTGTGAAATCAGGAGTACCCATATTTCCTGGTCATCCAAGAGCCAAAGGAAAGGTGCCAGGGGCCACCCAGCACTGCTAAATGGTGACATTAGAGTAAGAAGGAGTATAATTATGTTATGAATCTTTCATTGTATTGAGCTAAAAAAGGGCAGAAACTACATTTTTATGTTCATCTTTATCTCTATTGAATTTTGCCTAATAGGGATGAAAAATAATTTGAGCCAGGCCCAAAACAAAAGATTCAGGCACCTTAAGAGGTGATTTAAGGAGTGTATTATTTTAGCCCTTCGCCCACCGTGTCATTTTTATATTGCACTTTATTCCTAATAATGTACCATTATTTTTCATTCCTTCCGTTTTATTTAGTATCTGTGATCTTGGTGAATGCATGTTCTACTCATGTTCCAGTCACCACACGTATACTCTAAATGCTTCTTCCTAATTAGTCAAGGGCAGCATGGACAAAAGCGATCGGTGACTTCTGATTTTCTACTTCATTCTCCCAGCACTTTACCATGTATATGCGTATCAATAAAATAGAGAATTAGCCACGAGATGAGGAGTCACTTAGGGTCTTAATCTCCACCCCTTCATAACTGACAAAGATAGGAGAGCCACGTCAATTTGGGAAACAAGACAGAAACTTGCAAAGAAATGCATCTCACAACTGTTTCTTGGATCATTACAAGGGATGCGCCAGTCAGCTATTGGCCAATTTTTTTTCCCATCCTTAATAAATAAACAAACCGTAAAACACTCCCTCACTTACCATAGGAACAGTAGAATTGTAGGGTCCAGGCATGTCGTACATAGGAGTGCCATCATAAAAGATGTCAGCAGACCCGGTGCTTGCATAGGAATCAAATGACCTCAGCTGACAACCACTCTAAAAGAAGTTTTCATATTTACTTCAATGACACAATCTACAATACCACTGACAGTACATACATTTTGCCTCCACTACACAATCTAACATGCTAAACAAACAACATTAGAGGCATGGGTGCATGGGTCATTCAGCGAGGCCCATGATACACATTATCAATCCTCATAAATTATCATTGTTATAGCAAAATGAATATGCCACAGCTGAACACATACACCAAAAAAAAGACAATTATTGGAAAAACAGGGACCATATACTGTGCCACCAAAATAGTAATTTACATCAATCCTGATAAACAAAAATTACAAAGGGAGGCAAATGAATTACCTCTCATTATCAACATGTAACACACATTAGGAGTAATTCAACTGTATGCTACTTTTATACATTTTTATGTACTATTATATTTAACGTTTTATATACTATTATATTTAATGTCTAATGAATGATTATTGTCCAGTTTTAAAAATAACATAGAAGTCTTATGGCTGCAATGTACTTTTTTAATAACATGATCTATCTACCAGAAGTATCCATCATGATTTGTCTACTCCTGTATGCACAAGGCCTCATTATAGTGCTCAAAATAGATTATGTCTGGGCTTTAGATTTACATCTTTTAAAACACTCTCAGCACATCACCTGCCGAACAGTTCAATGAACTAGGCTATTCATTAGAAACTTGCAAAAACTTTGAGGAAATACTTTAAAATTTCTTAAGTTAATACTGACACAGATTAACTACTCATGAATAATATCATGGTTGACTAATCATAATTGACCATAATCATCATCCATCAGGAATAAATGGGATGAATAATTATTGCAAGGTGAAAAGGGTGACAAGGATGACTGGGATAACTAGGGTAACTAGGGTGACTGGCATTACTAAGATTACTGGTACTAGAAAGATTAGAATGACTGGGATGACTGGGATGCCTAGGGTGACTGCGATGACTAGGGTGACTACGATGACTGGGGTGACTAGGGTGACTGGGATAATTAGGATGACTGGGATGATCATGGTGACTAGGATGTCTGGTTTGACTGAGACTACTGTCTGAGATGACAAAAATAACTAGCATGACTGGGACGACGGATGACTAGGGTGACTAGGATGGCTGGGATGACTAATGTGACAGGGATGAATGGGATAGCTGGAATGACTAGGGTGACTGGGATGACCATGATGACTGGGATGACTAAGATGAAAAGAATGACTGGCATGACTAGGGTGACTACATGTAGGATGACTTGGATTACTGGGATGATTTGGATGACTGGGATGACTACAGTGATTAGGGTGACTGGGACAACTAAGATGACTGGAATGACTAGGATGACTGGGATGACTAGGATAACTGGGATGACTTCGATAACTAGGGTGGCTGGTATGACTAAGATGACTGGGATGACTAAGGGATGACAAGGACGACTGGGATGACTAGGACTAGGAGGACTTGGATAACTCGGATGACTAGGATGACTAGGGTGATTGAAACGACTGGAATGACTAGGGTCACTAGGATGACTGGAATGACTGGGATGGCTAGGGTCAATAGGATGACTGGGATGACTGGGTGACTAGAGTGACTGGGATGACTAGGGTGACTGGGATGAGTAGGGTGACTAAGATGAATGGGATGATTGCAAAAACTAGGGATACTGGGATGACTGGAATGACTGGATGACTAGGATGACTGGATTGACCGGGATGACTAGGATGACTAATACTAAGAGAGGATATAACCTTTGCAGTTGTAATTGCAATCCAAGAAATAATGCAAATCAGGTCTGAAAAAAAATTGGGGGGCCTCAAAGGTATCCCAGAGCACTGCAGTGCTCTGCTAACTGAGCTACTCCGAGCAGGTCTTTAAAACCCTTTTAAATATAATATTTTTGTGCTCAGGCAGCATGCTTTAGCTCATCCTTAATTAACCGGACTTTCTACTATTCATTATTACTATTTATTATTCATTATTACTATTTATTATCTCTACAATAATTGTTTTACCTGGTGCAAGATAAGGGAATCCAGCTGAAACAGTTTCCCACAGAACTCACAAGGAAGCTGAGTTGTATCTGTTAAACAAAACAACAAACTTCACCCCATAGCTGCTATAATATATATAATGGCATCCCAAGGGAGTACTCAGGAGTTAGGGCCTGTTTACAAGGAGAAAGGGTTACCCTTGTGCCAGAGTTACCCTAGCAAGTGGGTTAAAGGTAGATCTGGTTTACAAGCAAATTTCACAGGTAGGGTTACCCTATTACCTGGGTCAACTTAACCAGCTTTACTGACACGTTTTATCATGCGTGACATTCTTTGTAACATCTGAGATTTGAAAAAAAACTTGAAGTTCTCTATGAAAACACGTTAAATTCACGAAAAAATAGGAAAATATTATCAACATGTACAGAAAATACCTTATATTGTTCAGACATTTATGATTTAGCTCAGAAATTGGATAATTCTGTTCAACTTGATAAGATTAATGGTCATGCATGACGGAGGAAAGTTGTTCCAGGTAGGCGAGTTATCCCTAGTAGAGTGTTTACAAGGAAGGTAGGGTAACCCTCTTGCTAGGGTAACCCTACCAAGAGGGTAGGGTTATCCTAGCACTAGGGTGACCCTACCTGCCTTGTAAACACGTTGTGTAAAAAAAGAATAAATGTGCGAGTGCTAGGGTAACCCTAGCACCAGGGTTACCCTTCCTCCTTGTAAAAAGGGCCTTAGTGACTGGGGTGATCAAAGGATATTTTGGGGTTTCATTGAGAGCCCTAAGGATTTTTCGAGGGGTTTTAATTTTTGCCTCCTTCGCATCATACCCATTACCATTAGTTTAAGAATATTGCATGTTAACATCAATACAGGAGTTTGTTTCTCTGCAAGAATTGCATTAACATTAATTCAATAAAACATTTCAATCACAGATAACCTAGAATTTTAAGTGAAAGATAAGCAAAACATCCAACAAACCATTTGCAAAGGCAGCCACAGGAGAAGATGGTGTGTTTGGAAAAGGCTCATCAACTACAGTGGATGATGCCGGGAAAGGGCCATTTGTACGGTCAAACTCGTCAGCCTGATACACTGCTGCAAACCTTTCATCGTCATCATTACTCTGCCATGTATAATCAACATCGACATGTTCAAAACTGTCTGTACTGTGTCGATCAATCCTTCTCTTTGCCATCCCTTGTGTCCCACGAGCTATAACATCATGTCTGCCATCAAACGGACTATCTTCATCAACATCACCAAAATAATTTGCACCATTAAATGGTGGAGTACCAAGTCCTGTAGTGAGAATTTTCCCAAATTCACGCATCCCGGGAGCAAATGGAAAAAAGTTCTCCATTTCTGAACTTGTTTCTGAAGAACCCATCAGCCCCATAGCATGCAACATTCCAACAGGTATCTCAGAAAACCAGTTATCTGGCCCATTGGATGGAATTGACTTCTTTTCTTCTTTAACTGGGTACTGGCAGCCAGTTTGCAGGTGCAATTCTAAGTCCTTTTTTTGAACGTATCTGTCACACATCTCACATTTTTCAGTTCTGCTCCCACAGTATTCTACATGAGAGCTCAACTCACTGAATGCAATTTCAAGTTCACAGTACTGGCACTTCACAAGACGACTTGGACAGTCCTTTTCCTATCCATCAAGAAAAGTTTAAAGACAGTAATTAGCTTTATAGCTTTAAAAACTTCTTTGATCTCCTGGGCCCAGTTGTTTGAAGGCCGATTAGCGCTTAACCCGGGTTTCTTTTTCTTGTGTTCAAAAGCATTTTCTCGGATAATTTTCTCTGTTATATTTAGAGCTTTCAATCATCAACTTGTAGACAAAAATAATTAACACTGACATGCTTTTTAAATCTCGCACTAACTGTGGGTTATCTTAACCCAGCTTTGAACAACTCGGCCCTGGCTTGTAAGATTTTAGATCTTTAGGGTAAGGATTTAAGGTGGGATTTTTCAAAAAGAATTCCACTGCAAACCAATCTGGTTACAAAAACACATTACAAACAGCACATTTTCAAAGTTCTGTGTAGCTAATTATAACTTTTAGCCTTACAATTATTTACACAGGGGGTTCATCATATAGCAAGGTGGTCCTAAAATGCAGATGTTCATGAACAACAAATTTGTGACAGTACATGAAGAGGATAAACTAAAATTAACAAAGACACAGCAATATCTTATTTGAATTGCCAAAACCTGTATATTGGACACAGCTTTGATAGCACACTGAGTGATCACTGTATTTGACACATAACCTGGAGGTCCTGATTTTCAGTGCCAATTCTACAATTGGCTAAATTTGTTTCACAGTAGCCCTAAGGTTAACTCCTAATGGCCAAACTTGTAAATAACCAACAAGTTTGACTTACGCCAGTTGGTGATTTTAGTCATGTTATGTTTAATTTCATTATTAATATATTTGTTATTATGATTTCATTTCTGTGTACAAGGACCAAAATTTCAGTAATTAATTTGTTCACTATAATGAGGTTTCGTTATTTCAAGGTTAATTATCATAGCTATTACTGGGGGTAAAGAAAATTGTTTGTTATACTGAGGACTTAGTAATATAGAGGTTCCAGACTCGCCATCCCCCAAAAGGCAAAAATGTGAGATTATGAACCATGAGCTGGGAAAATAGTGAGAAATAGGTAAAAAGTCCTGGATGTCCCAAATTTCCTAGTGGACGGACTTTCAGTACGGGTTATGAGTATTTGGAAGTCACAAGCTGGAGCAGTAAACATCACGATTTTACAATTTAGGTTTTGTAATTCTATATTTTATTGGCAGCCATCTAAAAACAAGAGAAACGGAATAAGTCTGCACATTTGGTGGGCAGTGGCAAGTTGCAATAGGCTAAAGAATGTAATCAAATGTGACCGCTAAGTGTTTTCCATGGACTGAGCTGGCTATCTATTGATATCTGATTTGCAAATGTCACGCCCTACAGCTCCAAAATGTTTCGGAGTATGACTTTTTGAGAAAGCATGAGAAATCAGGAGCCAACTCCTGAGAGCATAATGAGACTGATGACAAAGTCGTGAGACTTGTGGAAAGTCTGAGGTTCATTATATCAAGGTTGCACTATTGATTAGATAAGTTCATCTCTATGTAAAATAGTTTACCTTGTGTTCCTCAAGGTTCATCTTCTCCACCTGTTCCCCACAGTCACATTTGACCTGTAAAAAATGACAGACATGAAGGATGGTTTCAGTGGAAGTGACCTAAATGATACCCCATCAACCCTTGCAATAACAAGCAAACTTTTCACCGTTTATTACTGGGAGAAATAAAACTCATAAAAAAAACATTTTTGTATTTTTCTTCATCTTTATCCCCAAGAGGCAAACTTCCCATGCAAATGTGAAATGTGATGGCTAATCTAGTAAAATCAAATAAATTACCAAATACATGGGTTTTCATTGCCGCTAAAAAATGGATGGTTAGAAGTACTGGAGTTAGTGGCTTTATTTCTTCTCAAAACGGGAACCTGCAACACTAAAAACTCTTGAGAGTTTCTCATGGATGCTATAATTAGGGTGTTCATGTCAAATATAGTACAACCTAATACTGGTAGTAACCATAGATTACCGGTAATAAGTGCGTCTGAGTTTTAACCTTAATATTATGCCCCACAAGTCTTGAAGAATACATGTACCCTAGTCTCTAGCATACTGTCACCTAGTATCAGCCTGCAGGAATTATTCACTATACCTTTAAAATAAAATAAATGATGCCTACATGTACATGTATACCTTATCTTCTAATAACCCCCACTGAAACAAATTGAGGGATTGAAACTCGTGACCCTTTCACTACCAGACGGGGTCAAGGTAAAATTTAGACAAAAAATCCAAATTTCATTTTGTAAAAATTATGACATAATGACTGAAAATGAGTTCAGAGGTTAAAACCATGAAATAAAATTATATAAATGAAAATAATTTCACTTTACAGTCACCTTGACATGGTTTTCTTCAAAATGTTCTTCTTGCTGTGAGGTCGGCACAGGTTCACCACACACCTTACATAATGTGAGATTCCTTTGACAATGTGTGACATGCATGACATAGTTGGCTGCTGGAATGTCTCGTCGGCTGTCGTACAAGAGAAGTTAAAAGTTTATACTCGGTAAAATCAGAGGAAAATACTCACTTTCGGAGGGAGGTTTGAGGTAAAAGAAGTATTTTTTTAGATGCGCCCTATGATAAAGACACCTCCTTCAATGCTGCTGTAACTAATTTTGCAGCAGTGAAAGATAATAATAATTATTCTTCAGAACAAAATAAGGTTCTACCCTGAGCGGTGTGCAAGGAAGAAAAATTATTTTTGTTAGCATACATGTTCAGCTGGAAAAGAATGGCCACAGAACACTGTTTTATGTATTTCTAGCATTATTTGGGGGAAGAGAAATCATGGTAACAAGAATATGATCACCTCAACAAAACCAAAGGCAAGTTTCAGTCATCAAGTGTTTGCTTAGTAAAGAAGGATTTATTTTTGTACAGTGGGCTATAGCTCCATAAATGGACTTTGCTCCTAGTGATTCTTCCCTACACAAAAGGTTGTTTTCATTCTGAATAAGGTTCAATAAACTCGAAATATTATTGCATGACAGATGCCTGAATGAGTAAAAAAAATCCATGTTCTTTGACAACAAAAGAATGGCTTTGTAATGATGACTGCGATGTTGAGATTTGGACTTTGACTATTTTTAGCTACTTGAAACATCAGAATTCACTTCAATTTATCATTGCGATGCTCTAATCTCGAAGGGTAATTACCCGATTTCCAAGTGAATGGGTTCTCTTTGGGGGACTGGTAGTAAATCAGTTAAAGATCACGGAAGATCGGCAAAGATTTTCTATATAGAATATCACGCTGGCTCATAAACCAAAACGGATGATACATTGCCACAATGATTAGATCAGCCAGATCGATAATTAAAGGCACAAAACAGAAGAAAAACAGACAAAAAAATCAAGTCTAATGCTGCTACTAGTAAGGGCAGATGTATCGATCACTAAATATCACGAAGCGATTATCATAATTCAAATTAGTTTCTCGATAAATATGTAATAGGCTAACCAAGCCACAAGTCTATGTCTATGCAAGATAACGAAACAAGAACAGTGTAAGAAAAACAGCGAATATGAGATCATCGAAAAAAAGCTAAAATAAATTAAAGCAATACGACTAGAATGATGGCTTATTTTTTAATTAAAGTACGTTAGAAGATTGAGCAAGGAATGGACGGACTCCTATAAAGTACTCTCCTGGCAGTAGACAGATTTAAATAGTGCTACAGATCGTTGAAGAGGCCACTGTTTGCGAAGCAAAGTTTTAACTTTACAAATAAAATAACATATGCGTAATTTCAAAAAAATATGACGATGCAGTTACGCTTAGCATATTTTCAACACAGCAAAGCAGGAACTACTTGGTTTTCAGTCTTCCCTTTGTCAGATCGGCCAAGATTGTAATCAACGACAAGTAATAGAATAAGAAACTTACCAATTTGAACAATACTCTGTTTTGGCGATTTCTTCTTCCATTTTTCGAGGCGGAAATGTTGTTCCTTTTTTCAAATCAAGAAGCGTGGAGTAAACGTAGAAGAGTTGAGGTAAAGTAGAACTTTCACTTGTATGTGTTTACGAACGATTCCCGGAAACTTTTAAGGCCTTCAAAGGTCGATTCTTGGAACATGACAAAGGGGATTTACCAACGTAACTTCTAGTTTCCGTTGATTATAAAAATAACGTATTTCTCACTGACATCCCCTTCTTCCGCCTTTGAGTATCCACAACACAGCTCCACAACACTTCTTTCACTTTCGATGGGTCGTGACCGCTGGCATAACTTTCCCGCCAAGAGCCCTGGGGGGGCAACAGGAGTATGGGAGGGGTTAACTTGCGATCATTCCCTCTCCCTTTGTCTCTGTAATCCGTCATTTTTTTCAAAGAAGCAAACAAGTAAAAAAATAATAATAATGACGCCTGATCTCAGGTTAAGGAGGGGTCTTTGACTGAGTGAGTGCCCAGCGGCTCTGGGTACCTATGACCCCAGTGTCAGCTTATGAACTCTTATGATCAATTTAGTCCAGTTTCTGGTGTCAGTATGCTAGAGAATTCTGGATTAGGACGTGTAAACCGCGCTTGAAAGCATATCGCGGCACTCTTATAAGGTTTCCATCACAACATCCAGTCGGTCACCGTCATATTACACTTATTGGAAGTAAGCCGTCTTTCGACTAACTTTTTTTTCTAAACGTTTAAAAAACGGCTGTTAAAAAAGGCGGTTAAGTCTCATAAAAATAAATAAATAAACAAGACGCATCTTATTAGTAAGGCTTTTCATCATGGCTTAGTTAGGTTTACTCAATACCTAACACAACTACAGTCGACTCCCGATAACTCGAACCCTTAATCTGGCATAACGCATATATGACTGCTTTTAAATGTACCAAAAGCACCAAACTGACTGAATTTCAATTTAGATTCCTTCATCAAACTTTGGCAACAAACGTATCTTTAGTCAAAATGGGATACAAAGATGACATTAGGTGTTCATTTTGCCATGAGGAAGCTGAAAACTTCCCGCATCTTTTCTGGTTCTGCAGCAAAATAGAACTTTTCTGGAAACATCTTATTGCCTTTCTAAAGGATCGTAAACTTTTATCCAACGACTATCTAACAGTCTTGTCGTCTTGGGTCTGATGCCTGATACTTCTAAAAACAAAACCGCAATTAACTTCGTTCTGTTACTTGCGAGATTCTACATTTGGCTTTGCAGAAGCAAAGGAAATATTCCAACTATTGGAAATTTTAAGCCTTTTTTAAAACAATATAATAAAGAAATTGAACCTTTCCCTCTTTTGTAACCTTTTACCAGTTTGGGGTCACTCGCTCTTTTTACACTTTCCTTCCTACCAGACATTCCCTTCCTATTTTCCCCGCTTCAACTTTCAAAGTATATAAAGCTAATTTCAGTGAATCAGCAGAGAAAATATCTTTAATCTCTTTTTTCTCCTTTGAGTTAGAACTACAGTTAACTAAAATTTACCACACTTCCCCGACCCCTCTTTTTTTTCCTGTTTTTGTAGCGTATGTAATCCGTAATGTAAGTAGCGCAAGTAGCGGTGTCACAGTGATATGTGTATCCCCGTGATATGTGTATCCCCGTACACATATCCCTAGTGATATGTGTATCCCTCCAATATGGCTGCCAGTGAAATGTGTATCCCCTACCCCCCACCCCTCCAAACAAGTGTCGGTTTTTATTTCTGTTGTTTTTGTGAATGTTATTAAATTTTTATACTCTGTAAAACATACGCAAAGACATGATGATATAATTATCTCTTCTTGAAGCCTATTTAGAAGATTATTCAGTTTTTATACGCTCGTTATCTCCATACCTAAACGAGGCCATCATAATGTGGTTATCTCTACTAAAAGCCTATTTAGAATAATATCAAACTCTAATACTCTATAAAATCTAAGTAAAAACATCAGTAAACTTTTCTGGATTTTTAGCAAAAAAAAGAGAAAAACCTAAAATCTGATGCCCTTAGCGTCCTAACTAAGTTTTTATCTTAAATGTTCTGGCAATGTTCAAAGTGTTTGAGATGACCGACTTCTGCATCCGCTCAAGTACGCTCCGTGCTCTCCCTCCTAGTAGCTTCCTCACCGACTTCTCTAGGTGTTTAGAGTAACCACCCAGTACTCAAAAAGCTCAAAAAACAGAATCTTCAAAGCTGTATTATGCCTGTATAGGTACTTGGTACTTGGTTCTTTGGTTTATTATTATTATTATTATTATCATTATTATTACTATTATTATTATTATTATTATTATTAATGCTACATTTAAGTAGAAAGTGCTTTAAACGTGTTAAGAAAGTCATAACTGCGTCAGTTTTAAGTAACGTCACCCCAAGAGTACAGGAAACATTTCTTTCCGCTGAAAAGGTTAATGCGTCACTAATTACTTCATTGGGACAATTTTTCTTCCACACGAAAGAGGACCTTGTTTTTTTTCTTTTCTTGAATCTGACCACCATCGTCGATAGCTATTTAACATGGTGGGGAATTCCACATCACATCATAGGAAATTCCATCAAAAAAGTGTCTGCACATTTTTCTACATTTTTTCTTTTTTCGCAAAGAAAGAGCCTTCCGCCACCCTGAGGTTATATCAGTTCCCCGCCTGGCTTTGCCAGACTCGTACTAAGTCGCTATTTATGTTTTTGGGGGTGAGAGAAGATTGGGGTTATGTTGAGGCGGGCGGGGACTAATGTTCTCAACATTTTCTCTACGAGTCGTAACGAGGTTGACCTTTTCCTGCGCGCGCATTGGAAAAATCAGAAATGATCTCACAATGCTTCGAGGAATAAAATATCCATGACAACAGACCAATTTCGAAAATTTTGCGATGTGTTAGACACAGCGGATAATGACAAAAGGCTTATAACAGAGTAATTCATGGCGAAACGTTATGATGAGAAAATTTGATTTAATTCTATTCGTGACTGGATGCCTCCTTTTGTGTTGTCCAGGTGAGTTTAAACTTAAAAAAACTTAAACCTTCATTTTTATCGTCATATTATTACTCTGTTCTATATTGAAATGTAAAAAATGTGATTTTCACGTAGGCTGACCTGTACTTAATTTCGATTTTTTGAGGGTAATATTTCCTTATTACGCGAAGCATATATTTCTAAACCTATGTTCTTATATTTTCCAAAATAATAATAATAATTAACTTATTATAAGCTAATATGATTTGCAATGTATTAACTAATTAAGTAGGCTCTTGGTAAATTATACAATTATCTTTTTCAAAGCTATCTATAAATACGGTGAATAAAATAAATTTTGTTTTGAATTATCTAATTAGATATTTGATAGATTCTGCATGAAATTAAATAATGTGTCCTGTGCTCATTTTTTTTTTTTTTTTTTTTTTTTTTTGCTGAATGGTTATTTCAGCTTTTAAATGCGAAAGTAATGCCTCCTAAAAAGTATTTCCCGTTTTCACTTCAGCAAGGAATAACGGCAGTGGATATGATTTTAAGAGTCTGCGTGGTTAACGTTTACCAGGAAAGTAGGGTATCTACAAGGGTGGAAATCATAGCTGATTTACCACACGTTTTAACAGTTAGCATTTTGAGATAGGATCCCCCTAAATCAATAATTCTTGGGTGCACCCTCCCAAATTTATACGTTGGCATCGAGATTTTTTGCGGCGGTGAAGGCAATGGAAAAAGAGAAAAATATAAGTGAAAGAGCAAAACTGTAACTCTGTAAGTACATCACACTTTTTGATACATTTCTTCGCTGTCATTTTACGACTTGTGTGTTTCTGTAACAGGGCGTGGACACACGACCCAACTTTTTTTGTCTGTTTTAGCATTAACAGCTAACTAAAACATAGTCCTGTACAAAACAAACAAACAGATAAACAGATACAAAGAAAATCAATACAGAAAGTAGCAGATACCGCTTATGTTTCCTTAAGACAGCTCCCTAATAAATTATCATTAGAACGCTGACAAAATGGTATCTTTTTTGATTTGCAGCAGCCGTCGAAGGCCAGTCTTTGTGGTTTATGGACCCTTTTTTCATTTCATACGAAGTTACTGAAGGAGAAAATGTAGTAATCGATTGCGCAACCTTCCAGGAGGCATATCACACCGGACTTTTATATGAATATGGTCAAGTGCCGCCGTTTGAGCTTGTACCCGATGGGAAAAAACTCATGCGAAAAGACCAGATCTTCACTATAAATAACGTAACCGCACGGGATGAAGGGATCTACTATTGTGTAGCCAAAGACAAACAACTCGTGGAATACGAGAGGAAAGCGGGAGAGATTATTCTTATCTCTTGTAAGTGTAAATTTCTTATATACTTGCGTGTATACACTTTTACAAATGCCTTCCCTAGAACACAGATGAAGGTAGAGGCTAGACTGTGACTCCCTCTTTCCGCCCGACCCTCCTAGATTCTAAGCGAATAGCCCTGGAGACCAGGTTGCCCCTTGTATGGAGAGGTTAGGCAAGCTTAGTCTTAGCAAGACTCAGTTTTAACGGTCAGAATGACAGTAAATTCGGTGCTATCATCAACTGACTCAACACAAAGGGTTGAAAGAAACTGAAAAGTCCACATCATACTACAAAAAGAACTTAACGATACTTTCTGCACCCTACAATCCCTACAAAAATCCAAGAATAGACCGTAAAAGAAGCATATAACCTTATGCTTCTGACCGTAAACGTGTTCGTAGTATTTGCATGACAAACAGGTAATTTCGCCTTTGAAGCGACTTTGGAACGGTTTTGATTCAAAAGCCGAACTTTTCATGTACCGAACCTAATGCATAACTTATTATAACGTATTTTGTAAGCAGTTTGACCGAAATGCGCATTTTCCGCCTTTTGAACTTAGTTCAGCTGCAATTAAGATCAGTGTCTGAATCAATTCAGCCGGTCTAAATAATTTGGGTCGTGAATTAGGTTCGGTTCATGAAAAATTCGGCGACAATTTTAACATGGTCAGTTGTAGTCAATCAATAATTGATTCGTTATCCTTTTTCCTGTAGCGAAACCGGCAGCTGTAGATTTTGAGATTGAGAAGTCAGACGACTCTCCTAAGGAAGAGACAGTGGCCATGAAACTGGCTGCAAGCAAGCCCTATCTTTTCTTTAAACAAAAGTCCCCACTGCGCATCAACATGAAAAACCAAAAGCCCTTTGAACTGAGTGTGTCAGCCAAAGGACTTCAACCAATCAAATTGCAGTGGAAAAAGGACGACCACGAGTTAATGATTGGAAGCAGGTACAAGACCTATGACAGCGGTCGGCTTATGACAGTGGACCCTCCATTTACAATGGAAGACGGTGGCACTTACAGTGTCTCAGCATGTAATTCTAAGGGCTGTACCGTCAAAGGTGTCCAGGTGCTGTTTTACGGTGAGTATTGGATTGCGTAAGTTTGCTTCATAGATTAAGGTTTATCTGTCGGGATTCTGTAGTCACTAGGGTACAGAGGGTAATAAGGCTCTTTTTTCCTGTTCGCCCTATAGGCACCGCATCAACCTCGTCCCCAGGGCTTTTCCCTCAAAAAATGGGTGAAGCCCTGGGGACGAGGTTGGCGCCGCATAGGCTTACTTTGTGGAAAGGGAGAAGGGTGGGATTTCCTTTTAGCTTGCCAGACCTGTTTCTAACGTCATGCTACTGCCCTGCCGAACTCAATTCATAACTTGTAAATGGATTAGAATACATTTTAAAAGTTCACTAAAATCGCTTTTTATTTTAAAGTTTTGTTTTCCGCAACGGCTATTTTTATTCAACTAGTGAGTTAAATTCGACCTCTGAAACCAAGTCTTGCTACGGTCGTGCTAGAACCGGGCTAAAATCGAGCCAGTTTAGATCAGCAGAAGCACGACGTTTGAAACAGGCGTTTCTCCCCTTCTTCTTCCCCATGGCTGCCTAAAAAGTTTGTGAAAGACCAATATAGACCAAAAATAAGATATAGAAAGAGAAATAGGATAGCTGAAAAACGGTGAAATTTTTTTTTTTTTTTTTTGTATTTTAATGAATTTTTTGTTTTAAAATGTTTTACATTTTTTTACATTCTGACTTATGAACACGGAACACGTAAAGAAAAGATACAAAAAACGGAAAGGAAAACTAAACATTATATATACATCGCAGACTAACACACAATTACATACTTACAAAGAAGAAAACAAACGAAACAAAAACCCAGTACCTTCTTTTCTATTTACATGAAAAAAAAAAGTAAAATAAAATAAATAAATAATAAAGATTAATAATAAATAAAGTAAGCGGAGAAGAGATCGTATGCTAATCAGTTTTATATTTGCCTCATTTCAAAACGGTGAAATGACCTACTTCTTCCAAATGAATTTTTCCAAACGATCGCGAAATGCGGTGTTTTCCCTGCGGTGTTTTCCCAGGGAAATTTCTAGCCATGCCCCAGGGGTAGCGCAGTTGTACGAAGGCCGATTAGCGCTAACATAGGGTTATGTTTTAATAATATATAAAATATCAGCAAGTCTACCGGCGAAAAACCAATAAGTGGTGCCGGATCTCCCAGTTGTAGACCTGTATCAGTACAATAACAACTTGTATCATCCAGACCCTGAGATAAGGTGGGGGGGCGTTCTCCCAAAAGGCCCGTGTGGCCTCAGTTTGGTCTAACAATAATGGGGGGGCAGGGGGCCCGCCCCCTCCCCGGATCTGCCACTGTAACTCGGGTTTCATTTCACGTTTGAAATCAAATTTCGCACCAACATTGGGTTGCTTATCCAAACTTTGTCCAACCTAGCCCTGGGCTATTAGGGACAGCAGCAAAATCCCTAGCAGACACTTTAATGACTTGAACTTCCCCCGGAGAACTTCCACTTGTAGGGACTACGAACATGTGATTCTCTTATTTGCAGTGATACAGAATAACACCCAGATGGTTCAAGATGATGAGGAAGGAAGCGTAGAGCCGGAGAAAGGTATTTTCCCGCTGTTATTTGCCCCTTTGTGCTACCGATCTTGGTAAAAGTAATGAAATTACTTACCGTATTTATTCGATTAACCGCCCTGAGCGCTTGTTAAATTTTTGGACCTTGATAGTGGGCGCTTATTCGAGGCTGGGCGCTTAATAAATTTTCACCATTCTCAGCAAGTTTAGTATGTTTATTTTGCAACAAAATAATAAATGGTAACAATAAAAAGCGAAGATGTAACAAAGCAAGATTTCTGTAAAATACTCTGAAGAAAACTCTGTCTTCGGGAGGGTCTCTTATTATCTCTTACTGGAGTTTTTGTGGGAGGAAGTGGGGTGGGGGTGGGCGCTTATTCGAGGCTGGGCGCTTATTAACTTTTTCTGCCTTTAGGATGGGCGCTTATTCGAGGTGGGCGCTAATTCGAGGTTGGGCGCTTATTCGAATAAATACAGTAAATGATAAAAGGGTGGAAAAGGGTGCACGGGTGATAAAAGGGTCACGTGAGCCGGCATACCACTGTTCCCCACTATGGGGTCTTGTTCTAACTAAGATTTCCCCAGAGTCGTTCTTAGTAAAATTCTTAACTATTTTTACTAAGATTCCAGAAGTGATTTTTAACCAAGAATCTTTGTAAGAATCACTATCGGATTCTTAGTAAGAATAGATAAGAGACTTACTAAGTATGACAATGGACATTTTAGTGAGAATGGGTAAGATTCTTGGTGAAAATCACTATTGGAATCTTAGTAAGAAATGAGGTAAGAATCTTTGTAAGAATAACTATGGGAATCTAAGTAAGAATAGGTGAGAATCTTGGTTCGTTAATCTTCCCGTGCGCATATCTTCCCAATCTCACGCTACGCTCCTGCTTAGTACTTACAAAGTACTTGGTTGTTCAATTCATGATCAGGGTTGATGGATGCAGTGTCAAGGGGTTCGGATACTGAACCCCTAGACCCGTGGCCAGTGATTGCTTCCGCTGGCCAAACAAATATGTCTCCCGAGTATTATACAGTTGACTCCCGATAACTCGAACCTCGCGCTAACTAGAACCAAAATCGATTTCCCCTGGACTCCGTCACACATTTACTGTAATTTTACCCTCGGTAACTCGAAGCCTCGATAACTCGAAACTCCCGCTAACTCGAAGTAATTTTTGTTTCCCCTCAGATCACTTCTATATAATTTTACCCCCGATAACTCGAGCCATGTTTTGAGCCCATAAAAAGTCGGGAAAAAAGAGTGTACTGCCTCCGAAACATTGAATTTTGAATTTCCCATTGACGTGTTGTAGGCATATAGTTTACTAGTGGATCGATAGTGGAGGCTGATTTTGTTTGCCACAAATCTAACGTGAAATAGCTTTACTTCTCAAAAAGTAAAATGCATGCTCTACTTAGGCAACGTTTTGTTACTATACGTTCTGATTTATAATCTAACAGTATCTTTCAATTTTTACTATTAAATGTGATTAGAATACTCACTGTGCAGTAATAACTGTTTTTTCCTTACTCCCGGCTATTTTCTTCGAGCTCCCGATAACTCGAACCTTTTACGATTTCCCTTGAAGGTTCGAGTTATCGGGAGTCGACTGTACTTGAAGTTACAATTGCAAAGGACAGAGATGAACTTTGAAAAAGTGTGAGGCAGAACTGTTCTCAGAGACCCTAATTACTGAATCCGTTTCCTGAATCCGGCGTCTCAGTTGGCCATTCGTGCCTTCACTTGTATTTCCCATTTTTGTGGAAATATTTCTTCGTCGTTTCAGTTATTTACTTAATGTCTTAATCATTTTGGACATAAGTTCCCGGTGGATGAATTTGACTGAATTACATGACAAAGCTACAATTATCTTTAGTTGAATGCGGAAGCTATAAACTTGTTTTTTTTCTTTCTTCCAACAGGCGAAGGATTCATTGGAAATTTTTTGAAGAAATATGGACTCTTAGGAATCCCTTTGGGGATTGCCATTATTCTCGTCATTGCCATTTCTTGTGTATCAGGGGAAAAAGAAGAAGTCGAGGAAGCTCCTCCTGAGTAAGTAGTCTATCATTAGGGAGTTTTTACAAGACATTTTTGATTGACACACGTCAACCGGAAGTGAGGCGTTTTGAAAGGACCTGTACAAAAATGAGGGGAAAACCGGTGCCGACTATTGCAAAATGTCTACTTCCGGTTGACCAGCCTCCCTCAAGAATGTCTTTCAGCTACCTAATAATAGCTTATTTTGAAGGCAAGGGATCGTGGTTCAAATTTGGTCTGAAGATAAGCGACTTATGCAACTAAGAATTTGAATTTCTCATATCTTCTGGGAGGACAACAGAAAATACATCGTTTAATAAAATGTCCATGGTATCGGTGTAATCTTTCTTCCTAGCACAAATGCCATAAGGTTTATAGACTTGCGCACCATTTGACAATGTCGTAAAAGCGATCAGGTGGCCCAAGCAAAACGGATTTTTACAAAGTCTATACGGTGTTTTGTAAGAATGGATCATTAAAGCACTAACCCTCAAGCTGTACCAATGAAAGTAATTTGCGCTTTTGATGTCAGCATTGCAATTAAGATTTACTGCTTTACAGTCAAACTTCTCTACAATTGAGAAGGGATTAACTCGGGTGGTCGTTAAGGAAGAAGTTCGGCTGTATTCACCTAACAAGTGGCTTCTGACAGACCTTTCTTCAGACCGGCAGCAACAACTACCGACGAGTTTGTTGTTGTTGTTGTTATTGCTGTTCTCTGTTGGGTAATCATCTCCATTCAAACTGAATGTAATATTTAATTTTACAGGCAAGAAACTAAAATAAAGATCATTGAGAAGATTCGCATTCACAAAGAAAGGTTCCCATTCATAAAGAAAAAAGTGACGAGGCCTCCGGTGCCATTGGCGCCACCGGGGCCGAGGTAAGTTTGCATGTTGCTACCATTTCCAATTTTCTTTTTTACTTTTTTTATGTCAGGTATCAACCTAGTCTTGTTGACCTTTTTTAGTTACTCGCATTGTACGGCTCTCTAACGCCCGGCTCTATAATTCCCGCAGTAGCAAGACTGATTACAAAAATCAGCGTGTTTGTTATACGGCTTTGATCCTCCCTGATAATGAGTCGTCTAACCACCCCATAGAAAAAACATGGATTGAGTTGCCCCATTCGTATTCTTTAGCCCCTAGCAAGCTCTTCATGTACGGCGAGTGAAGCGAGCCGTAAGAGAACACGCGAGCCCTTACCACTCGCGTCTCCTTTTGCGTGCTGCCTTTGCGTGACTTCTCGCGACTCCCCCAAATTAAGAGCCTGCTCGCAGGCCCTCGCAGGCTAGTATTTCCTTAGTGCGACCCTATGATTTCAGTTGCTTTAAAGCAAAATGTATGCATTATATATTGACTAACGGTGAGGTGAAGATGGCTGGATATTGGCCACAAATTCGTTTCTGCGTTTTTGTGGACTGAGGCGAAGTGGTGGTCCATAATAGCGAGTTTACGCAAAAGGAGGGCAGGAAGAAGAGGACGGCAAAACGCTCATGTGTGACAAACGTGACAGGGAAATAGCTTACATGTTTTGTCGTAATCTTCACTTAATATTAATGTTTTCTGGTCTTTTACAAAAAGATCTGTTTAAAGGAGAGTGAAGTTTGACAAAAAGTTTTTTCAGGCAAAATCATTGTGACGTTTGTCACACAAGGTTTGGCGTCTTCCTCCTTCTCCCGTTCTGTTGCGTAAGTTCACTAATAACCCAAAAAAAGAACGAAGCCGATATCCAGCCATCTTATTCAACAAGCAAGCCTAATATAAATAATCAATAATCTATTATATGGCTGAAAACAGAACTTTTTCATGCTGGACCAACGCCAGGAGCCTATGACCCTTTTCGCGGGAAACTAGCCGTTCTATTTATAAATCTACTCGGGAAAGGGTTGACGCAAGAAATCAGTGGAGATAGAGGCTCCTAGTGATGGGCTCCTGACCAACGCTGGAAATCTCGAGCGTGGCCCACTTGGGTAGCCAATCAGAACACATGATTCGTTTCATTTTGTCGACTCGCAGATTCAGGATTCAGCCATTATAGTAACATAGGAAACGGAAACATCAATATTATCGCTTCTTTGCTATCTATACTAGTTCCTGCGTTCAAGGGTGATACAACATAACGTTTTCGTTCTGGAACGCGTCCTGTTTCATCGAGGGAACTACCAAATGAAAGAGGCGGAGATGCTTGTCGAAATGTTAGAATAAGACTCGCCCTAAAGGAGAGCAGTTTGGGCGTGACTGAAGCTTCATTTGACCCCTAAAATAAGAAGACCATACTCCAACACTGTATAACGGCATTTGTTTTTTGTATACTTATTTCTTTAAGGACAAACCGATACCTATAGGGGAAATAAACATTGGATTTCTGTTCTGAACATCCTCCGTGAGACATACATCTTAGCCTGTGTAACAAGCGTGTCCGTTTCGTTTCGTAGCAAAGAAAGACCGAGGAACGGGACTGTCGGTTTTGGCCGCACGAGAAATGAGAAGAGAGCCATTTTTCGCGCGGTCTTTGACTCTCTTTCATCGTTCTTTGCTCCGAAACCGCACGGAAACGCCTGCAACGCATGCTACATACATCTTCAATCAACCTCGTCCCCAGGGCTTTTCCCTCAAAAAATGGGTGGGGCCCCACCTATTTTTTGAGGGAAAAGCCCTGGGGACGAGGTTGATCTGCAATTTTGTTGTCCTTCCTGAGCATCCTCAGTGAGAACAAAGACTGCAATTTCTGTCCCTACGTGTGCGAAACGACGAGCATCCCCATCATGCTCCTAGGGACCCCTCCCCCCCCCTCCCCCCTCCTCTGGTCATAGTCTAACCACAGGTAACCCAAGCTCGAAATCTGGGCATCGGCGAGCATCGGCATTGTTGCGTAACATTCAATATGTAAGGATCTATATGGGAAAAAACCTATCGTTTCTGTAACCTACGAAAATGAAAGGATTTCAATAAAAAACAGCTTACCTTACTTAAAATGTGTGTTACGTCTCTCCTGTGTGGTCCACGGGTCGATTTATGGCCGTTTATGCTCATATTTCGAGCTTGGGCTACCTGTGGTCTAACTGACCTTATTGTCCTTATTTCCACGATCACCTGTCTTTTGCAGAAAAAGAAAGCTTACGAATGTCAGTTATTTCATAACAATGAAATTATGTTCAAGAGAATTGTAAACTGAGTTCACTTTGAAATTAACCCAGTTTATTTTGCGTATTTTTAGAGTCTACAGTAATCCAATTTATCTGTAATTGGTGGACAACTTTACTCATCTATTATGATTGCCTTTTTTCGTTACAGTGGCGGGGGACGAACGGCTTCGCTATGGAGTTGGCAGTCGGATTCTAGTGGGGATGAAATGCCGGATTATGACAAAATGAAAACTAAGAAAAAACCGCCTCGAAAGCGTAGCCAGATGAGCCATTCGAGTTTTGAAGAGTTTGAACAGACATATGATCATCATGTGGAATGTAAGATACGTTACCGTTTTGAGTTCACATTTACTTTCTTCCCTTCTACAGTGAAATGAGGATCTGAATGGGGTGTACCTCGATAACACTAAACTCTTCATTTTTGGTTTTGTAACATGAAACAGTTACATTTCAGGCATTTTAACACTAACAGTAAAAAATTCTTTAAAACAGTAAATTTTTTGCAGAAAAAAGCAAAAACGGCTCCCAAAAGGTCAATGATAAGGAATTTACGGCCATTTTTACGTTAATTCTGGATTTTTCAGAAGATTTCCGAAGGCTACCGACAATTCCCGAAGACTGTCGAAGATTTCCAAAGACTAACGAAGAGGTCTGACCATTGCCGAAGATGTCCTAAGAACCCTCGAAACACTCAACAGCATTTTCTTCGGGAAACAGTAAACATTAAAAAAAATGGCCAATTTAACAGCAAAAACTTAAAATTATGCGCAAATAATATTCAACTAAACCCCCATTCAGTTGAAAAGACCCTGGGCATTGGTCTGTCCACAGGGATCGAACTTGTGACCTCTTTCCACTCCCCTGTCTGACTATGCTCTTTGTATGGGTCTTAACCACAAATTTATTACAAAATGAAGCCTTGTGTTAAGTACAGTCGAACCTCTCTCATACGGACACCGAACGGACAGAGCGAAGTGTACGTATTAGAGGGGTGTCCGTATAAAAGAGGTCACTATGACGACGTCACTTTTATGACTCCACTTACAGTTTTTCAAAAGGGGTTCAGTAGCTATTTATAAAACCAGGCTCACACTCGTCTTTAAACTGCATTTAAAGTTATTAATTCACAAAATAAAGACACTGTCTTTCTGTGGCATACAACATTGTACATCTCAGCTACAGACAAATTACTGTTTTAAAACGATACGAGCTACAGCGCCCTGGTACAGCGCAATGATGCATGTAAAACTTTGTAACGTAAAGCACAATTTTGAAAGCGTCTTTCGCTATTTTGCAAGTGCAGTAAATAATAACTAGAGTACAAAATGTCATAGAAAAGATCTTAATGCCGTCTGTAGTTGTTGAAGCCTTCGAAACGTCGGTTATGTCCCTCTGCACACCTTTCGCAAATCGTTGTTTGGTATACAGCGACTGGGCTGTATATCACCTTGCATAGCTCGCCAGCCAGACTAGACGGGATTCACCCGGTGCAGATTCACCTGATCGGGATTCGGGATTCACCTGATCACCGCACCATCCATAATAAAGAGGTTAAGTTTATATGGATTTACTCTCGGAGCGAAGATTTCAGAGATTTTAGACTCCGTTGTCTGTGTTAGAGAGAGTCCGTATTATAGAGGGCTTTTTTAAAGAAAATATATGAGAATTTTGTCTGGACAATGGAAAATGTCCGTGTAAGAAAGGTGTCCGTACCGAGAGATTCGACTGTACACGGACTCGCTGGTAGCTAACCCATTGTATGGTCGTGTAATTTGGAAGAAGGAGAATTCTCATAGAAAGCACAGAAAAAATTCCGGGCTCCAGGTGAGAATCGAACTCTTGACCCTCCGAGTTCTAGTTCGGATGATCTAACCACTGAGCCACTGGAGACTCTATGGCGAGCAGGGCCGGAATTTAATTATGGCTACACCAGGTCATAAAGGACTTTAAACCGTCTTTAAACCTCGCGTCTGGGGCTTTTCGCTTGGAAAATGGGAGGTCGGGCGCCCCTCCCATATACTAATGAAGAAACCCTGAGGAAAGAGATAGGCCGTCACTGTATAGTTCCTTCAGCATTAGAAAGTGCTATACTTTCTCTGTTTGATGAAAATGGCTGCGAGGTTGCCAAATGATTCCATTCTTTTCTTTAGATGACGAGTTTCACTACGAAACAGAAGGAGACCACTATGACGAAGCATATGGTCCCGGACTACACCGACAATACAGCACAGACGGAGAAATTTATCACGATCATGACATCATGGGATACAACGAGCATGGAGGGCAGCGAGAAAGCCATACTACAATACACATTGAAGATGACGATCAGCCCGAAAGCTCCAGTTATGGTCACGGCCATTACAGTACTACGGATATCAGAGAACAGTCACACCGCTATCAGGACAACGGGAAAAGATGGAGCGAGACCGGAGATAGTCGACATTCTTACCACACTGACGAAACTTCAGACAGAGGTAATAGGCTTGTTTCATTTGCGGTGATTCAGTGTTCTGAGAATGTAAAAGAACGCTGGGTGGTAAAACTTCTCTTCTTGTCGTTTCCTTCTGTTGCCTTGTCGCTTTGACCTCTCACAAATCTGTCGCCTGAGAAAGTCGATCTCAAATACCGTATTTCCTCCAATAATAGCCGTCCCACGATTAATCGCCTTCCTCGATCGCGAATAATCGCCCCCTTTGTCGGAAATATTTAAATAATCGCCTTCCCCTCAAATAATTGCCCCCCCGCCCGAGCCTCTCGCCATCTTATCTGCAGGGATACCCATAACGGGAAATTTGGAGGTTGAAGCTGAAGTAGAGTCCAGCAAAACCGATCAGTGACGATTCAAGCTCTGACGCCGAGGATGTTGAAAATTAACTAGGAACCAAATATGGAACACTTTTAAAAAGCCCATGTTCCGTTTATTTGATTTGACAATTTTTTGATTTCGAATGTGTTAAAAAAAACAACAAAATATTTAGGGCACTTCCACTGAGCAATATCTGAAATAATCGCCCGCGACTATTATTCGAGGAAATACGGTATATCCTCTTTCTTAACGACCTTTAGCCCGTTACCTGCAGCTAGTTGAAGGATACCCAATTTTGGGGGAAGAGTAATATGATCTAGAGATATATAATAAATAATTAGCGTCTAATGGTATCTCAAGCAATTCCTTCAGCAAGGACACGCTACCAAACTCCGCGACAGGCTAGCATTTTGCACATGGTCACAGTCATATGACCATGTTCAAGCATGGCCCCATTTGCAGAGGAACCGGTTTTTCTGTAATGTAGAAAGCCCAAGAAGATCACGCATAATTTTCCTTTCTTCTCCAGATTACGATCTTGACGAACTGATCTTTGCATCCGTCAATGTTCAGGGTGGAGTCCAACCCATGAGAGCACAAGTGTTACAAAACAGGGAAGCCCAGTCCTCAGCAGTAGCTCAGGCAAATGCTCACGTCATTGACATGTATGATGATGGCGAAGATTTTGGGTTCCATCCTGATACCTTTGAGTTCGACTGAATGAGATCAACAGAATTTTAAGACTTTTTTCATTGATTAACTTTAAACCTCTATTTGAATTGTTTTTATGACGTTTCAGCTAAGAATGAACGGTAAAAATATGTGCGAAATTTTCTTTTTGTTATTTGCACTCTCAAACCCTTATCACAAATGTTGCTTTTAAAAAAACTAAGGGTATTTTTTTCCATCTCGAAATATTTTTATCTTCTAGGCATTTTTTCTTGCGGAACTCTGTACATAGTCTTAGAAAATTTTCTATTTCATCGTAATGAATGTAGAGATTGCACATGGTTGCCTCTTAAAGATGTTTCTGGTGAAAGTACAAATAAAATATATATTTTTAACATTTACTTCGTCGTCTGTGCGTTCCACTTAGAAATAATAATAATAATAACAAGGTCTAACAATAGCAATAATGATATATTTAGTATACTTAGGATCAAGAGGGAATAATGTTTCGCAATAAACGGGAACTACGACCAGTGAGTGTGTGATCAGTGCGTGAAATGATAGCCTGCTTAGCCGGTGTTCGAAAGGGAAACGGAAGGGAATAAAACTTCAGTCAACTTCATGTTGATGATCTACCATGGCGAGCAGCAAGTTTTGCCCACCAAAATATATTCCGATGCAGAGTTAAAATAAAGGGGCTTGAAATCGGAGAGGAAAACTTTAAAAACAGTGTAAAACTGTTGAAACCAAGCGGTTTGGCTATCCTTTCCTATAAATCTAAAACACATGGCTGAGAAGTTTAGCTGATCGGTGAATGAGAGAGTAACAAATTCCGGGCGCTCTTCATTGTCATAAACGCACTGCACTTACAGGGAAAAGCCAGTTTGCTCGTTCCCAGGTGCTTTGACCGAGGGAAGGGGGCTGTGGTGTTTACACTTCAAATAGAGTATATGACGAATGAAGTGAAAGGCAGCCATTTAGTTGTATTGCAACTGCAAAGTGAAGGCCGTGGACAATTTTTACGGAAAAACACCCCGAAAATAGGACACAAGAGTGTTTGTGTTTTCACAGAAGATGAGCACAGCCTCTCTCAAAGGCTAACGGATTGTTATATCGGTCATACTTTGTAAATTTACCGGAAATGTTTTCGCATTGAGCAGCAAGCTGGTTTTATTTTACACGAGGAAAAGCCTGCGATGGGAAAACACCAAGTATTTTAAGCTAAGAGTTGGTTTGTCTCTAGTAAGGGAACATGGAGTTTTACGAACCGAGTAGTGTGCAGTTAAATGGAATAACACGTATCGACCCGGACGAATATAACCCTCAAACTTTTGGTCCAGCAGTTGACCGGTATGGATTTGTTGGAGAGCATAAACAGGCATCGTAAGTTTATTTTAATACCTTTTAAGTCTTTTTAATAGCACTGTTTCTGTTTAAATTTATTGAAGAAAACTCAGAATGTCCAACCAGCGTGGTTTGGTTGTATCAATAATAATAATAATATTTAACTACGTATTTTGTATGATGTCATTACCACACATGCACAATACCATTGATCAAGCTGAAAATTAAGAAAAAAAATATTAAACTCTATTTAAGGGGGGTTTATGCAATGTCTTGGGTTTGTTTCAAAGTTTTGCTAATGCTGTGATGAAATTAATTAAGAAATTAAATTTGATGTTAGCACATCAGTGGTGCAATGTTTAAAAGCATTCATCATCGGGGTGGCAACTTGTATTTAGTACAAAAGGTGGGTTTAAACAATGTGTTGGGCTCGTTTGACACTAAATTACACTAAAAACAGGAATTAAATTCTATGGCAGGACAGCAGTAGCAGACTTTTTAAAACCGAGGCAACTTGTATTTAGTTTGACATGGCTATTGAAGTTGACAGGGTCTGTCACAATAAATTGGCAGTAGTATGGCCTGGTTTCAAACAAAGCACTTCTGCCAAGTCAAACTAAATTTATAAATTTTGTAAATGCATATGTTTAGCATTTCGACTGTATTGTGCATGCAGTAGCTGACAGTTGGCTAGCACACAGTGCACTCTGTGCACCAGTTAAGCAGAAAGCCAGAAGGTTCCTCTCACACCATTGTATTAATAATAATAATATTAATATTAATATTAATATTAATAATAATAATAATAATAATAATAATAACAACAATAATAGTCATTTATACAGTGCTTTTTCCATAAATGCTCAAAACCGCTTTACAGTGTTCATAGTAAAAGAAAGTTTTACAACTCAATTGTAAAACACAGTTAATGGAGCATGATGCTCTCAATCAGCAACATGTAAGGCAGTGTTATGCTATAGTCCTTATCAAATCTCATAGAATTTTACTCGTAGTGGGTAAAAGTACTGGGTAGTACGTAAAATCACTTTTATAGCTGGAAAATTACTGATACATTAGCAATCCTTGTTTTTGTTGCAATTGGGGCTAGTTTCTAATGTATTGCTCGTTTTGTATGGCTAGTAAAAATAATTTTCCTCATGGCCATCTCGTGATGCACTTACTGTTCAGTAGTACAGTATTTTTAATTGGCTTTCCTCGGGATAGCACTCAGACTATAAAAGGCCTAGTAAATGTCCTGTGTCTCATTCCGAGCTTTATTGCTAAGTTGGAATACTTCAACCATCCTAAAGTTTCGTAATTCTCACCGTTCCCTCCCTTTGGAGGCTTTGTTGTTGTTCCTAATAAACAAGGGCTCACTACTTTCTTTTGCCTTCGGTTTAAGTCTCACGGCGACTTCCCTGAGCTTTGATTTTAATGCAAACTTTTATATTTGATTGTATTCCAGCACATGCCGGCGGAATCAGCTCGTAGTGCTGATAAGATAAAGTTCCTAGAACAAAATATTTGCCTACACTCTTCCATTAAGTTGCACAATGCTGGCCAGAGGTTTCAGCTCATAGTGCCATGGAGTGGTAGGCCGTATTAAGTTTGTTTCCTTTGGACCTACCCAAACTTGTCCGATCCATCACACGTAAATTAGCGTCGGGGAGATAAGTAGGGCTTTAGGGTCACGCTATGGAAGTCATCCACCACACCGATCATGGAGCGGTGTTCCCCCCATTACACCATATGTTTTGTTGCCGTGTTTTATTACACGTTAATTTTTAAAGTGTAGCTAAAGAAACTGCGACATTAAGAAAATTATAAAACCTAAGACAAGATTTACAAGTTTTTCACTAGTATGAAAATTAGAAGTTCTTATTGTTCTTCTTAGTGTTATGTGATCCCTTTTGGAAACAAAAAGTATGTTGATTAAACTGGTGATTCTCTTCATTTTGTTTGATGACTGAAAAGGTGACTGGCAATGAAATTTATTACTTTAAAATCGAAGCTCTACAATTCTCCACTTTTACATGGTTTAAGCTTGAACCCTTGTCACAACACTTACATCTGTTTTATTGATAGAAATCTTGATTCACTGACTACAATAAACTTTAAATATTTGCAAACGACTAGCTTCAGTGACTTTTGCATGTGAGATAAAAATAATGGTCTTAATACATGTATAATGCAGAATATTTTTGGCTATTTTCTCCTCAAGGTGTTCACAAGAATCAGTATTAGACTGTACGATAAACAAGGCTCGAAGTTCGAGGCCAAATGTTTTAAAAGTCAGTGGAGGTTATATATTTATATTTAGTGAGTCATGTTTCATCATTCTCCCACTAAAAGTTTCAAGCTCTTCCTGAAGTAATTTGTAGTGACTTAAACAATTCTCTGGATTTATGTCATTTCTCAGGAACTACAAGTTGAAGTTAGTTTAATCATTAATCAGATAGTTATTTTGATTGGCTATTCTTGTGACAGTTAAAATTTTGTTGTCCTTGTTTAAAAGAAAAATGGAGCTGATCAAAAGTAAGCTGTGTTTGTGGTCAAATAAATTTACTGGTAGCAACTGGTTTTGTGAGAGACAATATGAAATCTGACTTCTGAAATAATCATAAATCAAACTTGACGCTGCTTGTTTCACTGCAGATCTGAAGTTGTACTTAAATAATACAAGATCTCAGGATCCTAAATTGATTTATCAATGTTTTTGGACTAAAAACGAATGTTCAACGTTCTTCCATAATTGCCTAACTCCGCCACTGCATGATGCTGGGAGAAATTATTAAAAACTACTGATTTAGGAAAAACTTCTACTGCCGGGCCTTGACTATCAGTTTTTAGAAGCATTTTAAACAATAACAAATGACCTCAATGCATCAAGGATGAAAATGGCACTGCACATAAAGCTCAAGTTAAGATAATTGCTTTTAATTGTTTTGTTAGCTATTATAACCTCTCACAATGTTGTGTCTAAACAATATTGCCATTCACTATAACTTATCATCTAATAACAGCAGATTTTTATACTATTAAATCATATTTAATGTAGTTAACGACCAGGAGCTATGGTCCCGGGTGTTTTTGGCATTCTTTGGTAGCGCGTTGGTCATCTGTAGCGTTGTGCGTGACTATGTTTGCGTTTGTAGTAGCCTGCGTAGCAGTACTTCCAAGCGCCTGCTACGCAGGCTACGTTTGTAGCGTTTACCATTGTTCGTGAGCTGGAGGGCAGATTCCTGTCCAGCGGTATGTCGCTTTGGCGCATGCGGAGGCCACGTGCCTACCTTGGGTTTGCGTTGTACTCGAAGGTTTGTTAGCGTGGCGTGGCGTGGCGTGGCGTGGCGTGGCGTTCCAGTAGCGTAGCGTTTCTCTTGGTTCCCCTCCCTCCCTCCGCTTTCTTTCTTATTTAGGGAACGCGTCCAAATATCGGTAGGGAACCCGATCATGGGAAACGGACCCGATTAATTTTCCGATTGATGGGAATCGGTACCGATCTATAGGCACCAGTTGCCGTTTCCGATTACGATAAAATCTTTGCCGATTCAATCGGAGCCGGTTGACATTCCGATGTTCACATAGGCGTACGGGCCGGGGGGGCGAGGGGGGCTGCAGCCCCCCCAAATTTTGGGCAACTCAGTTTTTTTGGGCAGCAACAGAAAATTTGGGCGAAGCCTCCATGGTTTCTTCTTGGTTATTTGATTATTTTGAAGACCTGTATATTAACCTGAAGTCGGCGTAATAATCCAGTTACATTCACACGAGACAGTGGTAGCATCATAAGTAATTTATATATAATTGTAGTTTTTTTATTGTCTGGCACTGTACTGCACTGCACTGGCTGGCATGGTTTATTTCCAGTTTGTGAATTGATTAGAATAAACTTCGCATAACTTTCTAGAATCATCTCCACTCGAAGAACAGTGTATGGCAGATTGTATTAGCAATGGGTCTCACTAATTTTTCACATAGATGTTCACATAGGCGTACGGGCCGGGGGGGCGAGGGGGGCTGCAGCCCCCCCAAATTTTGGGCAACTCAGTTTTTTTGGGCAGCAACAGAAAATTTGGGCGAAGCCTCCATGGTTTCTCCTTGGTTATTTGATTATTTTGAAGACCTGTATATTAACCTGAAGTCGGCGTAATAATCCAGTTACATTCACACGAGACAGTGGTAGCATCATAAGTAATTTATATATAATTGTAGTTTTTTTATTGTCTGGCACTGTACTGCACTGCACTGGCTGGCATGGTTTATTTCCAGTTTGTGAATTGATTAGAATAAACTTCGCATAACTTTCTAGAATCATCTCCACTCGAAGAACAGTGTATGGCAGATTGTATTAGCAATGGGTCTCACTAATTTTCAGTTTGAATTACGAGAAGAATCTGAATTCTTTTAAAGAATCTATCGTTAGGTTGAAAATTATTCGCTAATTTGGTAAAGTAGACCGAAATGTTTACCAAACGGCTAACAAGAGGGCCTTGATACATACTAATCAAATCCTTCTTTCTAGCAATCGGTGCAGAGCTGTCTCTACGGTCTTTCACACACGTTTTTAAATAGATGAAAACTACTATGAGGTTAAATTGCATGTCAAAAGCGCCTCGTTTTCTACAGATAACGGCCAGACATCAAGATACTCCTTTTCTTACCGTATTTATTAAGATGAAAACTTCACCCCAAAATATCTCGATAACGCTCTTACACAATTTGCTTAAACTTCACGAACATCGAGGCGACCATATTGGAGAAAAAAGCTCCTCTGAAAGATTTTGTAAGGTTCCCAATGCCGAGAATTATTGCTGAAGTAAAATAGGTAATGGCGTCATTTCGTTGTTGTGACAACTCCGATGTCATCGCAACCCTGATCATGACAAATTTTCATCTTAATACAACTCCCGGGGGGGGCACTTGGGTATTTTTTTGGTGGGTATGTGCCGCCCGAGACTCCAAATTGGCACCCCGTTCTAGAAAAATTTTCCCCTAAAATTGATACCCCGTTGTAGAAATGGGCCAATTTTTTATACCCCGTTCTAGAATTCGCCCTAAAACTGATACCCCGTTCTAGAAATGGGCCAATTTTTTATACTCTGTTCTAGGATGCAACAAGAGTACAACGGTTTGCTTGTTAACGCATTGAACCGTATTTTTAAAAGCAATCTGTCCTTGAACACTTTCAAATGGCTGCTTACAAAAGTGGAGCTTTCGCACGTTCGAAATATTATACCCCGTTCTAGAAAACGCCTCTGAAATGGATACCCCGTTCTAAATCAGGAGCTTCAAAATCACGACCCCGTTGGGCGGCACATACCCGTATAGGTAATGTATGGGAGTACCCCCCCCGGGATACAACTGTGGTGGCAATTTTTCCAAATGCTTGTTTATGGCGACTTAGTTAATACTCAAACTTGCTATTGACCCTGAAAATAATTGTATCGAGCCACCTTCATATGCCAGTACGGCCTACGTTGTTGTAATACGGCCCTCCTTTCTTTCCGACTCTTTCGCAAAAATTTGGGCAGCCTGCGAGATTTTTTTGGGCAATTGGTTTACCGCCCCCCCTGGCAAAAAATTTCCCGTACGCCTATGGATGTTCATATGTGTCATCGTCATATTATTTTATCTGATATGTAAAATGAAGCGTGTCACGAAACCAAATAATGAAAGAGTCGTTTCACTCCAAAGTAATTTCAATCGACTGTACCTTTTTCCTACTCCATAACAAATAACAATATTGTATGTTCCTGCATGTTGTGTTTCGAGTTTGTTGATTTGATGCGTGCCTATACACGTGATTTTCGGCGTTTTGCAGAGGTATTTCCTTCAGTCGATCGCAAACACCACGCTGCTCCATAACATTTATTCTATGAAAATTAAAAGGAGTTAAATATTACGACGCAAAACACCACTGTTCTTCGTTGATATATAGCAAACAAAACACCTTACTGAGTAGAGTGTTTTTTACTCGATACTTTCTAACAATGCAATCCAAAAACACAACCGGAACTCACTTTCTCGAAACACAGATGGATTCATAGACTTGTTACAAGTAGACCTCAACGGGTTTCCTAGCGAGCGGAGCGAGAGCAAAACCATGGATAATATAAAACCACGGGATAAACTTTTACGAAAATTTGCGTCGTTCATTCGACGATCCTAAACGCAAGGTGTAATGCGATCTGAGGCAAAAAATACCGACCAATTAGATTGCGGCCTCAGATTGTCTCCAGGGAGTTAGCAACAAGAACTGAAAGATTCCCACACTCGCGAGTCACGGAAGACACTGAACGAAGTTTCATACAGGAACTATCAAAGAGAGAATGGCTTAGCGACTTTGCTGTATGTTCTGTGAGCTTGAGCATGGTACCACGTGAAATTGCTTTCCACTCTCAGCACTTACAAAAATCTGCGCTTGACTCTAGGTGGCTGACTGTTTGACAAAAATCAGAACCTATTTTACCGGAGTGTTCAACTAAAGCAAACTGGCATACATCCGGTAAGTTCGACTCAATAGCAGAAAGACAATCGAGAAAGAGAAAACCAGTTGAACGCCTCCATCAGTCACTTTTTTGAGTTCATATGCAACCAATAAACAACTTGCAGCTTGATTCTCAGACGATGTCCTCTTCTCTCCTGTGGCAATTTAGCAGTTAAAGTACACGACATGGTAACCGGGCATGGTAACAACATTTGCATTTTGGTCGTGGATGTTCTGACTTCTATTTTTTTCGTTTACAGTCCTAAACTGTTTATTCCTCCAAAGATTCCTATAACCATGCGTTTTGGGTTCCGGTTAGCACAGGCTCAAGCTATTTTAAAGTTATCATTTTTTAAAATTATCACATCGTACACTTGCAATGTACATTGCGCCGTCTTTCACTCAAAAGATACCTGCTGTTTCTTCTCGTGCCCATTTTGATACACAAATTTAATATTTTCTGGTCATACTCTGTCATAGGAAATACAAACAAATGTTCGAAACTGTGACGTTAAATTTCGGTTCAAACAAGACACATTTATAAGAAAGATAAGGTTATAAAAAACAACATTCACGCTTTTGCTTTTGTGACGGGTTATTTGAGCTGCCAGATATTTTTGATGACCTTTGTTAATTGGCCCGATAAAGACTTGAGACCCGTTGCCGATTCCGTTTCATTCGGTGCCGATAAAATCGGGTCCGACATTCAACAGAATCGGAAAAAATCGGTGCCCAATTGATCGGCATCGGTGTGACCCGATGCCGATATTTGGACGCGTTCCCTTATTTAGTTATTTATTTTTTTCAGGGGTTGGTTCATTTTACTTCCACTGGGCTTCTGGCCTCAGTGTGACGGGTGCTATAATGGGGGGCTGGGCGCGGGGGGGCTCGTGGCTGGGTTGCGGGTTGGTAGGCCTGTGGGTGTTCTTCCGCCTTGGGGGGTATTGCGGTTGCAGCCCCCTGGCCCATGGGCACCCAACCTCCACTTGTGACGCAGGCGTTAATGTTTGATAGTTATTTTTCAGGTGAAACAAAAAAGCATGTTTGGTATTATTTTATCCATTGATATGTAAGCTGTTGAAAATGCAGGAAACCACAAGCCACATTAAATGTACCAATGTAACTACATGATAATTATTATTTTCCATATTTTTCACAGGGCATCAAAACAGGCAGTTGCTGTAGATGTTTTCAGACATCGGGAGTTAAAATGGGTAGAGATGCTTCAAAACTGGGATAAATGGATAACAAAGAAATTCCCAAAGGTTGGTTTTGGCAGTAAATGTAAGACCAATGTGAAGGATGTTAGGACATTACAGTACAGAGGTGTACATGTACATGTATGTGGGATTTCTAGGTGGTCTCAATATGCAGCAACTGAAGAGAAGAAATAGTGAAAATTATACATCTTCCCCACTTACATGTATTATAGTGGAACTTCGATAAAATAAACTTCTGTATCGGATAAACTTGTTAGTATAATGTAAAATTTTCGGATCATTTTACGTTTCTGGGAAACTGCGCACCTACCCCTCCCCTAAGCCAACATTAACACTTACTTCTCACTAAGGGCAAAATGCTGGCTTAGGGGAGAGGTAGGTGGGCAGTTTCCCAGAAACGTAAAATGATCCAAATTTTCTTTACCCCAGTAACAGTAAAATATATGAAAGAGAACCTCAAAAACGAATGAAAGAACCTCATTATAGCAAACAAATTTTGCCAGTCCCTTTCCCCTTTGTTATATCGAGGATCCTCTGTAAAGTAGAGAGTAGATTAAGCATAGAACACGATCTTACTATTATTATTAGTCTGATGACATCAAAGAATGAGTCAGATTAGCTCTGAATGATGTTTCAAAAGCTTTATACTCTTGAATTAAGAATGATTTAGTTCCTCTATCAAGGTAATGTATTTTCAGGTATGAGCTTTCTCTTGGATCAGAATGTGACAGGATGTGATATCATCACATTTAAGTCAAGAGAAACCTTGATAAGTAATATTATACAGTGGAACCATGCCTTACGGCCACCTCAGTAATACGGTCACCTCATTATTACGGCCAGTTTTTTTTGTCCCAGCAAAATGGCCATTACACTTTGTTACAAAAAAACCTGCGTTAATGCAGTCACCCATTGATACGGCCAACAGCCACATGTTAATATCCCACAATTACAGTAGAATTTCTTATAATTTCACCCTGTTAATATGGCCAATCCTTTGAAATGTAGAAAATTAAAATGCCTGTGACATGTCAATCTTATTGACCTAGAAATCTGAGCTTATTCTTGTGCTGTTTTTAGGCTACAGCACACCTACATGTAAAATGCACTTGTGGCGATTTATAGCCAAATTTTAAGAGTTTCATGTACCAAAGGAAAATTTTAAATGTTTTTTCAATTACTGTAGGCAATATCTGCATTCTGGTTGTTTATTAATGCGAACAATCGTTCAAAAAATGCGAATGCAATGTTGTGCCGTCTATTAGTCATTACAGCCCTCAAGTCATAAAATTTGAGCTTGCCCCAGTAATATCGCCACCCTTTTAATACAGCCATTTTTTTTTACCCATTGGTGACCATATTAACGTGGTTCCACTGTATTAACTTAACAATGTAATAATTCTTTCAACATAGTCAATTAACAGTAGCAGGAGATGAAACACTTGGGGCTGTATCCCAGTCCACCCCTTAATACCCTTTCAACCCATTGTAGCTTACCACATCCAGGGTCTATATCCCTTACCCTTTATAACCCTTTCACTATATGTATTCTATGGCAAGATTGTTTCTCCAACCTTTCCTATGGCGTTAACCTCATTGATGGGACTGCAAAACATAAGACTCTTTAGTATATACTTAAACAGTAGATAGTGTTTTTCGCATGCTCTGATTGGCTACTCAATCAGTGAATATCTTGCACTATTCACTGGTTCACCTCCAGTTCCTCTGAGTGAGCAACGCCACACTCGCGTAAGTTGCCAGCAAAATGCCTTCCCGGGTTGCCGCTGTAACAAACAAAGAAATTTCACAACTAATCAAGCAAGCTGTTCCGGAAATACACGAGGAAGGTGATGAAGTTCAGTTTGGAAGTTTTAACAGCTAAAGCTTTGTCTTTTTAACTTGAATTTCTTGTTAAAACCAGTGAAAAAGTTTTTTGTTTACAAATGCAAATTAAACTTAAATCTTATGTGTAAGTCTTAAGCGTTACTTTATTTAGTTGACTTGTTCATAAATAAGCTAAAAACTAAATTTAATAATCTTTTTTACAAAATGATTTTCTGTTTGTTACTGCAGAATGTCTCTCTATTTTTTCTACATGTACCTGTACGTTGTCATTATTATTACCATTGGTAGTAATTCCTTTTGTTCTGGATCTCTTAGCAAAGTTTGCTTTGTGTTTCAATGCCTAATTTGGCAAAACTTTTAAATAAAAAAATGAATTTAAGTGAACTAATGAATAGACCATCAATTTAAATTACTGTTTTGCAGCATTGATGTTTTTAAGCAGCCTCATTTGAGATCATAGTAGTGAAGTTAATAATTCTTCAGTGTAACAATTTGTATAGGTAATAACATGATTTGTAGTGACATTTGGCATAAATACCACGAGTGATATTTCAAAATTGTTATACATAATTTCACGAGCTGTTAGGCGAGTGATACATGATTGTATTTGAGACAATTTTGAAATACCACAAGTGGTATTCATGCCATGTATTGTGTACAAATCATGCTATTATTTGTTTATGCTACTACCTGCAAAAGGTTTGTAATTGTCACATGTAGGTATTTCAAACTAAGCTGAAATACCACTGCTCTAAGCCAATCAAATGGCCGAAATTTCTCATGTAATAGTATAAAGCCAGTAAACTCATTAGTCAGCAGTTCTAAAACTAGGTTGCTAAAAAGTCTTAGTATTAATTTTTTCCAAAAACTGAGCAATCAATTGCCAACCTGACAAAGACCTTGGTTGGCGTATATCCCAAGGTAAAACTCACCAACCAGTACAGAACCCCATGCTGACCTTTTCTGACTAGCACAGACTTTTATTGTTCTTATAACTACTTTAATAGACAGCTAGCAACTTTTCAATGACAGACCATTGAAAGTGGAATCCCTTTTGCAATTACAGGTCAAGGAAAGATGCCGTAAAGGTATTCCATCCTCTGTTCGTGGAAGAGCCTGGCAGAAGTTATCCGGAAGTGTAAACCTAATGAAGAAAAATGGTGGATTGTTTGAGGTAGGATTGTTTAGCAAATCGCTTTTTTTTTATAGACTGTTGTATCCAAGAACGTTATTTCAGTTTGTGAAATTTCAGCAGTAAACTTAATAGCAAGGTAATAAGAATTGGCTTTTTGAATGAAACTTTGTTGCCTGTGTTTTGTTGTAACGCAGTCATGGTATTATCTGTTGTGACATTGCTAGGCACTTTAATTGAACTTGAAAAATTACGTGAATGTATAATCACAGCATAATTTTCTTTTCTTGGTACATAGCAATAAATTATTTTGGTTAAGACGTGACTTAAGGGTGGCTGTTAAAAATAAACGGTTTAGCTTTTTTCATTTACTGCAGTAAAAATGAGATGGTTGTTGAAGTCAGTGAGAGCTAGAGAGCAGACATAGTTCTGTTTTACATTTATGTTAGTCTTAACTTTCTGACAGTCTACCACAACACCGGTACCACTGTCTACCATTGCAACAGTCATGAAGGTAGACCATGGCAGACCCTGTAGACTGTTGACATACGTTGAATAAGACACTGCTTTGTTGTAAAATCTCTATTTATATGAGCACTCATTTTATTTTGCCACTGGTTGTAGCTCATGCTATATTAAACAGTTATGGAAAACCATGTTAGATTAACACACTCACATTCATAGATTTCTATATCTTAAAAAGTGGGGTCTGTTACGATAGAATCAATGTCAACAACAACAGTGACAAGCTTTATTTGCATGACTATAGCAACTACAGTATTGCAAAAGCTATTCATGGCTAATTTTTGATTTGTTGATTAATTCTTAAGATAATTTAAAATAAAATGAAATTAAGAAAATCTGTCCTTATTTTAAACTATTCATACAATAGAAGTAATCATTCTAGAGAGAAGTTTATCTCTCAGTCAATGCTGGTGGTGTACAGGAGTGTGTTTGCCCATTCTGCTCCCTTATATTTTCTCTTTTATCCTAAATAAAAATGTAATCTTATATTGAAAGGGTGTACGTATTTAATTAGTTGTACCATATCTTACCCATTTCTCCATTTTTCTTATTATTTTGTATTTTTTATCTGCTGTACTCTAAAATAAATATTGGAAAAAGTGAAACTCAAAATATAAGGAAAACTTGACTTTTATACCAGGGCCAGGTTGTTCAAAGCTGGGTTAAGATAACCCAGGGTTAGTGCAAAATTTGAAATTCAGAAATAAAAGCTTTCAAAGCAACTTCAGTTTAATTCTTTTTATTTACAATTTGATGATAGGATGCTCTAAAAAAGGAATAAAGAATTTTTTCCCCAGAAAAAGCTTTTGAACAAGAGAAAAAGATACGCAGATTAAAATTTAATCCGGGTTTGTGTCAATCGGTCTTCAAACAACTGGGCCCAGTAGGTCCCTCCCCTCCCCTCCCCCCTTATTGGTAGACCAAACCTCTTATGTCCCACAGTTCCCAGGCACAAGAGACTTTGTTTTGGTGAGAGATCCCCCTTCCAGTTCCCTTTCTTTTTTAATCTCTCCCTGAATGTCATGTTCATTTTTGTTTTGCAGTCACTTTTGCAGAGTCATTCAGAGTGGGAGAAGGATATTAGCAAAGATTTAAGTAGGACATTTCCATTCCATCAGATGTTTTGCGAACCAGATGGACCAGGGTAAGTTGAATATCCAGCATGTAAAGAAATTAGTGTCTTATAGCCTGTGGCTAGTGGATGTTGATGTCAGGCTAGTGAATTCTTTTCTTAACACGGCTGTTGAGCAAGTAAAGGTTTTGGGAAATTCAAATAACAGAAGAACTGTAATCAGTCCTGCTCATCACATTTTTGTTTTTGGGCTAGTTAAAATAACTCTTGGACAAGTACATGCTAGCTAGAGCTTGCCCAAATTGCAAGCCGTAAAACTGACTTTTTTCACCTCCTGATAACTGGCACAAACTTAGTGTACATGTGTAAGACCAAAAAAATAATGGGCTTTATTACAGATTAAGAGGAGAGAGATGTAGATATCAGATTGTATAGGACAGAGTTGTGGAGAGATTATTTTAGCCTGTTCTTGGTATAGTGCAATGTTTGTTAACCTCACACCCACAGTTTGTGCTCCAGTAGTGTTAGCTTAGTGGAGATGTCTGTTTAACACAGGTTCATTTTACAGGTGTGCAAATACTTTTTCATTTAGAAAAGGCTTTATCATGTTCAAACAGGACACTATTTCAGTCTGAAAAAACATGTATGTGATGATTATGTTGACTTCAATCATTTTTCAAGTACTTCAGTTCGATTTATCATGACACCCCCTAAGGAAGGATTCAGTTGGACATGGGGCATGACTACCTGTTATTTTGAGCTCTGATTATTATCATGTTGTCCCCAGTTTGTGAAAAAATGAAAGCTTTAATTAACTGAAAACTGAAATTAAAAATTCATGTGTAATGTTCTTATTTTTTTCAGGCAGAAGGATTTATTTAACATCTTGAAGGCATATGCAATTTATGATCCAAGAACAGGATACTGCCAGGTACATATCACATGTACGCGTATAAAAGATATACTACAGCAACGTTTCTTTGCATGGTTGTGTCATAGCCAGAACACACCTGCATCTTCTCATCTACATGTAGTTTGATGTACCTTTGATCAAAATTCTTCCTACGTCATTAGATCTGCTAAAAAATAATTATGTCAGCATGCAAAGAAAGTAGTGTCTGATAGCCGGGGGCTGGTGGATTTTGCTATCAGGCTAGTGAATTCTGTTGTTAACTTGCCTGATGGGCAGAACAACTGTGAAATCAATCTGCTCATCAAAACGTTTTTTGGGCTAGTTGAAATGATATTTGGGCTAGTAAATGTTAGCTTCAGCTGGCCCGAATGGCAAGCTGTAAAAATGAATTTCTTTGCACCCTGTATGTATGATATAAAATAATTATTGTAAAATTAATTATGGTAAAATAATTATTGTAAACCCTTTTTGTGATGATTAAATTAAGGCAAAAATAATTTAGCTCCTCTGTTTCCTATTTTTCTGGGCTTTTGCATATTATTTTAAGCATCATATCTGTTGGAAAGTTCTGTTGAAAATTAATGCCAAGGATCTGAATGTATTGAGGAAGTACGGTTGGGTAGTGGGGCAAGATTTTCATTTGAATTTTCAAGTCAGTATGGCATGATTTGTGAGTAAATCTTTGCCTGTTTGATACTCTGGGTGCGAGAGGCTTGCTTCCACACCTAATTCCTGATAGTTTGCAAATAAATGAATGTGACTGTGTTCTTTTGGCAGGCAATGGCTCCAGTAGCAGCTGTGCTGTTAATGCATATGACAGCAGAGGTTAGAAAATGCATTGCATATTATTATCATTTTAATCAATTAAGAGTTATATCATAGTTAGAAACTTTTGTGACTTCAATTATTAAGAGTGTGTCCATGAGAAAACCAGGCAGAACCAGGCAGGGGGTGATAATGCTCAAATCACCGATTTCGCTCAAACTTGGCACAAAAGTTAGGTATCAGGAGTTAGCTTATGTGACAGACTGTCAGGTCAAAATATTAAATTCCCTGGGAGATCCGGGCTCCCCCTGTAAAAATCGCCATTTTGCCCGTTTATGCATAATTAATTAGCTAACTTTACGATGCCAGTGCAACAAACAGAAAAGCCACCTGGAACTTAAATGCACTGAGAGATAATCTGACATCATCAGACTTTAAGCACATTAAACTGTTTAAAGTCTCCGATTCGATTTCCCTCCTCTTAGTCCCCTTAAGTTGGGTCATCATTTCCAAGTTTTGAGTAAGACGTAAAATTAGGGTATTTTATTCCCAAATATCTCTGATGAGCAACCGCTTATCTTTATAACTTTTGCATGAGTAGTTAAAGCCATCACTTAAGTTGAGAAAAAGATCATAAAAAGTTTGGGCAATTCATTTTCTTCCATGTGTTGACATAAACTGTTCATGTGACTGAACGACTTTTGCATATTTCATCAAAATTTAGGCCCTCACAATATTCGTGTGTTTGCTTTTGAATGAGAAGAAATCGAACAAAAAAACTCATCAGACAATGATTTAACATTAATAACGGTAAAATCATAAAAATTGTTGTGCAAGAAATGCTAACGATGATTTTTGACAGCTATATACGCGATCTTTTCAAGTAAAAACAACATACAAAGATTTAATTCACAGTTCTACTTACTTTAACAATTTCGCCCTAAAAACAATATAAACGATCAATAAAATCCATGTACGTATCTCTTAGATGTCTCAACAGCTAGTTTGTGCCCGCTTTGATTTGTTCTTCATGCCACCTTCGATGTCCAGTTCAGCGTCGTGACTCGCTGTAGGACTAAAATTCCTTAGCCATCAGTTTACGCACCAAAATCCAAATCAAGTTGTTTTAGGACAAAACAATACGAAAGGTAAAAAGCCGATTCTTAACCCATTGAAAGAATTATTTCTGCCACTGTTGTAGCTCAATTCACATGTTGCAAACGTCCGACATCTTTGACATTAAATGGAGCCCGCCTTTTTAAGCAGCGGTTGCCACCACACGGAAACATCGTATCGGGAGTCAGGAACCAGGAGCCAGGAGCCAGAGTTCAGTGAACAAAATGACTTTCTGACATTCTCTGAGATTATTTTATTGTTATTGTATGCTGATAAATAATTTACAATTCAAATCTATTGGCAACTTTATTCAGACCATGATTATAAATGATCCCATGTCTTCTCAAACTCAGAGATAGAAGTCGTTTTGTCTTCGTGTTTTGGAAAGAACTATTTTTTCTATTTTAGTTGCACGTGAAATAGCAGCGAAGTGAAGCCGGATGTTGGTGCAGACCAGTTCAAAGAGACAAATAAAGCGTGAGACACGTCCAGATTGGCTTGCGACAAGAATTCCATTTTTTTTTTTCATACTGGTGTGGGAGTGTCCAAATTGCGTACAAATGCCCTACCCTGCTGGCACCAGATTTGACTGTCATAAACAGTGAATTTTTTTATCTCACACGGTCTTTTGGGGGTCTTATAAAGCCTAACTGTGGCACTAATGTTCCCAAGTAGAATTCAAAATACACCACACTTTCACATTGAGTTAGATATTTTTCTCAAACAACTGCTTCCATATGTTTAACAACCTTCCCACATTCCCTCCGAGAGATATTTCAACTGTAATACTTCGATTTCAAATTTTTCACCCTACCCAGGTAAGGTCAATTTTCTCGTCCTAGACATCGATCTCGGAAGGGCCTTTTTGCTTACTCTTGGGCACCAAAACCAGTTTAGTGCCCAGCCGTGTGCCGTGCTGAGGCAGGCAGATGTTGAATTATGGACAGACACATTACAGACATTTGATGTTCCGGTCCGTGCGTGGTCGGAAGACACCCAGTAAATAATGCCCATGGGGTTGCCTAAGGAAAATTTGGGTTTTACGGGAGTCGAACTGAGGGAGGTCTTTTTGGATTGAATGTACTGCATACAATTTTTAAGTTACAATATACTATAGATAAATCTAATTTGTTTCTAAAGTTCCTCTCATACTCCGAGTAGGTTATGACATACAGGGAACGCAGAGATCAGACCATTGCATCATGGAAAATTCTCAATCAGACTGTCATGGTAAAAAGTGGTCGCGGTCGTTTACTGGATGTGGACGTGTTCGTTTACAGGAGGTTCCAACTACAAGCGCTTTGACTGGATAATATTTGGTGTGTTGAATAAGTGATCGCTTATTGGGAAGTGGTCACTTAAGTTGGGTGGTCGCACGTAGGTTCGACTGTGCCTCGTTAAGCGAAAATTTGTTAAAATGTAAGAGAAATCCTAAAATTGTAATACAGGGGAAGCTCTCGTACGAGGGCGCCCTCGGGACGAGAAAAAGGTGTCCTTAACTGGATCTGGCCGCTTACAAGAATGAATCTCATATGCAGCATAGTTATGCAAGTGGAATTCAGCCACTTTAAAAGTGGTGTAAAGGTTAGATAGCCGCTTACGGAAGCTCCTCCCAGCTACAAATTAACACTGATAATAGCAAAAAACTGTTTTTTAGTGTATGGTTACGCTGATGTTCTTGCCTTGTTGTAATTTAAATAAAAGCATACAATTCAGTTTGTATTTTCAAGTGTAACCGGACGAGTATGTGAAAAAACGGTAACTCTGAAACGGATATATAAGAATGATTCATAACAGTGACAAACAGCCATATGACTGAGGACATGATACGAAAAAAAAAACCAACATTCAGAGGAGTGTCTTTTTAGGACAGCTTTAAATCAAAGCTAACATCTAATTCGCCGGTAAACCCTTTAAGTGTCCGCGGCCGCCTACGGGAAAGTAAAAATCCAGAGTTTGTGTGGGAGTTGTGATGGCGGTCGTAAGTAGAGCTATTCGCTATATACGAGGGTGTCCGTTAAGAGAACTTAGTCTACTATATGAATCCGCAAATGACAGCTTAAATGAGAAGTGAATATAGTGTATTAGTCTGTGTTCAAGAAACTGTTACCTTACTCCTTCCTTATAGCCAAAGAAGTCTAGCCGACTTTTTTTGCAATCTATTAGTGCCCCCTTTTGGGTATTTTGTATTCCTCAGAAGTTTTTCCTCAACACGTTTATAAACGGTTATTATTATATTTTTGTAGTCAATAATATACCCAGATACAGATACCAACCTGTATAGTTGTAAGACTACGAGGATTAAAATACAACTAAGTAAGTAATTATACACAGTGGCAAGTCACTAATTGTCTAAAAATTGCACGGCACGGTCTGACTACAAAAAGGGCTATTATGGACCATTATTATCATGGTAATTAATGTCAACATGGAATAAACTCAAAATTTCAAGTAACACGACTTTCACAACCTATTTTCAACACACCAGTTATAACAGGATATTGGCGCGTACAACAATAGATAGCGTATTCCGCATTCCGGAGTCCGGTAGTCCGGCGTCACAGATTCGATCTTTTTGGCAGAGTCTAAAGTCAAAGATGGAGGGTGTTCGAGCAGGTAGTTGTTTTCTGTAGATATAGACGGATTGTCAGTGATCTTTCTTGTCCTTTGAGAATGATTTTGTTCTTTCTGTTTACAACTTATTTCAAAGACTTCGAATGTTCGGTGAAAAGCCGAAAATTCGGCAATGTTTCAAGATGTTTCGATTTCATTACCTCGTCACGAAGTAACGCCACAAAGGACCAGACGAAACTGGAGCAGCAAATCTGGACTAAAGCACCTGAGAGACGTGTATGTAACATTTATTCACTATCTTTTATCCTTGTTGAGTCTTGTTTCACCTACAAGCTCGACCGATCGAAGTTTTGAACTAACTCTTTTGCTCCTTGTGTTTACTCAAGCGTTCCATAAAATATCCATCCAAACGTCCATAAATAACACAGAAAACATGCCTCAGGTGACACGTTCTAACAATTCCGCTATTAGTATCGATAATGATGCATCTGATTTGTGACTTCTCGTCAACTTTGTGCTATTTTTGTTTAAAAAAACGAATGTTACGTTTCTTCCAATTTTGGTCAAATGACAAATAAGCGTCAAGTCAGATGTACATAATACGTCATTATTGATAAAGTATGAGATTGCCCAAATATTTTATGATTGATTTGATAACCTTAAAGATGTCTTTCAAAGAATATGTGAGAATTAAGTACATAGGTTGTTGCTCATGGGAGATGTTAGCCACTAAAATACCTTAAATTTAGGGTTTGGTCAAAACAGTGAGAAGATGTCCTTACTTTAGGCTAAATAATAGGAAGAGATCGAATTAGAGAGTAAAAATAAATTACTGAGCATTAAGTTTGATAAACATAGAAGATGATAAAGTTGATTAGATTTGAAGTTGTCTTTTCTTCTTGTTGAACAGCCAAACCAAAGTCAGCTAATTAATTATGCAAAAATGAGTAGATTTTGTCGTTTTTAGGGGGGGTCCCTGTAAATCCCAGGGAATTCAATATTGCGATCTTATTTTTTGTCGAGTTTAATATCTCACCACACCCATCAATTGTGTCAAGTTTGAGCGAAATCCGTGATTTGAGCATTATCACCTCCTGCCTGGTTCTCTCATGGACACACTCTTAATTTTATAGTTTTATGAAAAAATGTCAGGCTGTTACTAGGTTTGGTAGAATTACTTGTGTGTAAATTATTTTTCATCAATTTGCTATTGTGTCAAATTTTACATCATCATCGTCATAGTCATATTTGAAATAAAAAATGGGTTATTGACGTGCTTCCTTTCATTTCTTGGCTGCCATCTTCCAGGTAGTTTCAGTTGTCTTAGGTGCTCAGAATGAATTAGTTCAATATTTATGATTTGCACAATGCTTGTGTTGATGTGAACATTTTTACAGTGACCTCATTTCATCCATGCTCAGACTAAACATGTTTCTTGCAAGTTTTGTGTTATACTCAACTTATTATTATTATTGGCTTGTAAGTCAGTTATTGTTAGTGTCAACTTTGTAGCACTGTCTTTATGTAATTTGTTTAATGTCTGTAGTAAGTACATGATTATGAAAAGATTGCAATACATAATAATAATAATAATAATAATAATAATAATGGAAAACTTTATTTAACTCTGAAAATAATAAATTTGACAATAATAATAATAATAGTTGAATAGTTAAATAATAGTTTACAAAAATATGTACATAATTTACAGAAATATTTGAAGTAAGAAGTAAGCACCATATAACAGTAAGAATTGTATAAATCGTAAAAATAGCAATCACTGTGTCAATAACAATTTCGCAAATACTTTCCTTCTGGCTCAGATGCAGTCAATGACTATTGCAGGCAGTCCAGAGTTTTTAATTAAGTCATTACAAAAGAGAATTATCTGTCTCTGATATTAAAAAGAAAACAAGCTAAAAAGAATAAAATCTTGTATTCCTAAATTCTTAATTCTTTAAAAAAAGATCCTTAAAAAGATTGATTTGGGCAGGCTCTAATATTATCGATCTGTAGGTCTGAGTCAACAAAGTCTAGCCATCTTCTTCTGGATCTTTAGCCTCTCAAGCATGTATAGTATCGTGGAGGGTACGATGGAGAAAGATACTTTAGCTGTTATCCAGGAAACTGTGTTCAAGTAACTTTCTCCCTTGTTATTTGCGATCAGCTCCACAAGTCTGCTGTGGTACTTAACACACTCATCCACCATTCCACCTGTGGTCGTGAAAACTAGGGAAGTGAACGTTCCCTGTTCAATCTCCGTTTCTCTTTCCGCATACTGCCTCTTCTTCTCATTCTCATGCGTCTTGTAGATCTGCTTAGGAGTCACGTCTCTGTAAGAGTCTGCATTAGGGTGACACACCCAAACGTCAAAGAATGCAGATCTCTGTCTCTCCCAAAAACCTCGAGCATAATATCCAAACTGGCATCAGGGGCTTTGTTAGCGCCATAATTTAATGTCTCCTCAGTGACCTCCTGAAGGACCGGTGCTACTTCCACATCATTACAGACCATTCTTAGCATCTCTACTTCCAAGTCGTGCAGTTCATTGTGTCGCTAAATTGAACACCGCATGCGCAGAGCATGGGTGTATCCATTATTTCTTAGTCATACAGTAACTTGATTGCATCTCTAAATTCCTTCTTATTCAGATTGTAATCCAACTCTTTGAGGGGAATCACGGTCAGCCAATTTGATGATCCTTCTCTGTAACTAACTCAACAGCTCCTTTAGCTTTTGTCGGCAGGGAATTCTTCACTTGCTCCAGCCTCTCACTTAGACAATCATCTTTTTGTTTTTGTGTGCTGAAAATAATGAAAATAATTGTGTGTAAATTTACAGAAACATTTGAAATAAGAATTAAGTACTATTGTAACAGATGCGATCAATATCAATTACACACAGTCCAACTGTAGTGATAATAATAATAATAATAATAATAATAATAATAATAATAATAATAATAATAATTAACAATAATGTTTCCCACAACACTGCACTTTTTCTTTGTGTTGGTCCCAGTGTTTCATAGAGATAGTCAGTGTAACCTGCAGGTACAGGCCACGTTACATGACAAACTCAGTTGTATTCCTCAGATCATTTGGAACCAGGATAAATTATTTAATTATAGAACAAAAAATTGTTTCATCAGTGAAAATTTTCTTATGTTAACCAGTCTCTTTTGTTTGGCTATTTAGATGTCCTTTTTTTTCCCTTAGGAAGCCTTCTGGTGTTTGGTAATGATCTGTGATAAATACATTCCAGGTTATTATGGTCCCAAACTGGTGAGTTATAATGATGCCACTCGTAGTCTTGAGCACTTGGTGGGTGCAAGGACAAAAAGTCTCATTTTCCTTACTACCTGAGAACTTTACTATAGCTAGAGTTAAAAGGGGGTGGTTCTATTGTTTTATTCAATTATACATATAATATTGTATTTTGTTACCAACTGTTTTGCTTTTTTAACTTCTCATGGAAAAATTGAAACATTATGGGCGACATGACTGAGGGTAGATTTGCAAAACTGTGCATTAACCTCTGAAAACCCTTGGCTACCCCCTGAAAACCTGTAATCCTAAATGACATGTACTTTGGATTGTTACAGTAAGTGGCATTCCAGAGCCTTCAAAATCCTAATAACTGCGTTAATCTGATCTATCTTACACCTACAGGAAGCAGTTCAATTGGATGGAGCTATTTTTGGTGGATTGCTGGAGAAAACTTTACCTCATGTAGCAAAACACATGGTAAGGTTGCCAAGCTAGAATTACTGCAGTAAGTAGCAAAAGTATACAAAACAACATAATTATACAATGTCCTTGTAATTTGTTGGTGTATTATACAGTGCAGATGTCTTGAAGCAAATTAAGGCCTGCCTGCAGTTTCCTGACACTAGCAGACACTGACACTGTTTGTTTGCAAATTCCTCCCTATAGTTTCCTGACACTAGGCTAAAACATGGACACATCTTCGTATTTACTGGGTGCAGGCTAATGTCAAGCACTTACATGACTGTATTACTTTGAACTGAGTACTTCTGTCATTACATGTTAGCAAGACATGAATACATTGAATGTAAGATAATTGTTTTATGCTCGCACTGCATTAGACATACTATTTAATTGATTTGACAAGAGACTTGTTATAAGCGGTCATGAGGTAGAACATGACCATCCAGGTAAGGATGTAAAGCATTGTTTGTGATAGTGGCAGACATATTTACATACATCGTTATTAAAGTCAAAGAGAATAATGCATTGTCAGTTAATTCTGGTAATACTCTGATTACACTGTTAATGGTCATCTGCCCGGCAATTGATCATTGACCTTGTAGGCTGTCAAGTTAGCATGAATAGTACTTAACCTGCGATCAGCCATTTTTTTTCCCGGCCCCTCCATACAAAGATCAAGGGAAGGACGCCTGATCTCATGTTAGAATGGTACCCTGATGGTTTGATTCAGACGTGTGCAGGTGTGACTAAAAGTGCTGCAACTCAAACCCTAATCTGGCGTAATCATTACAACACCATCGGCATTAGCGGAAAATTAAACCTAGTGGAGTGGTGCCCTCGCCAAAGTGTTCAACTCATGGAACATAGGAATATTTTTCCAAATTATCTTTTAGCGAGTTCACCATGTTGACCCACTGATGTACATGACTGAGTGGTTTATGTGCCTGCTGGCCAGGTGGGGATGATTGAAATATCCTTAATACGTTAGTCAATCGATCTGTAGGTACTACAGTAACTATAGTGTGAGTGCAGCATAACACTCAGGCCTCAGCTGGACTTTCAAACAGTAGAATTTGAAAAATTTGAATTCCAAACATTTGAATTCATCAGTTCAGACTTGCAAAAATTTGAATTGAAGAGTTTAGACTTCCAAAGATATGAATTCAGTAGTTTTCACTTCCAAACTTTTGAATTCAACAGTTTAGACTTCCAAACAATGAAATTCAAAAGTTTTTGACTTCCAAGCAATTTGAAAGTCAAAAGTTTAGACTTCCAGATTTTTAGATTTTCCATGTTTGAAAAAGCTGAAATCGACAATTCCAATGTTTGGAAAAGCCAAAATCCTGAATTCCAATTTTTGGAAAAGCTGAAATCGATAATTCCAATGTTTGGAAAAGAAAAGCCGAAGTCCTGAATTCCAATGTTTGGAAAAGCTGAAATCGATAATTTCAATGTCTTTAATGCCAAACATTTGAACTCAAGAGTTTATGCTTCCAAACATTTCAATGTAACAATTTGGAATTCCAAACATTTTCATGAAACATTTTCTTAAAACATTTCTAGCCTGCCTGTTAAAATTTGAATTCAGGAGTTAAGATTTTCGAATTATTTGAATTCAAGAGTTCTGGTTTCCAAAGAGTTTGGACATTCAAACATTTGAATTCAACAGCTTGGAAATAGGAACATTTAAATGTTTGCTTCGGTCAGGGTTGAGGATTTCATATCCTTGTATTCAAGGTTATTGATCTCAAAACTCTTTAATTTGAAAAATTATTTAATTTTCTAAAATGTAATATTTTCGTGTTCCAAAATTTTGAATTCAGGTTTTGAGGACAACTAAAACTTGAATTGGGGATTGTCATGTTTCAAAATCTTGGATTCAGCCGGGCTTTTGGAATTTTAAAATGGTTAATTCAGAATAATTTATTTCTGGACTCCAAAATCTTGAATTGAGGATTTTGGCGTTTTTAGATCTCAAACTTTTGACTCTTGAATTAAGAATCCTGTAATTCAGGATTTTGCGATCTTAGAGGTATTTGAGACCCAGATAAGACGCAGACTTTTGAAAGAATAGTTCCCAAACAAATGTGATCAGCACCATATGGTGAGAAATCAAGCTGCAAAACGTTTTATGTCAATAATAGAGACCTTGTATCTAAGACGAAGATGACTGCGGGGCGAGCAGAAGCATATATGGTTATGTTACGCGGATGAGATTTTTCAGTACTAAGTGTGGGCGCTTGGGAATCAGCGTCTATTTTGTCTTAAAACGCGATTGGCGTCGTCATTTTACAGCGTGTTTTAGTGAGAATGTCGTAGAGGCGATACTGGGTTTCGATTTTTTCTTTTTTACGGACTATTCATGAGGACTATTTTTCGACAATATGCCAAAAAAAAAATATTCAAATTAAATTGCGTCCTCGTAGTCGTCTTCGTCCTCAAACTAAACGTCTCGGATCATGATACGTTTCTGGGGAAACTGCCCACCTACCCCTCCCCTAAGCCAACATTTGCCCTAACTGACTAGTTAAGTAAGTGTTAATGTTAGCATAGGGGAGGGGTAGGTGGGCAGTTTCCAAGGTCTCTATCAGAACCTCTACCTCTGCCTCTTCAAAGGAGAGCTTCTTTTTGTTTTTGTTTTTGTTTTAAACTTAGGAACCTTCCTTTTGCTACAGTACTTCGTGTGTGGGACATGTTCTTCTGTGAAGGTCAGTTGTCCACTACATAGTTCTTATGGTTAGCTTCTCTTCTCCTCAGACAGACAACAGTTTCCATTGATTTGTGTGACACAACCTTTAAAAACGTTTCTGCCAAATGTCACGGAACCGTTTTTGCAACAGCATGGGTATTGACAACTGTGTACAACAAACATGGCTGTCCCGTTTTTGACATCCTAGTACAATGAAGCAATTGGCATTACATTGATTTACTCATTATTCTAGTATATACCAAAAAAGCGGAATACATGTACTCGTGAAGGTGTTCCTTTGTTCTCAATAATCAACTGTAAAAACGAATTCCCGTCAAGTAAGTTAATGTCGTTTTCGTGTGAATAGGAACCACAGTTTCCTTAGAAAACATCTGGGCCGAGTTGTTCAAAGCTGGGTTTAGATAATCCAGGGTTAGTGCAAGATTTGAATTTAGATTTAAAAGCTTAAAAAGCATTTCAGTTCTAATTCTTTTTGTCTACAAGTTGATGATTGGAAGCTCTAAAAATAGGGAAAATTATCTGAGAAAATGCTTTTGAACACAAGAAAAAGAAACCCTGGTTAAATTTAACCCCGGGTTAAGCGATAATCGGCCTTTAAACAATTGGGCCTGGAGCATGAGTATATCAGTTACAGGTGTCACTTGATATTTTTTTCGTAAAAGTCCTAAAAGTGACCAACATCAATTTTCTCCTTACAATATCAGTACATTATCAAAAGAAAAGGTTAGGAGATTTAATAAAATGATCACCTCAGGGAAAATGCTTTAACTCTTTTCACAGTTTCTTTAAGGAAAATCGAAATCTATTGAGATCAGTTAAGAGAATCTGTAAGTGATTATCAGGGCTTAAAGGGTTAATATGGTTCCCAATTCATAGCGTGTCTCTTGGGGCCAGTTGTAAAAACCTCAACAGTCGGTCCAGTCAAAGTCCTTGTTTGGAAATTGTGCCTGGCTTCAGGTTTAGCAACTAACCCTGCATTTAACCAGACAATCAGAGGTTGTTTCACCCTTTTTTAGGTATAAAAGTGCTGTTTAGGACTACTCTAACAATGATGAAATTAGCTCTCACTCCAAGGGAGTTAGCACACTGCCAGGGGTACGTATAATAGATAAGCAGGGCTCCTTTTAGCGTATATCCTCTAAGTTGGCACCCAGCAAAATACGAAAGAACAAACATCTATTCCTTTTCTACCGTGGGAAACCATGAATATGTACAAAACCTGGTCCTGGAAATTGTTCTTAGTTTACTGTAAATCTGACCTTTTCAGAAGAGACTCCATGGGTTACAGCGAGTTACCAGGGGTTCTAGAGGTGACAGGGGTTACAAAGGAATACAAATGTAACAGGGGGTAACATAGGGTGAAAGAGGGTAACAAGGGTTTACAAGAGGTTTTAAGGGATTACAGCGACGTTCCTCTCTGTGGGTTACAAGGGGTTACACGGGGTTACAAGGAGTTACAAAGGGTTACAAAAGGTTACGGGGGGTTACAAGGGGTTACTGGGGTTTACAAAGGGTTATGGGGGGTTACAAGGGAATAAAGGGGCTTACAAGGGGTTGCAAGGGGTTACAAGGGTTACAGGGGGTTACAAGGGGTTATAAAAAGGGTTACGAAGGGTTACAAGGGGTTACGTGGGGTTACGGGGGTTACAAGAGGTCACAGGGGGTTACAATGGGTTACAGGGGGTTACAAGGGGTTACAGGGGGTTACAAGGGGTTCCCGGGGGTTACAAGGAGTTACGGGGGGTTACCACGGGTTACGGAGGGTTACAAGGGGTTACGGAAGGTTACAAGGGGTTACAGGGGTTTACAAAGGGTTACACTAAATTACAGGGAGTTACAAGGGATTACAGGAAGTTACAGTGGGTTAATGTAACCCCCTGTAACCCCTTGTCACCTCCTGTCACCCCTTCTAACCCTCTGTAATCCCTTGTCTTCCCCTGCAACCCCTTGTAACCCCCTGTAACCCTTTGTCACCCCCTGTAACCCCTTGTCACCCTCTGTCACCCCTTGTAACCCCCTGTAACCCCCTGTAACCCCTTGTAACCCCCTAGTAACCCTATGTAACCCCTTGTCACCCCCTGTCACCCCTTGTAACCCCCTGTAACCCCTTGTAACCCCCTGTCACCCCTTGTAACCCCTTGTAACCCCCTGTATTCCCATCTCATAGATCGTGAAAATAAATCGTCAAAATACGATTTTCGACGTTTTATATAGGAAACAAGCGTTTCTGAACAACGAAAACATCGGTTTCAAAACCCCACAAAATTGACATTTTTCCAAAGGGGTTAGTCCATGGTTTTGGTCAAAAATTGGAAAATTTTGTTAACGTTACGTTTTATGCAAAATACACCGAGAAAAAGTATTTGGTGACGTTCTTGTTAGAAAACAAGCCTTTTTAGACAGTATAAACATAGACTGAAAAAGAAGGCAAAATTGGCATTTTTGCAAAGGGGATAGTCCATGATTTTGGTCAAAAAGTGGAAGTTTTTTGACGTTTTGTGTTTATCGAAAATAGATCGAGGAAAAGTGTTTGCTGACGTTCTAGATAAAAAAGAAGCCTTTAAAGACTATAAAAACATATGTTTATGAAAAACGCAAAATTAGAATTTTTCCAAAGGGGTTAGTCCATCGTTTTAGTCCAAAATTTAAGATTTCTTCAACTTTGTTTTTTTATGCAAAATAAACCAAGAAAAAGTATCTGGGAACGTTCTAGTTAGAGAAAAGTTTCTATAATCCTTTGTAACCCCCTGTAACCATTTGTCATCTCCTGTCACCCCTTGTAACCCCCTGCAACCCCTTGTAACCCCCTGTCACCCCTTGTAACCCCTTGTAACCCCCTGTAACCCCTTGTTACCCCATGTATTCCTATGTCATAGATCGTGACAATAAATCGTGAAAAAACTAATTTCGACGTTTTATAGAGCAAACAAGCCTTTCTGAACAACGAAAACATCGGTTTTAAAAACCCACAAAATTGACATTTTTCCAAAGAAGGAAAAGAAAAAGAAGGCAAAATTGGCATTTTTGCAAAGGGGATAGTCCATGATTTTGGTCAAAAAGTGGAAGTTTTTTCATGTTTTGTGTTTATCAAAAATAGATCGAGAAAAAGTGTTTGCTGACGTTCTACATAAAAAAGAAGCCTTTAAAGACTATAAAAACAACTGTTTATGAAAAACGCAAAATTAGAATTTTTCCAAAGGGGTTAGTCCATCGTTTTGGTCAAAAATTTGAGATTTCTTCAACTTTGTTTTTTTATGCAAAATAGACAGAGAAAAAGTATCTGGGAACGTTCTAGTTAGAAAAAAGTTTCTATAATCCTTTGTTACCCCCTGTAACCCCTTGTCACCCCTGTCCCCTTGTAACCCCCTGTAACCCCCTTGTAACCCCCCTGTCACCCCTTGTAACCCCCTTGTAACCCCTGTATTCCCATCTCATAGATCGTGAAAATAAATCGTCAAAATACGATTTTCGACGTTTTATATAGGAAACAAGCGTTTCTGAACAACGAAAACATCGGTTTGAAAACCCCTCAAAATTGACATTTTTCCAAAGGGGTTAGTGCATGGTTTTGGTCAAAAATTGGAAAATTTTGTTAACGTTTCGTTTTATGCAAAATACACCGAGAAAAAGTATTTGGTGACGTTCTTGTTAGAAAACAAGCCTTTCTAGACAGTATAAACATAGACTGAAAAAGAAGGCAAAATTGGCATTTTTGCAAAGGGGATAGTCCATGATTTTGGTCAAAAAGTGGAAGTTTTTTGACGTTTTGTGTTTATCGAAAATAGATCGAGGAAAAGTGTTTGCTGACGTTCTAGATAAAAAAGAAGCCTTTAAAGAGTATAAAAACATATGTTTATGAAAAACGCAAAATTAGAATTTTTCCAAAGGGGTTAGTCCATCGTTTTAGTCCAAAATTTAAGATTTCTTCAACTTTGTTTTTTTCTGCAAAATAAACCAAGAAAAAGTATCTCGGAACGTTCTAGTTAGAAAAAAGTTTCTATAATCCTTTGTAACCCCCTGTAACCCTTTGTTATCTCCTGTCACCCCTTGTAACCCCCTGTAACCCCTTGTAACCCCCTGTCACCCCTTGTAACCCCTTGTAACCCCCTGTAACCCCTTGTAACCCCCTGTATTGCCATGTCATAGATCGTGACAATAAATCGTGAAAAAACTAATTTCGACGTTTTATAGAGCAAACAAGCCTTTCTGAACAACGAAAACATCCGTTTTAAAAACCCACAAAATTGACATTTCCCAAAGAAGGAAAAGAAAAAGAAGGCAAAATTGGCATTTTTGCAAAGGGGATAGTCCTTGATTTTGGTCAAAAAGTGGAAGTTTTTTCATGTTTTGTGTTTATCAAAAATAGATCGAGAAAAAGTGTTTGCTGACGTTCTACATAAAAAAGAAGCCTTTATAGACTATAAAAACAACTGTTTATGAAAAACGCAAAACTAGAAGTTTTCCAAAGGGGTTAGTCCATCGTTTTGGTCAAAAATTTGAGATTTCTTCAACTTTGATTTTTTATGCAAAATAGACAGAGAAAAAGTATCTGGGAACGTTCTAGTTAGAGAAAAATTTCTATAATCCTTTGTAACCCCCTGTAACCCCTTGTCACCCCCTGTCACCCCTTGTAACCTGCTGTAACCCCTTGTAACCCCCTGTCACCCCTTGTAACCCCCGGTAACCCCTTGTACTCCCCTGTATTCCCATGTCATAGATCGGGAAAATAAATCGGGAAAATACGATTTTCGACGTTTTATATAGCAAACAAGCGTTTCTGAACAACGAAAACATCGGTTTCAAAAACCCACAAAATTGACATTTTTCCAAAGGGGTTAGTCCATGGTTTTGGTCAAAAAGTGGAAAATTTTGTTAACGTTTCGTTTTATGCAAAATACACCGAGAAAAAGTATTTGGTGACGTTCTCGTTAGAAAACAAGCCTTTCTAGACAGTATAAACATAGACTGAAAAAGAAGGCAAAATTGTCATTTTTGCAAAGGGGATAGTCCATGATTTTGGTCAAAAAGTGGAAGTTTTTTGATGTTTTGTGTTTATCAAAAATAGATCGAGAAAAAGTGTTTGCTGACGTTCTACGTAAAAAAAAGCCTTTAAATACTATAAAAACAACTGTTTATGAAAAACGCAAAATTAGAATTTTTCCAAAGGGGTTAGTCTATCGTTTTGGTCAAAAATTTGAGATTTCTTCAACTTTGTTTTTTTATGCAAAATAGACAGAGAAAAAGTATCTGGGAACGTTCTAGTTAGAGAAAAGTTTCTATAATCCTTTGTAACCCCCTGTAACCCCTTGTCACCCCCTGTCACCCCTTGTAACCCCCTGTAACCCCTTGTAACCCCCTGTCACCCCTTGTAACCCCTTGTAATCCCCTGTAACCCCTTGTGACCCCCTGTCACCCCTTGTAACCCCTTGTAATCCCCTGTAACCCCTTGTAACCCCCTGTATTCCCACGTCATAGATCGTGAAAATAAATCGTAAAAAAACTAATTTCGACGTTTTATAGAGCAAACAAGCCTTTCTGAACAATGAAAACATCGGTTTTAAAAACCCACAAAATTGACATTTTTCCAAAGAAGGGAAAGAAAAAGAAGGCAAAATTGGCATTTTTTCAAAGGGGATAGTCCATGATTTTGGTCAAAAAGTGGAAGTTTTTTGATGTTTTGTGTTTATCAAAAATAGATCGAGAAAAAGTGTTTGCTGACGTTCTACATAAAAAAGAAGACTTTAAAGACTATAAAAACAACGGTTTATGAAAAACGCAAAATTAGAATTTTTCCAAAGGGGTTAGTCCATCGTTTTGGTCAAAAATTTGAGATTTCTTCAACTTTGTTTTTTTATGCAAAATAGACAGAGAAAAAGTATCTGGGAACGTTCTAGTTAGAAAAAAAGTTTCTATAATCCTTTGTAACCCCCTGTAACCCCTTGTCACCCCCTGTCACCCCTTGTAACCCCCTGTAACCCCTTGTAACCCCCTGTCACCCCTTGTAACCCCTTGTAACCCCCTGTAACCCCTTGTAACCCCCTGTATTCCCATCTCATAGATCGTGAAAATAAATCGTGAAAATACGATTTTCGACGTTTTATATAGGAAACAAGCGTTTCTGAACAACGAAAACATCGGTTTCAAAACCCCACAAAATTGACATTTTTCCAAAGGGGTTAGTCCATGGTTTTGGTCAAAAATTGGAAAATTTTGTTAACGTTTCGTTTTATGCAAAATACACCGAGAAAAAGTATTTGGTGACGTTCTCGTTAGAAAACAAGCCTTTCTAGACAGTATAAACATAGACTGAAAAAGAAGGCAAAATTGGCATTTTTGCAAAGGGGATAGTCCATGATTTTGGTCAAAAAGTGGAAGTTTTTTGATGTTTTGTGTTTATCAAAAATAGATCGAGAAAAAGTGTTTGCTGACGTTCTAGATAAAAAAGAAGCCTTTAAAGACTATAAAAACAACTGTTTATGAAAAACGCAAAATTAGAATTTTTCCAAAGGGGTTAGTCCATCGTTTTGGTCAAAAATTTGAGATTTCTTCAACTTTGATTTTTTATGCAAAATAGACAGAGAAAAAGTATCTGGGAACGTTCTAGTTAGAGAAAAATTTCTATAATCCTTTGTAACCCCCTGTAACCCCTTGTCACCCCCTCTCACCCCTTGTAACCTGCTGTAACCCCTTGTAACCCCCTGTCACCCCTTGTAACCCCCTGTAACCCCTTGTAATCCCCTGTATTCCCATGTCATAGATCGTGAAAATAAATCGGGAAAATACGATTTTCGACGTTTTATATAGCAAACAAGCGTTTCTGAACAACGAAAACATCGGTTTCAAAAACCCACAAAATTGACATTTTTCCAAAGGGGTTAGTCCATGGTTTTGGTCAAAAATTGGAAAATTGTGTTAACGTTTCGTTTTATGCAAAAAACACCGAGAAAAAGTATTTGGTGACGTTCTCGTTAGAAAACAAGCCTTTCTAGACAGTATAAACATAGACTGAAAAAGAAGGCAAAATTGGCATTTTTGCAAAGGGGATAATCCATGATTTTGGTCAAAAAGTGGAAGTTTTTTGATGTTTTGTGTTTATCAAAAATAGATCGAGAAAAAGTTTTTGCTGACGGTCTACATAAAAAAGAAGACTTTAAAGACTATAAAAACAACTGTTTATGAAAAACGCAAAATTAGAAATTTTCCAAAGGGGTTAGTCCATCGGTTTGGTCAAAAACTTGAGATTTCTTCAACTTTGTTTTTTTATGCAATATAGACAGAGAAAAACTATCTGGGAACGTTCTAGTTAGAAACAAGTTTCTATAATCCTTTGTAACCCCCTATAACCCCTTGTCACCCCCTGTCACCCCTTGTAACCCCCTGTAACTCCTTGTAACCCCCCCTGTCACCCCTTGTAACCCCCCTTGTAACCCCTTGTAACCCCCACCCCTTGTAACCCCTTGTAATTTGTAACCCCTTGTAACCCCCTGTATTGCCATGTCATTGATCGTGAAAATAAATCGTGAAAATACGATTTTCGACGTTTTATATAGCAAACAAGCGTTTCTCAACAACGAAAACATCGGTTTTAAAAACCCACAAAATTGACATTTGTCCAAAGAGGTTAGTCAATGGTTTTGGTCAAAAATTTGAAAATTTTGTTAACGTTTCGTTTTATGCAACCGAGAAAAAGTATTTGGTGACGTTCTCGTTAGAAAACAAGCCTTTCTAGAAAATATAAACAAAGACTGAAAAAGAAGGCAAAATTGGCATTTTTGCAAAGGGGATAGTCCATGATTTTGGTCAAAAAGTGGAAGTTTTTTCATGTTTTGTGTTTATCAAAAATAGATCGAGAAAAAGTGTTTGCTGACGTTCTACATAAAAAAGAAGCCTTTAAAGACTATAAAAACAACTGTTTATGAAAAACGCAAAATTAGAATTTTTCCAAAGGGGTTAGTCCATCGTTTTGGTCAAAAATTTGAGATGTCTTCAACTTTGTTTTTTTATGCAAAATAGACAGAGAAAAAGTATCTGGGAACGTTCTAGTTAGAGACAAATTTCTATAATCCTTTGTAACCCCCTGTAACCCCTTGTCACCTCCTGTCACCCCTTGTAACCCCCTGTAACCCCTTGTAACCCCCTGTCACCCCTTGTAACCTCTTGTAACCCCCTGTAACCCCTTGTAACCCCCTGTATTGCCATGTCATTGATCGTGAAAATAAATCGTGAAAATACGATTTTCGACGTTTTATATAGGAAACAAGCGTTTCTGAACAACGAAAACATCGGTTTCAAAACCCCACAAAATTGACATTTTTCCAAAGGGGTTAGTCCATGGTTTTGGTCAAAAATTGGAAAATTTTGTTAACGTTTCGTTTTATGCAAAATACACCGAGAAAAAGTATTTGGTGACGTTCTCGTTAGAAAACAAGCCTTTCTAGACAGTATAAACATAGACTGAAAAAGAAGGCAAAATTGGCATTTTTGCAAAGGGGATAGTCCATGATTTTGGTCAAAAAGTGGAAGTTTTTTGATGTTTTGTGTTTATCTAAAATAGATCGAGAAAAAGTGTTTGCTGACGTTCTACATAAAAAAGAAGCCTTTAAAGACTATAAAAACAACGGTTTATGAAAAACGCAAAATTAGAATTTTTCCAAAGGGGTTAGTCCATCGTTTTGGTCAAAAATTTGAGATTTCTTCAACTTTGTTTTTTTATGCAAAATAGACAGAGAAAAAGTATCTGGGAACGTTCTAGTTAGAAAAAAGTTTCTATAATCCTTTGTAACCCCCTGTAACCCCTTGTCACCCCTGCCACCCCTTGTAACCCCCTGTAACCCCTTTGTAACCCCTGTCACCCCTTGTAACCCCTTGTAACCCCTGTAACCCCTTGTACCCCCTGTATTCCCATCTCATAGATCGTGAAAATAAATCGTCAAAATACGATTTTGGACGTTTTATATAGGAAACAAGCGTTTCTGAACAACGAAAACATCGGTTTCAAAACCCCACAAAATTGACATTTTTCCAAAGGGGTTAGTCCATGGTTTTGGTCAAAAATTGGAAAATTTTGTTAACGTTTCGTTTTATGCAAAATACACCGAGAAAAAGTATTTGGTGACGTTCTTGTTAGAAAACAAGCCTTTCTAGACAGTATAAACATAGACTGAAAAAGAAGGCAAAATTGGCATTTTTGCAAAGGGGATAGTCCATGATTTTGGTCAAAAAGTGGAAGTTTTTTGACGTTTTGTGTTTATCGAAAATAGATCGAGAAAAAGTGTTTGCTGAGGTTCTAGATAAAAAAGAAGCCTTTAAAGACTATAAAAACAACTGTTTATGAAAAACGCAAAATTAGAATTTTTCCAAAGGGGTTAGTCCATCGTTTTGGTCAAAAATTTGAGATTTCTTCAACTTTGATTTTTTATGCAAAATAGACAGAGAAAAAGTATCTGGGAACGTTCTAGTTAGAGAAAAATTTCTATAATCCTTTGTAACCCCCTGTAACCCCTTGTCACCCCCTGTCACCCCTTGTAACCTGCTGTAACCCCTTGTAACCCCCTGTCTCCCCTTTTAATCCCCTGTAACCCCTTGTAATCCCCTGTATTCCCGTGTCATAGATCGTGAAAATAAATCGGGAAAATACGATTTTCGACGTTTTATATAGCAAACAAGCGTTTCTGAACAACGAAAACATCGGTTTCAAAAACCCACAAAATTGACAAAATACACCGAGAAAAAGTATTTGGTGACGTTCTCGTTAGAAAACAAGCCTTTCTAGACAGTATAAACATAGACTGAAAAAGAAGGCAAAATTGGCATTTTTGCAAAGGGGATAGTCCATGATTTTGGTCAAAAAGTGGAAGTTTTTTCATGTTTTGTGTTTATCAAAAATAGATCGAGAAAAAGTGTTTGCTGACGTTCTACATAAAAAAGAAGACTTTAAACACTATAAAAACAACGGTTTATGAAAAACGCAAAATTAGAATTTTTCCAAAGGGGTTAGTCCATCGTTTTGGTCAAAAATTTGAGATTTCTTCAACTTTGATTTTTTATGCAAAATAGACAGAGAAAAAGTATCTGGGAACGTTCTAGTTAGAAAAAAGTTTTTATAATCCTTTGTAACCCCCTGTAACCCCTTGTCACCTCCTGTCACCCCTTGTAACCCCCTGTAACCCCTTGTAACCCCCTGTCACCCCTTGTAACCCCTTGTAACCCCTTGTAACCCCTTGTAACCCCCTGTCACCCCTTGTAACCCCTTGTAATCCCCTGTAACCCCTTGTAACCCCCTGTATTCCCACGTCATAGATCGTGAAAATAAATCGTAAAAAAACTAATTTAATAATCCCAAATCGGGAAAATACGATTTTCGACGTTTTATATAGCAAACAAGCGTTTCTGAACAACGAAAACATCGGTTTCAAAAACCCACAAAATTGACATTTTTCCAAAGGGGTTAGTCCATGGTTTTGGTCAAAAATTGGAAAATTTTGTTAACGTTTCGTTTTATGCAAAATACACCGAGAAAAAGTATTTGGTGACGTTCTCGTTAGAAAACAAGCCTTTCTAGACAGTATAAACATAGACTGAAAAAGAAGGCAAAATTGGCATTTTTGCAAAGGGGATAGTCCATGATTTTGGTCAAAAAGTGGAAGTTTTTTCATGTTTTGTGTTTATCAAAAATAGATCGAGAAAAAGTGTTTGCTGACGGTCTACATAAAAAAGAAGACTTTAAAGACTATAAAAACAACTGTTTATGAAAAACGCAAAATTAGAATTTTTCCAAAGGGGTTAGTCCATCGTTTTGGTCAAAAACTTGAGATTTCTTCAACTTTGTTTTTTTATGTAATATAGACAGAGAAAAAGTATCTGGGAACGTTCTAGTTAGAAAAAAGTTTTTATAATCCTTTGTAACCCCCTGTAACCCCTAGTCACCCCCTGTCACCCCTTGTAACCCCCTGTAACCCCTTGTAACCCCCTGTAACCCCTTGTAACCCCCTGTATTGCCATGTCATTGATCGTGAAAATAAATCGTGAAAATACGATTTTCGACGTTTTATATAGCAAACAAGCGTTTCTGAACAACGAAAACATCGGTTTTAAAAACCCACAAAATTGACATTTTTCCAAAGAGGTTAGTCCATGGTTTTGGTCAAAAATTGGAAAATTTTGTTAACGTTTCGTTTTATGCAAAATACACCGAGAAAAAGTATTTGGTGACGTTCTCGTTAGAAAACAAGCCTTTCTAGACAGTATAAACATGAATTGAAAAAGAAGGCAAAATTGGCATTTTTGCAAAGGGGATAGTCCATGATTTTGGTCAAAAAGTGGAAGTTTTTTCATGTTTTGTGTTTATCAAAAATAGATCGAGAAAAAGTGTTTGCTGACGGTCTACATAAAAAAGAAGACTTTAAAGACTATAAAAACAACTGTTTATGAAAAACGCAAAATTAGAATTTTTCCAAAGGGGTTAGTCCATCGTTTTGGTCAAAAATTTGAGATTTCTTCAACTTTGTTTTTTTATGCAATATAGACAGAGAAAAAGTATCTGGGAACGTTCTAGTTAGAAAAAAGTTTCTATAATCCTTTGTAACCCCCTGTAACCCCTAGTCACCCCCTGTCACCCCTTGTAACCCCCTGTAACCCCTTGTAACCCCCTGTAACCCCTTGTAACCCCCTGTATTGCCATGTCATTGATCGTGAAAATAAATCGTGAAAATACGATTTTCGACGTTTTATATAGCAAACAAGCGTTTCTGAACAACGAAAACATCGGTTTCAAAAACCCACAAAATTGACATTTTTCCAAAGGGGTTAGTCCATGGTTTTGGTCAAAAATTGGAAAATTTTGTTAACGTTTCGTTTTATGCAAAATACACCGAGAAAAAGTATTTGGTGACGTTCTCGTTAGAAAACAAGCCTTTCTAGACAGTATAAACATAGAGTGAAAAAGAAGGCAAAATTGGCATTTTTGGAAAGGGGATAGTCCATGATTTTGGTCAAAAAGTGGAAGTTTTTCAGGTTTTGTGTTTATCAAAAATAGATCGAGAAAAAGTGTTTGCTGACGTTCTACATAAAAAAGAAGACTTTAAAGACTATAAAAACAACTGTTTATGAAAAACGCAAAATTAGAATTTTTCCAAAGGGGTTAGTCCATCGTTTTGGTCAAAAATTTGAGATTTCTTCAACTTTGATTTTTTATGCAAAATAGACAAAGAAAAAGTATCTGGGAACGTTCTAGTTAGAAAAAAGTTTCTATAATCCTTTGTAACCCCCTGTAACCCCTTGTCACCCCCTGTCACCCCTTGTAACCCCCTGTAACCCCTTGTAACCCCCTGTCACCCCTTGTAACCCCTTGTAACCCCCTGTAACCCCTTGTAACCCCCTGTATTCCCATGTCATAGATCGTGAAAATAAATCGTAAAAAAACGATTTTCGACGTTTTATATAGCAATCAAGCGTTTCTGAACAACGAAAACATCGGTTTTAAAAACCCACAAAATTGACATTTTTCCAAAGAGGTTAGTCCATGGTTTTGGTCAAAAATTGGAAAATTTTGTTAACGTTTCGTTTTATGCAAAATACACCGAGAAAAAGTATTTGGTGACGTTCTCGTTAGAAAACAAGCCTTTCTAGACAGTATAAACATGAATTGAAAAAGAAGGCAAAATTGGCATTTTTGCAAAGGGGATAGTCCATGATTTTGGTCAAAAGTTGAAGTTTTTTGATGTGTTGTGTTTATCAAAAATAGATCGAGAAAAAGTGTTTGCTGACGTTCTAGATAAAAAGGAAGCCTTTAAAGACTATAAAAACAACTGTTTATGAAAAACGCAAAATTAGAATTTTTCCAAAGGGGTTAGTCCATCGTTTTAGTCAAAAATTTAAGATTTCCTCCACTTTGATTTTTTATGCAAAATAAACCAAGAAAAAGTATCTGGCAACGTTCTAGTTTCTATAATCCTTTGTAACCCCATGTAACCCGTTGTCACCCCCTGTCACCCCTTTTAACCCCCTGTAACCTCTTGTAACCCCCTGTAACCCCCAGTAACCCCATGTAACCCCTTGAAACCCCTTGAAAAAGTACAAGAAGTTACAGGGGGTTTCAAGGGGTTACAGGGAGTTACAAGGGGTTACAAGAGGTTGCAGTGGGTTACAAGGGGTTTCTAGGGGTTACAAGGGGTTTCAAAAGATTGCAAGAGGGTACGGGGGGTTAGAAGGGGTTACAAGAGGTTAGAGGGGGTTACAAGGGATTACAAAAAGTTACAGGGGGTTACAAGGGGTTACTAGGAGTTACAAGGGGTTACAGGGGGTTACAAGAGGCTACGGGTGCTTACAAGGGGTTTCAGGGGGTTACAAGAGGTTACAGCTGGTTACAAGGGGTTACTAGGGGTTAGGGGGGTTACCAGGAATTACAAGAGGTTACGGGGGGTTACAAGCTTTTACAGGGGGTTATGAAAGGTTTACGGGGGTTTCAAGAGGTTACAGGGGGTTACAAGCGGTTTCAGGGGGTTACAAGAGGTTAACGGGGGTTACAACAGGTTACAGGGGTTTACAAGGGGTTACAGGAAGTTACAAGAGGTTACAGGGGGTTTCAAGGGGTACAAGGGGTTAGATAGGGTTACAAAGGGTTACAAGAGGTTACAGAGGGTTACAAGGGGTTACAGGAAGTTACAAGAGGTTACAGGGGGTTACAAGGGGTTACAGGAAGTTACAAGAGGTTACATTGGGTTACAAGCGGTTACAAGAGGTTACCGGGGGTTACAAGAGGTTACAGGGGGTTACAAGGGGTTACAGGAAGTTACAAGAGGTTACAGGGGGTTACAAGGGTTTACAGGGTTTTTCAAGAGATTAGTGGGGGTTTCAAGGGGTTACGGTGGGTTACAAGGGATCACCGGGGATTACCATTGGTTACAGGGGGTTAGAAGGTGTTTCAAGGGGTTACAGGATGTTACAAGAGGTTACAGAGACTTACTAGGGTTTACAGGGGGTTACAAGATGTTACGGGGGGTTACGGGTAGTTGCAAGGGGTTACCGGGGGTAACAAGGGCTTACGAGAGGGTTTAAGGGATTACATTTTAGGATAGGATAGGATAGGATAGGATAGGATCACTGCTTTATTATCGGCAGAGCGCCTACAGACACGTGTGTACAACGATAACAGAGATTTTAGTGCAATAATAAGAGAGGTGTACATTAGTAGAATTTATTCAACTAGACAAGGTTATATTTAACCCGTCTATCTCTTTTGCGGAAGCGATGACATTCGTATTTAGCCACAATTTTTTCCGTTTTCTCTCCTTGCTTCATACTTATCAACGTTGGAAAGGCAGAGCTTGGAGTCATAGAAACAAGAAAAAGATTAGTTTCCTCTTTTAGTGTGTTGAACAGCTCTCTCCTAGGATCCTTATAGGGATCTTCTAATCCAGATTTACATAATGGAGAGATTCTTTGGTCTGGTGGTTGATAGGGTTTAACGTGTCGACCAGTTTCAGTTGCTTGTTTGTGGTTGCTTAATCTTAGCTTTGTGATTGCTACTCTATGATTCGTAGTCATGGGTAAGTTTAAATTTCCTAAAAGTTGTTAGTTTGTTTTTTTTTTTATGCGGGACCTTTCATTCATCATTGTCTATTTCGCTAGTCCATGTTTGCTGTTCTGTGTTTAAGAGTCTCTGTCGTATATAGCTCATGGTTGCGGGAGTGTTCGTTTTCGCTGACCACATGTCGCCAAGACCTGCGAGATTTAATAGCCGTTTTAATTTGCTTGGCCAAAGTTCCTTTCTGTCTTGATTAATTTGATCTTTAAATGCTATTCCAGAGAGTTTATTTTGGTGCTCTGGCTCACAAAATTTCAGCCAATATTTAATGGCTCTGCACTTTGTCTTCTTTTGCATTGGGAAACGGCCTACCTCCGATCTGCACGCATTTGAGCTACAGAATTTGTTAACTCCCAAAAGCCACCTAATGAACTTTGTTTGTACAAACTCAATTGGATCATTTCCCAGCTTTCCGTTGTGATCAACCCCCCTCCCCCTAGACCTCGCTTCCGTACGTGAGTACAGCGACGTTCCTGTCTGTGGAATGGCCTACCAAATGAAACAAAAACTAAGCATATTCTCTAAAGGTAGTAAATGTTAGAGGAATGTCTTTGGCTTAACATGACCTTATTAGTTTGAGGTTTTGATTTCATACGTGACTGGTTTCTCCTTGGGAAGTGTAGCTTAACTTCCCGATATTAATGTTCTTTATCACTGTGAAGGATCTTTTCTCAGCGCCATATTTTCCCCTTTCCAGGAATCTGTGATATTACTTAAAGTTTCTCTGAAATGATTGTCATTGTAAGCGGTCTTGGCATATTTAACACTATTATCTAGTTTGTTTCGACCAACTGCGTACTTCAGATTGTCTTCTTTTTGGCCGCAGTTCATTTAAGCTTATCTTTCTAGTTCAAGTGTTAACCAAGACTCATGGTTGGTTCTGATGTTCCTTTTACGACCTGGTAGCTTATAGTGTTGTTTAGGGGTTGCAAGGGGTAACTGGGGGTTACAAGGCGTTACAATAAGTTACATGGTGTTATAGTGGGTTACAATCGGGTGCAAGGGGCTACATGGGGTTACAACGGGTTACAAGAGGTTACAGAAGGTAACAAGGGGTTACAGGGGGTTACAAGAGATCACAGGGGGTTACAGGGGTTACTCGGGGTTACAAAGGGGTTACAAGAAGTTACAGGGGGTTACAAGGGGTTACAGGGGCTTACAAGAGGTTACAGGGGGTCAAAAGGGGTTACAGGGGGTTACATGAGGTCACAGGGGGTTACAGGGGATTACTGGGGGTTACAAGGGGTTACAAGAAGTTACAGGGGGTTACAAGGGGTTACAGGGGCTACAAGAGGTTACAGGGGTTACAGGGGGTTACTAGAGGTTACAGGGGGTTACAGGGAATTACAAGGGGTTCCGGGGGTTACAAGGGGTTACAGGTGGTGACAAGGGGTTACAGGGGGTTACAGAGGGTTATAAGAAGTTACAGGGGGTTACATGGGGTTTCAGAGGGCTATAAGGGGTTACAAGGGGTTACGGGGGGTTACAAGAGGGTACAGGGGGTTAGAAGGGGTT